CTTAAAATTTCATTGCCAATACCACTCCGAGATAAAGTAGATAGGTAAATGTGGCAAGGGCGGATCCAAAGAGGAACGGAAACATTTATTAACACACTTGAAATTCTATAAACTAGGTCGTCATCGCAGAATTAATTTGCACGATTTCAAGTAGGTAATCAAATTGGAGCTTGACGTGAGTCCAGACAAAACAAAAATAACCAACTTTCCCCCTCACTGAGGTTAAACTGGATTCGCTATGGAATCATGTTTCTTTAAAAATCTCACGGTATTTTTATACCACTAACTGAATATTTAATGTTAGTATATACTTATAAGCTGGCATTTGAAACTAAGTATCATTATAGTTCATAAATAACAAGACTCCAAATTACTCGAGAGGCATTTAGATGCAGACTGCGAACATGATCTTGAGAGAATACTCATGAAAAGGTATACCTACCACACCACTTAAATATTATTATTACTCTGAGTTATTATATTACTTTCGAATCTTTCTTGAGAGCTGTGTTTGTTTTGATGATAGCTTACTTCAGTAAGCTACTTTTTCGGCGCAACATATATCATTGAAAGGTACTCGTAACGTTTGTACGAGTAGTAGGTATGAAATAATCCAGGCAGTCTCGGGTAGGTATCACTTACAACAATGAGAAAGACGCTTCTTAACAAAGTGATACCTACTCGTAATTACGAGTTATTCGTGTAGCTAGTAACACCCTAGTAGAGGGAACTCATACAAAGAACTAGAGTAAAAGATATCGCACTGAGAATCTGTACGCTGAAGAGGCAGTAGGCCGATCATGTCTCCATACGGACTGATGCAGATGGTCGTTGGAGCTGGCATGTAACCGATGACCTAAAGAAAGTGGCTGGTAGCGGATGGAGGCAGACTGCCCAAGACTGGGATAGCTAGCGCTCCTTGTGGGATGGCTTCGTTCAGCAGTGGGCGGCGATAGGCTGATGATGAAAGGGAACTGTCAAGTACAATAATAGTCATCCATCTCAGTTTGTCCAGCGAACCAATCCACTTCAGATGCACTCTGTACAACTCTAATATTGCAAATAATTTCTTCTTCGCAGCGCATTAAAAAGGTAGTTTCAAGCCGTTACTGTTCGATTACACGTCCTTGTACTTATCTGAATGTCATACAACGGCATTTATGAACAGTATAAACGGTTATAAACTTTGTAACGAGAAAAACAAAATACGAGACGGCGGAATCACACATACTCTCGTTTCGGATTATGACCAGAACCATGGTCTCTAGAGAGAGGCTCCCCACACCAAGAGCCGTCACGAGGTTGCTTCGCTGTAGTGTCCACTGTCCACGCAGGGGCCTTCACTAGGTGTAGAATGCTGTGTCCTCGCGCTAGCCCCTGTTGTGGTGTCACTCGGACGTTACCTCCAGGCCTATACGACACTATACCACACGGTTGGTGTTGATGACTAAGTTTAATTAAATAAACATCTTTTTCATTGTTTTCAAACGATATAAATAATCAATTTGATTTGTTTTAAAACCAAACTTACACTCTTGCACTCTCGTTGACACTGTCGGCACCGGCGCGACGGCCTTTAAGACCTAACGTTGTCTCTTTCATGCGCAAGTAAAATGGACGGCATTGCGTTAATGATGTCTCCTAATCTAGTGTGTGTAATAAATAATAATAATAATAAATAAGTAAGTAATAATCTAATAAAAAGGTATAGGTAGGTAGGTATACCTACATACTTAAGTTTTCGTGTAGTAGGTAATGTAGATAGATAAGTCAGCGGCGGATTTACCAGCAGGCTGAGTAGGCTGGAGCCAGGGCGGCAAATTTTAGGGAACAGCAAATTTGGCCCAAAACATTGCTTGCTCATACAGAAATAAAAAAAAAGCATTTTTAAACAGGTACACGGAGAAAATAAGTCTCCAAAATTTAACAAAAATAACAGTATTTTACCGAATACTAAAACATCTGTATTTAAAAAATTACGAAACGAGTACTAGTAGTACTAAAATACATGTGAATATGTTTTTTTTTAAATTGTAATAGCGATTTAATATTAGTATTTTAATTATTGATTTTGGCTAACTTTTTTACTAATTATTACTCAGGGCGGCATGAGGCCATGGAATGCGAGCCTCTACTGCCCGGTTCGCCGGCGACGAATTGTGTCCGAGTGAAAATCTTCCTTCTAGGCGTTCTCCGCCACCGCCGCCTCATTTCGCGCGACGACATCTTCGCAGTAGGATGCGACAACGATGAAACATCTATGATGAAGCTAGCGAAATTTTTCTTGCCTTCCGGCAGACGCAGGTCTTTTCCGGTTGTTTCGGGAAGTACCTGCACGCGGTCACTAGCAGTGAATCGAGTCCCACCTGGGCAATTTGCCCAGCTTGGGCGTCACAGCATTACGTCCTCATTGCAATCATCAGAGAGGATCTCTCGCTGCCGGCTGCAATATTCGTCATTTTTTGTTAACCATATAGTAAGATAGCAAGTAAGTAGAGTGTAAGCTGTATAGTATATAAATGCTTAAAATATTAAAGTTGTCATAAGTTTGTCTAGCCGTAAGTGTTGTACAATAATAAGTATAGCATAAGTATCAATGTCTAAGTGTTTAGCCTTAAGAAACTAGAATTATTAGTATAACAATAGTATTAATGTGTAAATAAAAACTGTCTTGTCAAATGTTGTTGTTGTAAAATAAAAATAAGCTAAGTTAGAAGTACAGGAGTCCCTATGTATGGATTGACTAGCGTAGAATAGGCTCCGAAACAGCATCGGAGGTGTAAGATTAAAAAAAATAAAGAAAAAAAAACGCAGCGCCGACCACGATGGGGCCCATGAATGAAGAGGTTATCCGTCCTTTACAGGGCCACCCATATGTCTATCGCCTGATGACAATTGAATGCACGGATGGCGTAGTACTTTAAGCGGTCTTCACTCATCGTCTTAATGCGCTGAGTGTTGTGGGTTCCCTTTCCACACTTTGTGTGACCCATAAATCGTTATTCTGAATCTGGGTGTTCTTTGTGTCAGTTTCATATGCGTTTGTAAAGTCCTTAGCGACACAGGATATATTCCTAGTGGGGAAGTTGTCCAACCAGAGATATACCGATGGCTAGGCCGCGCCGCCTCTTGAAAGTTCGCCGCTCGGGCTGTAACCAAAGTGTCATCGGCGTAACGAATTACGCTGAGCCCGGGGGGAAGTCTCCTCAAAGGTCCCAGTTGTACTCAATGTTCCACAGGAGGGTACCAAGAATAGACCCTTGATGAACATTGCACGACATGGGCCGGCGCCTCAGATATCCATCTTGCTTGTCATAAATAACGCTCCTCTAAATAGTCTGCCACTTGAATTGATCGTTCCGACTAACGCAGGTCTTTTCCGGGCACGGCTGCTTCGGGAAATACCTGCACTCAGTCGCCAGGAGAGGATAGAGTCTCACCGTCCTGTCACCACTGCAATTGCATTGAGGATACGGCTCAGCACACGCTGGCAATTTGCCCGGTTTGGGCGTCGCAGCGTTGGGTCCTTGCTGCAGTCTTTGGAGTGGATAGCGAGAGTGCTACCGACCGTCATACGCTCCATGGCCAGTAGTGACAGCCATATCGCAGAAGGAGGCGGCGGAGAGGCCCCGGCAAGATGGTCTCATATCGGACCCAAAACCGGCGGCAAAGGCACGCTTACCAGCGTCTCATGCCACGCTCAGTGTGGCCGCGGATGGACGGGACGGGTTTTCTCTGCCATGACGGCCAGCCGCGAGGAGACGACGTCCGCGTATCCCGGACCTCGCCAAAATAGAGAAAGTACCCGAAGGTGGTCCCCGAGCCACTGTGGGCAGGCGCTAGGAGGGGTCCGGATGGTTCTTATCAACAGCAGTTTCCGGATCCTTCCTATTACAGGCGCAGAGTAGCACACGAGTGGTTTTAGTCGGTCCGATTTCGACACACTACCCCACCACAAACCCCCGTGGTGTGACGGCCCGAGGGGGTTTCCACATGTAAAAAAAAAGAGTCTTGAATTTGGAATCCGGTTATCATTATAACAGCTGTTCCTGGATCCTTTATATTTCAGGCACAGATTAGCACACCGTTTGATTTTAGTTGGTTAAATTCCGACACAAAGCATCGCCGCAAATGTCGGTGTGACGGCCTGAAAGGGTTTTGAACCGTGTTTCTACAGGTAAAAAAAGGGTATTATGTAAATCCGGTAAATATGTAAATCAGTCACTGACGTAGATACTTTCTATTGATTTTCTATAAACTAATTAAAACGAAACATGACGTCAGGCGACCAAAAATTGCCCACAATGAAGTGTATAACACAGTACTTTTATTTTTGCAGTCGAGTTTCCAACCGTTTTTGAACGATTTATTTGGGGTTTAAAACTGCAAGATTTTATTTAAAACGTTTTAAATAGGTTATTCTGCATCTACACCTATAGGTACACCTACAGGTACATCTATAGGTACACCTTGCCGTAGTTAAAAGTAATTCTACATGTTAATTTATGGCCCCTTTAGGCGAGTTTCTTAAAATAACCTCAACACGTGCCCAAAATAAATTGATATTGATGTAAAACGGTGATCAGTCAATTCAGTCAAAACGATTTGTCATGAAGTCGAAGTATTTACTATTAATAATGAAGTTATACAATGCTGACTAATATTATTTTTCATCACTATCCTTAGTTTATGGAGTAAAAAATGCATTTGGTGCGCCTTAGGACATTATTTATTTTTATTGGAGAGGCTATAGGTATTTTATTTTTTATTTCAAAATGTGTATTTTTTCGTGTATCCAAACAGAATAGACTGATGTTGACGTTCGAATGACATTTGAGTCTACTTGTGCGCCCTCTGACAATAAAAATTGAAAACTTTAAGTAATGGTGGTGACTCTAACAAACTACAGACTGATCGCTTCTATTTTTATTTGTATTTTAATTAATTAGCGTTAATCGTAATTTTTAAATATTGTGGCTGCGGCCATATCATGCTTTCTTATGTCGGGATTAGCTAAAACGGCAGTTTTGGCCGAGGAGGGCGGTAACAATCAGAATAGAAAACGTTCTCTTCACATCACCGAACAGTGCAATAATAAAAGAACTAAATCTGACGATATGAGTGCCAACGAGAAAAAGTCTAACTTTTCTCTTCTGAACCCACACTCTAACGGGTCTGTAAAGTTGACTTCGTCTTCGATGAACAAGCCTGGTGCAGCGACGAAGAAATTGGTTATAAAGAATTTCAAAAGTATGTTTACCCTTTTATCTACTACTCGTCACACTTATAACCTATTAGACATTAGCGGTAATCATTGTTGTGTGTTTTCAGGTAAACCGAATCTTCCAGAAAACTACCAAGAAACGACATGGAGCAAACTTCGAGAGGCAGTGATTGCAATTCAGACTTCCAAGGCGATCGCCTACTCGCTCGAGGAGTTGTATCAGGCAGTCGAGAACATGTGTAGTCACAAGGTACTTAATGAATAAAAGTATATAGGAAACCTTTCAAGTACATATAAATACCTTATAAAAAGCTGCTGAAGTCACAATTCATAAATTTATTAGTTACTTATAAAAAGTTTGATAACACAATGTCTGGTAAACAAGATATTGGTACAATGTTATGCAAAAACTAATTAGCACTATCTTGGGAAAATCTTACTAGAACACATTCTATGCTTACGTTCAGGTTAAAAAGTTTAAATTTTAGAAAACTGTTAAAATATTTCTGGAATGATATACATACCTTACTCTCTTTATTCTCACATCATGTTAGTTGCGTTACATGTTTACCACTATCATACCGCTACTACAATCCTTACTACATTTACAAGTTTTCACCCTTTTATGACTCCCGTAACACAGTTAAAAACTTAGCAAGGGATTGAAGACTAGGAAATATGAAATGTTTAATGACAATAAATAATTTATTATTATTACTGAGTAGCCTTTTGGTCCAGTGGTTAATAACCCTAACTGCTAAGCCAGAGGTCATGGGTTCCATTTCCATCCATTACAAATAATCGTATTAAGAGAATGATAATTTGTTTGTATTTTAGAAATATGAAAGTATGTTTATCATTGGCCTGGTTACCATTGTATAGGATCACCTAGTTTGGAGATAGACTGCTGTGAGTGAGATGTGTAACGGTTTAAAATAAAAATGGCAATAGGCTTTACAGCATTGCTTTCAGTTTCAAATTATTCTTACCTTCCATTACCTCAGATAAACATCAATTAAGTTAGAGTATATTTCTTATTGGAAATTCTTTTACACAATTCTTATATTAAATCTAAATCAACAAAAACAAATTATAGTTTTGAAACAATTTTTATTCTTGAAGTCTATGTGATTAATGGAAAAAGATCAATAAATAAAATTGTCTTAACAATCAATACAAATGAATAAAATTGAATTGTCTGTTTGTATTGTCAAAATAATGGGTTTTTTCATGCTCTGCCAGCCAGCCTCGCTAGATCTCTAGGCTGCTTGGTCTCTGTGAACGACGGACGTGCCTCCGCCAAAGCAAGTGCGCGAGTGGGCGAGTGGCAGAGCATCCGACTCTCGGTTTTTTATTTTGCTCAAAGACGTCTTGTTCGTTTGCCGCGATAATTCAGTACGAGTGCCCACACCATGAGGCTGCCCTTTCGTTCAGGGACAGTTGCCTCGCGAGGGTGCTCACTGTGTGTGGCACGTAACAAAGGCGAACAACCTCTAATTTGAGGTAGAAATATTTTTCATGGGTAAATAAGTTAAGGTTAAAAGTAAATGCAACCTGCAAATCAGCCACAGAGAGGCATGTCAGAGTAAAGCTAGTAATGAATACTACTACTACTTTCTCTACTCCCATTTACATTACAGGATTAAAATGTATTTGGTTTTTTTTAAAACTGTATTATTCTCTCAACAGATGGCCTCACAACTTTATGTAAACCTTACAAACTTAGTGGAAGCTCATGTGAAAGCCAACATTGAACAGTTTCTCTCAGAGAGTATGGACAGACAGGTGTTCCTCAAGAGGATGGATGACTGCTGGCGTGCACACTGCCACCAGATGATCATGATCCGCAGCATTTTCCTGTATCTAGACCGTACCTATGTATTACAAAACCCTAGTATACACTCTATATGGTGAGTTGATTATTTCTTACCTAAATAAACCTATTTGTCCTTGGTTGGACTACTATGAGTTACTTTTAACATTGGAGAGAAATGCTTTAGCACATTTGGGCCGCTAGACAAAAACCAGTTTCAGGCAATTCTTTTCTTGATTTTCTAGTGAATGTGTGTGAGGTGGCCAGGGCCCAATTCTCCTCCTTGTTTCTGAAAAAATTGTTCTATGCTCTGGTCCGGTAATAAATAAATAAATTTTAAAAACATACTGACGACCGGATGGCGTAGTGGTTTGTGTAACGGACTGCTATTCTAAAGGTCGTGGGTTCGATTCCCACTCAAGTCAAACATTTGTGTGCATGAACATTTAATGTTTGATTTGGTCTGGGTGTTTCTATGTATTTACAAAAAAAAAAAGTATATATGTATTTATATCAGTTGTTTAGTACCCATAGTACAAGCTCTGCTTAGTTTGGGACTAGATGGCGTTGTGTAAATGTGGTTAGAATAATATTATTATATTATTATACTTTAATAGACCTAGTGACAGTGGAACTGACTGGGCTGTTAGTTTTATGGTTAGTAATCTTTATTGCTTAGCCAGAGGTCATGGGTTCAATTCCCATTGCAAAAAAAATAGTTGTGTGGTGAGTATGATCATTTTCTCCTGTGTCTGGGTGTAATTTATGTTTTATATGTATGTATTTAGAAATATATATATATAGTATTTTTATCAGCACTCTGGTTACTCGTTTGTGTACCATTAAAATTATTATTGATTGAATTTTTGCAACTGGTTATTTCAGGGACATGGGACTAGATTTGTTCCGGCACCACATAGCGATGAACACGTTAGTTCAAACAAGAACCGTAGATGGTCTATTACTACTTATCGAACGGGAAAGAGAAGGAGATGCTGTCGACAGATCATTGCTCAAGAGTTTACTTAGGATGTTGTCAGATCTGCAGATTTATGAAGAAGCTTTTGAACACAAGTATGTAGATATCAATTTAGTTACTCGTATTGATGAGCACACTTTTAAAACATACATCATTCTCCAAGCCTCTTCCCAGACTAGTTTGGGGTCGGCTTTTAGTCTTCTGCGATACAGCTGAACTTCGATATTTACGTGGAGCGACGTAGGTGATATCGAAGTTCTGTAGATAGACTGTTGTCGGACGTTTTAGGAGTACACCTACTCGGGACGATTGCTACAGATGTTCTCATGGCAACCGGGTCCTACAGCTTTACGTTCTCGCCGAGGCTCGGCTCAACTCGTTAAGAATTTTCACTAGACTGACCTGGCAAGGATTGTTTAAAGGGCAAGTGTAGGCGTGTATGGGACTTTTGTACCGCCTTGCGTATCTCTTGGTAGGGACCGCATAAACGACTGCACGTTTAGGCGGTCCTACAGCCCTTCCAACTGCGCTGGGTATTATAATATGGTATTGTATATAGGTATTATAATATAAAAAGATTGTTTTTAACTTCTAAATACACTGGTGAGTCATAAATATCGATGTAAACATGTCGTTTTTATGTTACTTTATAATTTATGCACCTCAAGTTCAAAAACGCAATGGGGTTTACTTAACGACACTTGAATGTTTAGTAATTGCAGTTGTAACCATTTTTTGAGAAGAATTTATATACTTTAATAAAGTTTTAAAAATATGATGATTACATGAAAATAGTATGATATACTTTATAAATGGTATAAATCTCATTACCATCCATCATATAATAGGTGTATAGGTGTACAGGATCCTAATATACAAAGTTGTTGTACATAAAATACTAGGGTTATATAAAGTGTTCATTCCAACTCTGATCCCATAAAATTATATAGATTTATCATTTAACCTGTAGATAGCCTCAAGACAATCTGTAAAAAAATAAATTAGGTTTTTGTCACGACAAAATCTATTATTACACTTTGTTTTGTATATTCGCCAATGTGTATTAAAACATAGTATATTTTTGAAAAAATATTCTTTATTCAAAAATATACAATGTTTACTCTCAGTCATGATTTTTCGTAACAACTAGGTACAACAGATTTTAATTTAATTGTGAAATAACCGTTATCCCTATTCTAGATTCCTGCTAGCCACGGAGCGCCTGTACGCGGCCGAGGGCCAGCGCCTCATGAGCGAGCTCACCGAGCTGGCCGTGCCGCAGTACCTCGCACATGTTGAAAAAAGACTACGGGAGGAGAATGAGCGACTACTGCACTACTTAGATCCTTCTACAAAGTGAGTGTTCCTAAATACATCGATGCCTTTATCCCTTAAAAGATTAGGCAGTAGGTATATTTATATATCTGTATTACACAATCACGCCTTAAAACAAACATTCAAGCTTAGATGGAGCTAACAGGAAATCTATAATAGTGATAACTGACTCTCGCTAAACTAGGGATACATACGTAAATCATTTTAAAAAAAAGTTGAACTGACTTCAATCAAACAATTACTAACAAAGAACACTAAAAACCTGATTTGCTGTCATTTTTTTTAGAAACTATCTATCTATCTCTGAAACTCATCATCGGATCTATATGAAATTTAAATGAACCCATTTTGAAATTAACCCCTATCGAACAAAAAAGCCTTTCAAGTACCGTATGCGACTGCTGTGCGTAGGTCTCGGGTTCGATTCCCGGGTCAGACCAAATGTTTGTATGTACTGCAAATATTTGTTTCGGAGTTTGGGTGTTTTCTATGTAAAATATGTATGTATGTATTTACAAGAAATAAGTATTCTATAGAACTATGAATTGAAACTAGATGGCGCTGTATGTTAGATAAAAAACTGTGTATGTAAACACGTACACTAATATAGTATGTTTCATATTATTTCAGATGGCAATTAATTCACACAATAGAAAGACAATTACTTAGTGAACACCTATCAGGTATTTTAGACAAAGGACTGAAGGCATTGATGGACGGGCCCCGGCTCGCAGACTTAACCACCCTGTATGGTTTGTTTGGACGCGTCAAAGACGGGCTCGTAGAACTGTGCAAACACTTTAATGCTTATATCAAGGTCAGTCGTACTTAAATAAACCTTTTGTGACATTTTTTTAATAAAAGGTGTGTGTTTGAACTCACGTTTGTATTATCATACTCGTAAGAAAATAGTGATGCAATAGCTACACATCGATCAAGCCGAATAGAAGCCCCACACCCTGACCAATCGGGTTCCAAGCTTTCGTACGAAACGATATTTTCTTGGAACGCGATTGGTCAGTTTGTGGGTCTTGATCGATGCGTCACTATTTTCTTAACGCGAATGGCTTATAGTCCTGGCACTGACTGGCGCTCTTGAAGGCAATATGTAGCAACATGCCGTTTTTTTTTGTTTTGAAACTAAAAAAAGCCGATCACACTGGTAATAAATACAGACTTTTTTGGTTTAGTTAACTGAAAAACTTACTTCATACGGCTACTGTACCCTGTGTAATTATAAATGTATATGAGTCAGCCATTCACTTATTCTGATTGGTTATATAATCAGGCTTTAATTAACTTTTCACCATAAGTCTTTTTAAAAGCCAATCATTAGTGTTTTGAAAATAAATAAATTTTACTTCATTATAGATTCCTATAAATATATATCTAATTTTGGACATTCTAAATTTCTTTAGATACTCAAAATAAAACCACATTTTTATACATTTATTTCAGAAAAAAGGTCGTACGATAGTAATTGAGCCGGAGCGTGACAAGACCATGGTGGCCGAGCTGCTGGACTTCAAAGAGCAGTTGGACCACGTGGTCACCACGTGCTTCCAGCGCAACGACAAGTTCCTATATTCCATGCGCGAGGCCTTCGAGTACTTCATCAACCAACGTCAGAACAAACCTGCTGAACTTATTGGTAATATGCCAATTATGCATTCCTACTAGCTATTTTTCTTCTCTTCTTTTCTTTATTCTTACGAACTTTTATTTTGCCCGCTTTTTATTTCACCATACCTCAATATTGCACTTAACTTTTTCTTCACGTTCAAAAATGAAAGAAGGAAAAAAAAATTACAAAAATGAACGAAATATACACAAATCCCATAATGATAATGAAGAAGGGAGTTTGATTAGTGATCATAATGATACCGTCCATGTGATACCATGTCCCAAGTAATCGAATGCCTAAGCCGCACTACACTCCTCATACAACTAATTGAACTACTGCATTTTTTCCATGGCAGGCACACACTTCCTTACTCGCGATATTCAATATTCAACTGCGCGTAGCAGAAATTCAATTCTTGTAACATTTGTTCAAAACTCAGTTTTGAGCTACTCTCGCTCTCAGAAATAGGATAAAAGGTAAATTAAGTATAGTATTAGGGGTTAAAGTTAAGGTTAAAGTAAAAGTATAAAATTGCCGATTTGTACGAAAGCGTTTAGACCAAAACCGCACGGTGCGTTCATTAGCAGTCTCCTCTCAAAACGTAGCGTTGATATTGCGAGCCCTTTCTGCCGCGTTAGGTCCGCGTCGGAACTCATATTCAGAAATGATCGACGCGAAGTATCCATCTTTCACGTCTAAACTGAATTAAAAAAAAACAATTGAAAGTCGAAAATCGAATGTTGCACATTTTTTAAAAGAAGAACCTCGTAGGAAGCATGTGAAAAAAGTTTCACACGAAAATCTCACACCTTTAAGGATTTATGGCATTTGAAATTATCTATTAACGGCAATTTCATACTTTAACTGGACCTAGTGTTCTTTTTATATCAACTCGATCGTCACGGTGACCGCATTAAGCGTTGCGTTTGACCCGCACTGAAATCTTTACCAATTGTGTTTGTTTACCACCTACTTTGTTTCATCTTTCCCCTAGTACTAGAAATAAATGAATATATCTTCCACAGCCAAATTCGTCGATGTGAAGCTCCGCGCGGGCAACAAAGAAGCAACGGAAGAAGAATTAGAACGCTTGCTAGACAAGATAATGGTCCTGTTCAGATTTATCCACGGCAAGGATGTTTTCGAAGCATTCTATAAGAAAGACCTGGCCAAAAGACTGTTGGTGGGCAAGTCGGCCTCGGTCGATGCCGAAAAATCTATGTTAAGTAAACTTAAGCAAGAGTGTGGGGGCGGTTTTACACTTAAATTGGAAGGAATGTTCAAGGATATGGAGCTGTCAAAGGATATAAATATTACTTATAAGCAAGTAAGTTATTTTTATAATATTTACAATGTATGTTTAACATTATATTTAATTAGTGTTGTAAAGTATAAAGTGTTTCCGTGTGGTGACAGATTAAGAATACAGTGTCTCCACCCCTATTCATCTCTTGGGTGTCGTAAGAGCCGACTAAAGGAGCAAACTATGTAGGAAAACGACTGCAAAGAGAAAAAACCCGGCTGGTTAGCGTGGTATAGTCGGCCAAAACCTCCTTCCTAAGGAGAGATGTATGTCCAGCAGTGGACTATAAAGGCTTTGATTGATGAAAGTATAGTCCTTAGTTTGTGTCGATAAACAATATTAAACTACGATACTATTATTTAAATGTCATACATAATAGAACTATCGAATATATGTCAATGATACGAATTATTATATATATTATAAAGAAAATAAAGTTTTGAGGGCCTGTTATTTTAGAGGTTAGTGATACTAGCTAGCTAGGTCGTCGGTTCGATTCCCACCTAAGGAAAATAATTGTGTGGTAAGCGCGATCATTTGTTCTGTGTCTGGGAGTGATTTATCTTTAATATGTATTATTTAGAAATATATAAGTATGTTTATCAGTAGTGAGGTTACCATAGTACAGATTTTGTCTAGTTTGGGTTCAGGCAGTAGTGTGTGAGATATGTCAGATTTAAAAAAACCTTATCTACAGTTAGTATACTGAGGGTTAGCGAAAATAATATTGTTTTAAGTATATTACGCCTTCCCAGCACTTATCGGCCGTCGCAGAGGGCGGAGGCCTAGAGTTGTCAGTGTATATCCTGACGATGGGCTTCTGGCCGACGTACCCTCCGGTGGAAGTTCGACTCCCGGTCGAGCTCACGCGCCACCAGGAACACTTCACCAAGTTCTACCTCGCCAAGCACTCGGGCCGCAAGCTGCAGTGGCAAGCTACACTTGGACATTGCGTTCTCAGAGCACACTTCACACAGGTATGATACACCTCGAAGGTCTTTATAACAGTCAAATACACATACTATAAGAGGCCAATAAATTTGACGGGCCTGTTAGTGTAGTAGTGGTAAGCGATCCTAACCGCTAAGCCAGTAGCCGTGGGTTCGATTCCCACCCAAGATAAATAAGTCGACGTGATCGTAGAATAATGTCGGTTTTGAAATCGAAAATCAGTTTTTACTATATTTGGATAATATATTGTCTTAATATTATTACTACATTGAAGAAAAATTATATGTATTTTAGGTTTTAAATTATTCAGTGTTTGTTTGATAAACGCTCAAAGTAAGACGAAGAATGGGATTGTTCTAGAAATTTGAATGAATTAGTTATTTTATTGCATTTTAAAACAAACCCTATTATTCACTTTATTTATTTTATTTATTTAACATAAGGCTTACCAACTAAAATACATACTAGATATTTCACAAGAAAACATTCATACAAGTAAATTATATGTGTATGCTTTTAAATTAAAGGTGAGCACAGCATTTTCCAAAAGTGTACATACATTTAGGTTTCAAAATCTTATGATAATTTTCATAATTATAGATTTAGAATTAAAAAAGTTATGTTAAAAAAAAATAACATAAATATTTGAAAGTAAAGTCCTGTTCAATAAATGTCAGATCCGACAATTTTCTATGAATATGACAAATTGTGTGATGAGCATGAACATTTAGTCCGTGTCTGGGTGTAATTTATCTATACAAATAAATAAAATTGGAGTGCCTGTTTGTAATATTAAAATAACCGCTTTTTACTAAATGCATATGTATGTTTACACGGTACATATGCCAAAATAACATTTTTTACAATTTTTGTCTGTCCGTCTGTCTGTCTGTCTGTTTGTTCCGGGTAATCTCTGGAACGGCTGGACAGATTTTGACGGGACTTTCACTGGCAGATAGCTGATGTCATAAGGAGTAACTTAGGCTACTTTTTTAGACTAGCTTCGCCCCGCGGCGTTGCCCGCGGTTATAACAACAAACGCGGGTAACACCGCGGGTCTCAGCTAGTCTATAATATATATGTATTTAGAAATATATACATACATATATTTATTAGCAGTCTGGTTACCAAAGTAGAGGTTTTGCCTAGTTTGGGGTTATTATTTAAAAAAAACTCACTGATTACATAAATGTTCCCTAAATATAACAGTTATAAAGATGACAATAACAACGAATAAATATTTTCTAAATAAAGATTAATATGTGTTACAGGGTAAAAAAGAGTTGCAGGTGTCGCTGTTCCAAGCGCTTGTGTTGTTGCTCTTTAACGATGGAGACAATCTCTCGTTTGAAGACATTAAAACATCCACCAACATTGAGGTAAAGTGAAAGAAAATTTTTATTTAACTATACAGCCTGTTTTTTTTTTCAAGTTAACTCCTGTGTAATGTTTGCTGCATGAATACTTTTATTATCTTTTAAAGTGTAATAAATTAAAAATCTGTCAGATATACAATCATTTTTTCATATTAAAGCTTTTTAGTCACAGCGATTTCACATGTGATACTGATTTCGTCATAGATAAAGATAAATGGCACTAAAATCACACGCTGAATTAAAACTTTTTGGTTATGAGAGAAAGAAAAAGTGTGCTCGCGCTTCTCTCTCTGGCTCCTACAGTAATATACGAAACGTTACTCTCTCTCTTTCTATCTTCACTAACTTATATCTCCTTCAACTTCCGTTCGCCTCGACCGGTCACACTTTTCGTAACGCAATCACCGGCTTACTTCCCGAGTCGAGCGTGCTTAAAAAAGTTTTACTTCAATAATTAAGTAGCGGTCACACGTGTAATGATATGATTTATCACATGTGATTGCGATTTAATTCGATGTGTAGTGTATATCGAGAGTGATGTTGTCCAGGAGGGCGAGCTGCGCCGCACGCTGCAGTCGCTGGCGTGCGGCAAGGCGCGCGTGCTCAGCAAGGCGCCGCGCGGACGGGAGGTGCACGACGACGACCACTTCGCCTTCAACGGGGACTTCACCAACAAGCTCTTCCGCATCAAGATCAACCAGATACAGATGAAGGAGACGGTCGGTTGCCTACCTACTACTTATGTGGCCCACCACTACCCACGCGATGCTCCTTTCATACCGAGATTTGCAAGATATTTAAGAATTGAAATCGATATTTTCCTACCCTTTGTCTCAATTTTATATAGGGTTCGACTCGATATGTAACATTACTAAAGTCAAAGTCTTCTCAGTCAGTTGCCTTTTAGAAGCCTCAGCACAAGCACAGAAAGACGAATCAAAATATATTTATTTATTTATTAGTACCTACACTTACTACTATCATTACAGATATCGTAATACGATAGTGCAACTTATTACAAAAATACTTGTTTTACATAAGTAAAAAATTTGAATGATAAAATAGATTTAAAAAAAAAAGATTTTAACTAATCGCCAACCCTCCTTGAGAATGTAATCGTTTTCAAACGGGACAAACAAGAAAAATAAATTGGAATAAGCACAATCAATAGCGAAGATACTTTTAAAAGAATGTAAGTCTCAGATAGGAAAACAAAACTAAGAATCCAATATCTCCACACCCGTATCCCTATATTAGAAAAACCACTATGACAGGGAATATATAAAAATATATGTGTTGAAATATAATTTTCTATATTCTAAAACCCATAGTACAAGCTATGCTTAGTTAAAACATAAATTGCAATGTGACAATAATAATTTATTCAATAAAAAATAGGTTTGTAGCCTTGATTTGACACATGGCATTGTTAACGTCTGTGTGGTGACGGGTTAAGAATACAGAGTGTCACCACCCCTATTCATCCCGCGGGTGTCGTAAGAGACGACTAAGGGAGCAATCTACGCAGGGCAACAGCACTGCAAACCCGTCTGGCCAGCGTGGTATAGTAGGCCAAAACCTCCTTACTAAGGAGAGGCCTATGTCCAGCAGTGGACTATTAAAGGCTGTTGATGTGATGTGATGTGATTGTTAACTGCAGAGCGAGGAGCAGAAGGCGACGGAGGAGCGCGTGTTCCAGGACCGTCAGTACCAGATCGACGCGGCCATCGTGCGTGTCATGAAGATGCGCAAGGCTCTCTCACACAACATCCTCATCACAGAGCTGTACAACCAGCTCAAGTTTCCCGTCAAGGTACGTCTGTCGTGACTTCTCTAATATTAATCTTGAAAACATAACGTCTTTACATTAAACAACCTTACGTATTGAAAGGAACAGCTGGTTTCTGTTCTCAACGTTTTCTGAAAATATTAGGGTTCCTTTTCTTTACCTTTGTGTAGCACTCGGAAGTATTAAAAATATGAATTACGGAATTTTGTTATTATTTAATCAGCCGGATACTATAACGCGCCGTCGAGTACGCATCAAAGTACTGCTGCACGTGGCAGCCTACTTAGTTCGATCTATCGACACCACCACGTACTTAAACCAGTACTAGGACTTCCATCCAACGCCAAGAAAAGTCCTCGTTCGAATGAGTTTCGATGTCCGTCAGACAGTATTGCTTAGCCAGTCAACCTACCTTTGAATAATTGTGTATAATTTTGTTTCAGCCTGCCGACTTAAAGAAGCGCATAGAATCCTTAATCGACCGTGACTACATGGAGCGAGATAAGGACAACCCCAACCAATACAACTACGTCGCGTAATGTCCCCAACACCTACACCCTCCCACACCAGCGCTGCGACAACGGGCCTCTACAGCAACTATACCTATCTCATACATAGTGTTTCTACTATCTATATATTATAACTATACAGGTCTTGAAATCAGAGGATGATATAAAGTTTCTTCAACCTCTTTATCTCAAATCTTTTTATCATTTCATCAAAACATACAAGTTTGGGACTCCTAAATACCCTAGACTGATATACAATCCCGACTTTTATTCAACGAGGTCTCCCAATTTTTTTTTACTTGCAATACGTTCCCACAGATTTTAGTGTATCTAACAGAAATAAGATATTTAAGCGTAGATCAGTAAAGTATCTATCGTGCTTGCTAAGTGGGTTCTGTCCTCGTCTGCAGTATATATCAAAATTCTATTTCTAGTGTGTATGGAGTGGGTTTTTTGAGTTACAAGAGAAGTTTCTTAGAGGCAATAATCTAACTTATCCTATTCGATAAGGGCTATGTAATTAAAATACTGATACGAATAATTATATCACTAAAATCTTTTTGTATGGTGCAATAACTACATAATAGTTATGCTAACATATATCAATTAAAAATATTACTAAGGGCTAAGTGCGAGTTTATTTCACATCAATACACTCTCGACAGCAAGCGCGTTCGGCGTTGTGATTGGTTAAGATTTTTTCGGGTCTATCGCAGCGCCGAACGCGCTCGCTGTCGAGAGCGAGTACATCTATACAAATAAATAAAATTGGAGTGTCTGTTTGTAATATTAAAATAACCGCTTTTTTACTAAATGCATATGCCAAAATAACATTTTTTTAAATTTTTGTCTGTCTGTTTGTTCCGGGTAATCTCTGGAACGGCTGGACTGATTTCGACGGAACTTTCATTGGCAGATAGCTGATGACATAAGGAGTAACTTAGGCTACTTTTTTTAGACTAGCTTTGCCCCGCGGCGTTGCCCGCGGTTATAACAACAAACGCGGGTAACACCGCGGGTCTCAGCTAGTGTGAAATAAACTTGCACTTGGCCCTCTGATTATTAGGACACTTGACCGATCGAGTTGGGAAAGATTGGTATTGGGAACCGTAAACCATGTTCTAACATGTACATATAATACAATTACACCTTAAATATACATAAAGTGATATTAGGGAATTAAGTGCCCTCCTTGAAAAATGACACTATTTGTGCAAGGAATAAAAACAACCGAATATTTAACTATTTTATTTTAACATTTATATGTTTGTTTTATTTAGTAATGCAGCCTCAGTACGTGATAGTTATTAGCTACAAAGGTAGCTGTTTTACAATTTTGAAAGTGAATTTCCTTGAATATATATTTTTCCAGTTTACTAGACTGATGACTAAATTACTATTGATATGGACTGGCCTATTATTCTAGTAGTTAGTGATTCTAGCTGATGAGCGACAGGCCGTGGGTTCGATTCCCATCAAAAACAAGTAATTATATGTTCTCGTTCGGGGTATAATTTATTCATGTTACGGTATGTATTCAGACATATATAAGTATGTTTAGCAGCAGTCTGGTTACCATAGTACAGGCTCTGCCTAGTTGATCTTAGAAGGATAAACAATTTAATAACCATAAAGTATACACCTGTGTTTACAAACGCTATGAGAGCCCACAGTGAGTACAGATACATAAGATCGGCAATTTCAATTCATAAACAATAATTAAGGGAGGCCCAACTCTCCATTAGAGGCGATTGAGTAAAATGTCGGTCACAGTAACAGCTGATATGAAAATTTGTTGCTTTTTTTACAGCTGCTAAATGAGGAGATGGATTAAAGCAGCGAAAAAGAATTTGATTATGGAATTAATGATGTTCTAACCGAACAGAGGTCAAAAGTTACTAGAAAAGTAATTCTAGACTAAAAGTCCTTTCAATTACTGTAGAGAGGAAGAATTTAAAATGAATTTAGGTTGGTGGAATATTGTAGTTTATACTCATTTATTATCATCGTCTCATTAAGAAGAATGCTGGACATAGGCTTCCCTGAATGACTAAAAAAACATTATTTTCAAAATTAACAACCATTTGGGGCCTTTTTTGTTTTTACCTTTTGGAACAAAGTTCCTTATAGCTCGTTACACGCTTTGAGCGGATGGGAGCGAGACCGAAAAATGTGTAACAAGACTTTTTTTCTACACTCCAGTTGGCGCGTCGATGCTCACATCTTTACATATTTCGTATATATAGCAAACTTCTACCAAAAAGCGAAAGGAACTTCGTTCCGACCGGGAGTCCATAGATCTTCTCTCTTTCTATCTATATTTCCCACCTTCTGCAGTGTGCAATGTTCACAAAGTACATCGTTTCTTTTTGCCACACAAACGGTTACGTAATAGTCACATCTATCGGCCAAACACCACAAAGAACGTAGTGCATTCACATAGCAAAGGGTAAATTATTATTCACTTAGCACAGCGTTGCCTCCACGGTGGCCAGTGTTGTTAATGAACATGGGTGTTAGAATTGGGACATACGCAAGACGGGAAAGTTACAAACAATTGGATACGAGTCAATCATAACAGACGCTCACGATATACGGAAAGTTAGAAACCTAACCATGTTAGGTGAGAAAAAAGAATAGCAAAATGAATTAAGGGACATGGGTTCTCACTCTCCATTTATAATCTGTTTCATAAATGAGTTTTAAACAAGAAATGAGAATCTGCACAAACAAATGTGCACGTTAGAACTTTCGCACTGGCACGTGCAAGTATGCATTTCGCAATTGTAAATATTGATTCTCCAAACACAGGTCGTGCGATGAAGTCTTCTTTAAATACAGATATATGTTATAACATTTATATTATACAATTTATTATTAAGTATTTTCTGTTGGATCACTATGTATGATATGGGTGTGCGTTTCTATCGATATGTCAGTTTCAGGAGGGATCACTAATTAAAACTATTTATAATTTTCTATTGTTGTTTTATTCATCATTCTTCAGTATTATTGTTAATCCCTATTGATTTATTACACACAAGAATTATTTAAATACACAGAATTGATTTTTTTTTTTACATTTGTCAGTTGTTTTGCCAATTTTTAAAAGCAATTCTTATAACCCGAATATCTTATAACACGTTTAACGTAATATAGCCTAACCAGTTTTTTTTAAACCCAAAAATGCAAAAAAAAAAGCACTGAAATGACTCCGAGAAACTTTTAATATTTTTTAATCTTCAGATATGTTTGTGGAAGGAAGTATACAAACATATATTCCAGTCTATGTTTAATGTTAATATTACAATAATTAGGGTGTTCACGGATGAGTGTCTAAGACTGTTGCAAAAAATATATATTTTGATAGACAGGACAAAAACCTGTGTATAACCTATCTGACTTTTACAAGATGTGGCGAATTGAGATTTAACGAAATAATACTGTAGGACATTACAACGAATTACAACAAACAATAATTTACAATATTTACATTAATTACATTTTATTAAGATCTCTGAAAAATAAATATATATTTCAAAATACAGCTTATGTATATCAGCATTCTAAAACGTCCTAATTCTATTACATAGCAAGAGAAAATCGGTCCTTTTCGAAATGGAATAAAGGTATATTTTAAACATAAAGATGAAGAACCACATGAAAAAACAACAACACAACATGAAGTTTAGTCTACGAGATAAAAAAACCGACGAATAGAGAACCTCCTCCTTTTTTAAAGTTGATTAAAAATGTACAATGTTTTGATTACATGTCACAAATGGAATTTTTTGATTTTAAACCTGGACTACATTGTTGGTATAAAACCGTCTTCCCTTACAAAATAACATTCAGAACTTAACGTCGCAGTATTTCTATCAATAGCAGATTGCAGATCAACAAAAATCTAACCACCTCCATACATTTGTAGATTTAGTAATCTATTTATGCCCACGGCTTCGCTCGCGTAAATGTTAATTTTGTCAATAAATAGTAGCCTCTGGTATAATCTGTGTGTGTTTTGACACAACTGATTTGTTTAATATTATTTAAGTATTTGGTTTATTTTTTATATTTTTAAAGCTTTCAAATACTCTCTAATAACTGAGCAAAGTCTAGGTCATGATTATAAGATTAGTCAATGCAATACTTTCTACCAGTATGGTTGCAACAAAAATTAATGCACTTTTTCTCTAATTTTAAAACTAAACGTATTGGCAATGATTTTAAAAGTCAATTTATCCATGACTATTACGGCAAATAATTTTGTTGTAGATCAGTATCAAAATAACTATACTATTGCATGTGCATGTACAGCTTACAGACAATTATGGAGTTTAAAATTTTCAATATTTTTTAAATAGTTTTGCCTCAAATTTATATCTGCTATATTCAAAATTTACTATATCCTATTTTGTGAATAAATAAAATATATCGTCAATAACAAGTGAACTAGCAGTAATCTTACAAGTGATAAAGTAGAATGGGAGAAGAAAACTCATTGCGTCGACCCTAAAATATATTTGGGAAAACGGCAAAAAGATAATTACGTCAATAAAAATAGGTTGTAACTAGAAAAGATGTTTAACGTGATGTTGTTTTCCTTTGAATAAGAATAATCTTCTAAAAGCCAATATACAAAGCCATTATGAGCTCTAAGTTATGCCAATATATTACAGTCACTTCACACCTCTATAGAGGTGGTTAATTAATGTATATGATCCTCATTTATCTAAAATTTTAAACACAGTATCCAAGTGGTCCTTGTGGTAGTCCAACTCTTCAGCGAGGGCATTCGCTAGTTTATTTGGAGTTATTTCTGTGTCTAAGTAGTCACGAAGAAGCACCTGTCAAAAAAAAAAAAGATTTTATGTCACAGATAAGGTAAGATTGTACAGGGTTACTGGTTAAGTCGACCTAGGTACTTTAGGGAGTTGCAATAGTCATTATTATTAATAGGTTCCACTATGAAATACTATATCTCAAACCTATTTTCAAGACATTGGACTTTTAAGATTTTTTGGTAGATGTTTTATAATAGCAAAAAGCACAAATTTATAAAAAAAAAACTATGACAGTTAAGTTATAGAATTTAGAAAACATCAAAGAATTCAATGTGTATGAAAAATGGTTTTGTCAATCGTCGTTTTATATATTTACTCATTCTTTATTATATAATTATGGCTATTCGCCTGTCGGTGTAGTTAGTGATCTGGACTACTAAGTCAGAGCACGATCATTTGTTCTATATCTAGGTGTAATTGATCTATAATATGTATGTATTTAGAAATATATATGTAGGTCGTGGTGTACCTGTGGCGGCAGCGCGCCGCCGTGTCGCAGCAGGCGGTGGCGCAGGCGCTCGCCGGCGCCGCGCGCCAGGGGGCGGCGCGCGAAGTGCGCGTGCCACACGCTCCACGCGATACCGCGCGAGATCAGGTACGAGTAGTACTTGGCGCCGTAGCCTATCAGGTGGCTGAAGCGGTGCTGCCACGCCTTCAACGGAAAATTCTATCATATAGGTACGACTTTTACGAGCACTATACGGTACCGATTGTCATTGACACCTCGGTTCAAATTATAATTTCTCCTTAATTACCTAAGTCAATAAACGTTGAAAAATTTCAAGATCGTATCGATAACAAAATAATTACTGCCGTTCATACCCATTTGTTAATAAATAAAATATGATATACATGCATGAAGTTTTATTTAATATCATCTGTTACCTAAAATAAAAACGATTACACAGCTGTAAAAACAAAATATCTGACAAATACAAATGTAATTATAAACGGTTACACGTAATACATGACTCACGGCATAGACGAAATCCGACTGTGCAACTGTGCTGCATCCTCTAAAGACTATGGGTCTTAAACCTTCACAGTGTATAATAGGTTTTATTGTACAGGGAACGCATGATAAGGAAAAACTGAAGCCCCTGATATTCTCTCTGAAGTATGTCGATTGTTTGTACCCATTAACTACAGGCGTGGTAAAAGTCATAGACCATTTGCACCACCTATATGTCGCAAGGTAGCCATTTTAATTCCACCATTCCCCGGGCACTTACAGCACTCAATGCTCTTTAGGACTCAAATTCAGACTAACTTGTTTGCGGTTGAATAGCAGACGATTATGTCAGTATGTCTGGTGTACTGCGAGAAGTCTGTGTGTTAGAAGGAGCGTAGTTTAATATTGTTATGAGATAAAGTTGTTGTAAAATATCATTTATTCTGTATTAATGTTTTTCCCTTATTAGTGTAAGTGGCCAGAGGCCGTTCTGATTAATAATAAATAAACAACACGTTGTCCGTGTGGTGACGGATTAAGAATACAGAGTGTCACCACCCCTATTCATCCCGTGGGTGTCGTAAGAGCCGACTAAGGGAAAAAACTACGCAGGACAACAGCACTGCAGAGAGAAGGAAAACTTGACACAAACCCTATACCAACCCGTCTGGCCAGCGTGGTATAGTAGGCCAAAACCTCCTTTCTAAGGAGAGGCTTATGTCCAGCAGTGGACTATTAAAGGCTGTTGATGATGATGATGGAATAACACGTACCGTATTCTCTACATAGGGCAGTCCGTAATATTGTTTTTGTACTTGCTGCAACACTTCTGTTGTCCGTCCACCAGATGATGCGTTCTGTCCGTGGTAGTGCTGGTCCAACGCTGAGTAGAACACCTGAGTAATAAGTTGAATAAGAATATTTTGTTATTTAAACTATTAAATGATATACAGGAAGTTTTGATGATGTGTCAGAAAAACATCGATCGCGATAAAAAAAATATTTTTACCCGACTGTGTAAGGAGGGTTGTTTTTCGAATGCATGCGTGTATGTTTATTTGTTTAGCACACTGTAGCCTAAAAGGCTTAATAGATTTTGGCGTTTGAAGTGTCGTTAGATGCATCTTAATTGTGAGAGTGACACTGTTCACACACACACGGGTGTATGAAAACCAGAGATTTTATGGAGCTCCATAACCGAAACTATCGGATATCCGAAATAAAAATATATCCGTAACGGAACGCCGGATACACCGTTTCACAAGTTTCGGATAGTTTTCTTATAAGGGCGGAGTCTAAATAAAACGACATGTTTCGACAGGTTTTTGTTTCACCGCTCGCGCGGCATGTGAATCTTGTTTCAAGTGGGTTTGTTTGTTATTTCTAGTCATAACATAACCTCTTTCATAAGTAGTTCGTTTTTTAGAGTTGATACTTAACTTAAGAGAGTCTTGTGCTAAGTATTAAATTAATTTCTATAGTCAAAATGCGACCAAAATCGAGTTTAATTAGGATATTTTTTTATCAAGTTAATGTAATGCAAATTATTACATACTATTTGTGTTAATATTTTATCTCAAACTAATATCCGTAACCGAAACTATCGGATAATACGAAATAATTACATATCCGTAACCGTATCCGAAACCGATATAATTTTATTCCTATATCCATATCCGAAATATCATATCCATAACATCCCTAATGAAAACTATAGAAATGCCGGCCTTTTAGGAAGGAGTACGCTCTTTTCTTGAAGGTTTGAAGGTCGTATCGGTCCGGAGTAAGTAAGTATAGATACATTATCATGCAGTCGAGTTTTTTGTTTTATTTTTTCAATAATTATTATCTATACTCATATTATAAAGCTGAAGAGTTTGTTTGTTTGTTTGAACGCGCTAATCTCAGGAACTAATGGTCCGATTTAAAAAATTCTTTCAGTGTTAGATAGCCCATTTATCGAGGAAGGCTATAGGCTATATATCATCACGCTAAGACCAATAGGAGCGGAGCACCAATGAAGAATGTTTCAAAAACGGAGAAAATTTATTACTATTGAGAGACGCAGACGAAGTTGCGCGAGTCAGCTAGTTATGTATATTTGTGATAGTCATTCGCAAAAGTTTCGAAATTTAAAGTGAAGCTCTCGGATCTTCCTTCTTATTTGTATTGTCAGAAGACATGGTAGGTCAACTCACCTGCAACTGCATTTCACTGGCGCCGAAGAGATATTTTGAAGCGCACAGTCTGTGTATCATATCTTCTGGCATCGGCTCCCGCGTCTGGAAGTGGCGGGCGAATCTACGAACCACCTGCGATGGTCAATTCTATTTTATCTTATAGTATATAGTACTTACAATTATCTATAAAAACATTTAACCAGTACACCAGTAACAGTACACATTCACCTCTACATTCATTCATACATCCAATAAGCACAAAATTTACAAAAATATTACAAACAGAGAAGTATAGTCATTTTTTCATTTAAGACGTAATTTATTGTACTCCATATTTAATGTGATAAAATAAGATGAAATCAGGCCTAAAAAGGTAGATCCTAGACAAGTTCAAATTATTCAATGATAGCATTTCGGTGGCGGTACTTGCAAAAGTGTTACCAATAAGAAACTTTTTCTTCGTCTTTTCATAGACTCTAATCAAATCAGAATGTCATGAAGACTGTGGACTTATTGGTTGCTCTACTGTCTGTAGCAAAATCTTACTTGCAAGCACCTGATAATTTGTCACAGTAGAAAATGATAATGTTAATATCTGTAAACTTGTAATGAAATGTACGATGAAGAAAGGCGGCGGACCTCGGGACTGCTGGCGAAGTACTCCATGAGCACGCTGGGCACCTCGGCCAGGTCGGTGGCGCAGCGCGTGCCGGCCACGTGCTGGTGCTGCGCGCGGCCCAGCATGGAGTGCAGCGCGTGGCCCAGCTCGTGGAACAGGTTGTCCACGCCGCCCGGCGACAGCAGCGCCGGGCCCGAGCGGTGCCCTCCGCTCAGCGACAGCATCACCACCACTATCGGGTTCTGGAAACGACATCATCATAAACACCAAACACTACATTCCTTTTCATTCTTAATTATTAGCACGAATACTTTTAGGCTCAACAGGCACCCTTTTTCAAAAGATAAAACGACCTGTCGCATTGATGTTGGTCTGAGTTAAACTGGAGTTAAAAGGAGAATCTTTGTTACTCCCAATAAATATACCACTCCCACTCTCAGTGATGATCACTAATGTTTAGTAACCTATAAGTCATCTAAGAATTAAGACTCTTTTTAAGTTCTCTTTTTGAATTTATATATCAAATACCGAAAACAAAGGATATACAATATAATGTAATGTATCTATTATATAGGTTTACTTTAAGAAATAACAGCTCAATTGACTGCACGGACGGTGCAGTGGTTTACATGGTCACCTCGCCGCTTTCTACCGCGCTGAGTGTTGTGGGTTCAATCCCCACACGGGACATTTTGTGTAATCCACAAATTGTCGTTCTGAGTCTGGGCGTTCTTTGTATCCGTTTCATGAATGTATGTATAGTCCCCCGTGACACAGGATATATTCCTAGTTGTCGGAAGTTGTCTTTAAAAGACAGAAAGAATATGAAAAAATTGAATGTTACCTGATAAGAACCATCGGGCAATAGTTTCCCACCCTGTATCGTGAAATGACAATCTTGATGCGGCTTGCCGGGCCGCTCGTACAGATCACAGTAGATGTGGCCGAGTAACCCTTCAGATTCATGCACTACAGCTAGTTTATACACATCCGGGGACCATGATTCACCTACAAAATAAATTACTTTATTAGGGTCTTGATTTATCATCATCATTATGAAAGTTGATACCGTTTGCCATCCAAGACGAAAATTGTATTCCTTACTGTTAAATCCTGAACCCGTTTTTTTTCCTTTTGTCTCTACTACAAACCCAAGAATGGTTGACGTCAGCAAAGAAAAGAACCAGGCAAAATCCCTTTGCAAAATAAAACATTGCGCCAGCCTCAGATAAAAAATATAAAAGCCAAAGTGATTTGAATGTCTGAGGTCCTAATTACAGGATTGTATAATAAATGCAAGTATTATTTAGTAAACGTACGCATACTGCGTGACCCACTTTTTTACAATTTTTACTCTCTCACTGCTCGGTCACCACTCGTAGTATATTCTAAAACCTTCTCCCCACTAATGAAAACTAGAGTAGTGACGTAGTGACTCATAAATATGGTTTTGAATCATTTTTCGCAAACAGAAAGTTTAAAAAAATAGCTCAAATGTCTTAATTAATTAATTTTGCGATAACCATACTTGAATATAGCTCGAAAAGTTCAACATTTCTATAGGTGATATTGACTTCTTGAAGAAAACTCAAGACCTCCCTTCGATCCTGTGGCCAAGCGTACTATTTTGAAGAACTCCTAGCTACCCCTGAACGAGTCTAGAAGTATCAGTATGTTCGCTTATATACTATATCAGTTTTACAAGACTGTCATTGTGATTAAATTATATAAAAAGTAAAATTCACGTAAACATACCAGGCATCATATCTTCAGACTTTAAACTGATACCATATAACTCTTCGCAAAGCATATTCAACCCTTCCATACACCCTCCTAGCGAGAAGTAAGGGCTGAAGTCCGAATTAGCCACGTTCAGCAACTGAGTCTTTGCTTTATGTGTGAAGTATGGTGTGTCCCAGCACATGAGCTTGTCCAAATATGGAGTTTCTTGTTTCTTCATCTGGAGCATCGCGTCAAAATCCATTTTCGCCCGGTCGTGTAAATTGTCTGAGAGTATATCCAGGAACTGACGCACGTTTGAGGCAGTCTCCATTGTACTGGCTTTAATAGCCCTGTTGAAGAAGATAGTAGAAGAAACGATAAGAATTATTGACAAGCTTTTGCGTGTGACTCCGCCCGCGTATATGTCGGTCGCCGCGGTAAAAAGTAGCCTCCATGACAAATTATATAAAAATCGGTTTAGCGGTTTAGCAAAGAAAGACAGACCCTAAACATTAGATGGTTTACATAAAAAAAAGTGAAATATGACGATGCCTGTTAATTTTAATCACAATATCTGAGATGAGAGTTGTAGGTATCTGTAAGCGTTTGATATTAAGCTAATGCAGTGTAAATAAAAACCATGGTCATAATATATATAATATTTATATAATACCCTCCTCAATCATTCCTCGTACCTGTCGGCGTAGCTATTGAAGCCACAAATGGAAGCCATCTCGTGCCTCGCGTCAAGCGTGGTGGTCAACAGCTCGTGCTGTCTCTTATCTGGCGCCAGGTACAGTCTATAGGCCGCTTCTCTCGCGGCAGCATCCGCACATTCTGCGTATACGCCACTCACTATTATATCTTCCCCTTCGCTGCTAAAACTAAAATATCAAACATATTTTATTTTTTATTTAGGTACCTATTAGGCCTACCTATTAGGCTAAAGTTTTAGGTATGAGAGTTGAAGGGTACAAGAGAAGAGGCAGACCGAAGAAGAGGTGGATGGACTGCGTCAGGGAGGATATGGCTAGGAAGGGAGTAAACAGTGAGATGACGCATGACAGAGCAGAATGGAAAAATCATATATACTGCGCCGACTCCAAATAAAATTGGGAAAAGGGTAGGCAGATGATAGGCCACCAACAGCGAGTACACTATTACAATGTATTAATATACGTATAGATCTTAGAACTAGTATCTAGGCACTTACAGATAGGCACAACACGAACATATTTTATTTATACTAGAGATTATAACTATGTATTTGTAACTTAAATTGAACTTTCATTGTATAAAATCCGCATAGTCAGCGTACAGCTTTTTTCCACCTGTTTTCAAATAATAATGTAAAACATACTCTTTCATAAATGTAAACTTCTGTCACTTAGTCTACGTATATATTCCAAATTTCAGATTCGTCATTTTTTTTTTAATAGAACTCAAGGTACTCAATGTATACGCAAGGTACGGCCGGAGTACCCTGATCGAAATTGTCAAGCAATTCAAAATCTATATTATATATAAGAGATTTCCACGTATATAGTCACTCATCACGATATCTCTGGAACCATTAGAGCTAAAGACTTGAAATTTGGTAGGAATATTCTTTTCATCGAGTAGAGGTCAGCGAAGAATAGATTTTACAAAATTAAAAAAAAAAAATGCAAATAGCAAAACAACGTTTGCAGGGTCAGCTAGTTATATATATAATATTTGAAATTCAAAGTAACAACCTTTACTGTTAAACCTCAAAAAAAAAACTTCAGTAGGTATCAAATATTTCGGACATCTGATACACAACGCTATCTAATTTTAAACTAAGCAGAGCTTGTACTATGAAAGCTAGATTGACTGATAGAATACCTATACATACATATTTGTAAATACATACATATATATTATACATAGAAAACAACCAAACTCCGAAACAAATATTTGCAGATCATACAAACATTTGGTCCGTCCCGGAATCGAACCCGAGACCTCAGAACAGCAGTCGCATACGCTACCACTACACCACCTAGGCAGTTGCAGGTATGTTAATGTGCCATATATATATATAAAAAGGGCACATAATACATTTTGTTATCATTGTCATGAGTTTGAATTCTCTTTATCAGTTGTGTGACGCAACGTTTAAGGGCCTTGTGAATTTTTATTTCCTGCTTATTTTTTAAATAATTTATCTTGCGACATTTTGTTTAGGACTAGTCTGCGACACCTGTCCACCCGGAAGAATTACCGAACTTACTGGTTGTGTCAGAATTCATAAATTACGAGGACCACATCTTAAAGGGAATAGGGTTTTAATGAAGTGTAACATTATGTGACAAGGTACGGGGAGTCCTAAAATTCATTTCGAAATCTAAAGTAATAGGGGTTAAAGTATGAAATTGCCGTTGTATAGTAATAGATACTTTGAATTGACATAACACCTTCATGAGATTTTCGTGTAAAACTTTTTTCACATGATAACTATGAGGTTCTTCTTTTAAAAAAAGTGCAACATTCTATTTTCGGCTTTCATTTTTTTTTCTTTTAATTCAGCTTAGACGTAAAAGTATCCATTACTTCGAAAATTCGATTTATTTTTTAATACGAGTTCCGACGCGGAACTAAGGCGGCAGAAACGGCTCGCAATATTAACGCTGAGGAGAGGAGACTACTAATGAACGCACGATCCACGGTCAACGGTTAAGAATGCTTTTAACTAGGCCCTTTCTCAGCCTTACTTTTATTAGAGCCGATCATGTACTCTTTGACGTACGAAGGCAGGTAGAACATCCCAAAGATAACTTCTACTTCAATTAAGCCTGGCTTTAAATAGAATACCAAAAATGTGACGCCGACATAACAAGTCAAAAGTAAACTTACAATTGTCTAACATTCTGTGGTACAGCTAATCTTGGTACTCTTCTAGGTTTAGCAGCCCCAGCCATGAATCTCTGTCCAGTCTGCAGAATCAGATCATTGAGTCCCACTACCCGCCGGCGTCGTTCTTCAGGCAACTGTATGCCACTCTGTTCGAAGTCGAAAAGGAAGAGCTCCGCTAAATGCTGGTCGCCTGATGTACCTTGACGGACAGAGTTACGTAAAGCTTCATATAGGCCTTTGTGAGTGTTTAACCTGAAAAGAAGTAGTCACCATAAATCCATACTTATGTTAAAAATGTGAAAATGAGTTTGTTTGTTACGTTTTCACGCCTAAACCACTAACCGATTTTAAAAATTCTTTCACCAATGGAAAGCTACATTATCAGCGAGTAGGCTGCTTTATACAGCAAAAATAGAAACAATTTTCAAAATCAGAAGTGCCAGAGATTACCAAGAACATAAAAGGTTACAAACATTACCTCTTCATAACATTTGTTTAGATAAGTATTAATATACCTGATCATTCTCACTGGTGATAAACAACATTTTTTTAAAAGTCTGTTAAACTATTTGCTTGTCACCCAGAGGTCAGAATTCAATGATAATACTCTTTATTATTGATAAAACAAAACTGTATTTTTTAATGACAGTTTTGTTTTTGACCTCTCAAGGCAAAATACATCAAGCCCATTTAGGCTACAGAGGGTGCCAAAGAAATATACATACTATGGATGGAATAAAATCACAAACACGTGTGATAAATCATATGATTTATAAATCATATAAACCACTGCGACTTATTATTATTATGCTACCATCAGACTCGTGAAAGGTCTAAATCTAGAAATAACCAAATCATAAAATCACTTTGACTAAAATCAATAATTTCATCATATGATTATGATTTAAAAGTAGCAATAATTGCCATACCTAATATATACAATATACACTCAAAAATATAACCCTCCTGGTCGAAAGTCAGGTAAAAATTTCTAAGTTCTATTAGGGAAACTTTGTGCCTATTGATTACACATAAAATATAATAAATAAAATTAAAATAATGAAAGGTTAAAAACTTTTACAGATGTAGGTAGGATTCGCCCAAATCCTACTTATGTGACATTCCTTGTTCTACCCCACCTTAATCAGTTGCTGTACTACAGTCAATTTTCCAGCATGATCATTTAAAAAAAAAACAACTTACTTCTCCACCACACCACTGACACTGATACATGCTTCCTCTGCTGCACTAGCAAAGTGTGACTGTGGATGAGCTATCCTCACAAATTCAGCAAGGTCTGCCACTTTGCACAGCGTGTCAGATAGCTCATCAAAGATTTCCACCATAGGTCTCGAAGGGTTGGATATAGCTTCATCAATCAAACGGTCTGTGGTTGAAATTGCTTGATCTCTTAACACATAGAATCCCTCAAAGGTTACTAATTCTGGCTTATTGAATAATCCCTAAAAAATAATCACTTAGCTTTTATTTACAGGTTGAATATACAATGTAATATTTTCTTGTATATGTTATAATTTATTTGCTAAGAGCTATAAATTTTGAACTATTCTCAGAAAATGTTGCAAATAGTTACTTATTACTGGTTGTTTATAAAAAACTATTATGCAAATGAATGTATGGGGAAAAGGTAGTGTCAATAATATAATATTTTTTCTAATTCCTTGAACTTACAGTTCTCTCTCGCATTGATTCAAATAAAGGCCTTAAAGTAGGCCGGGTGTTAAAGGCAGTGGCCAATGGAGACCAAGTGCTGACACTACGATTAAGCTTCTTCTTGCGACTGGGCCGCAAAACCCATAATGGCCTTAGAAGTTTCATTTTTAATTTTATTTACCTGTAATAAGAAATATGAAGAGGAGTCAGAGAGATGTTTTTCAAAGAATCCTAGGTTGCAGGATCAAAACAATAAATTGTCCTTTCAAAAATCAAGTACGTAACTAAAGTAGTTTTATTTAAAAACATCAACATTTTTAACTTCGGTTCTTTAAATTTGTTGCTGCAATTTAAATAAGTTTTTTCTCGGTAGTAGCAATTTCTATTAAGTACTATAGTAGCAGTTAAACAGTCGTAAATAAGAGTCCTTTCATACCCATTCAAGACTTTTGAACTGATAGAATATTCCAACTTCACCCAACTAGATGGCACACTGATTACAAAAAAAAAAAAAAATATCTTATAATTTATAGGTTGTAATTTAATATTCAACTTACCGACCTCGTAGAATAATCTTAGGTTTAACTGTAGTACTTTAAACACTTTACCAAGGATTTAAAAAATATAATTACTTAAAGCAAGGATTTGTAAAAATAATAAAATGCTCATAAAATTGCCTTTCTAATTGGTTGTCTTCCTGTCAGTTTGTTTGACATCAAATGTCAGTTGTCACTTGATCTGTGATATGGTAAGTCCAATTCACTGGTATATTACTTTCACCTGTTCACAATAATTATTATTTTTACCTTTCTCTTTCACAAACCTTTTGCAATGTATAAACAAAAATATAATATCTTTTAATAATTTTATAAAAACAAGATGTCATTTCAAAGTTATATAAATTTGTATTCTTGATGTTTTTAGTACCGCAACTTTTATAAAGAAGTTTTTTAATCTGTTTTAACTGTCAAAATCACATTATTATGCCAATTTTAAAATTCACAATAATGGCAATTGGCATTGGCATCGTGATTGGACAATCACATTTGCTGACTGCTGTAATGTGTATTGTTTTGACTGTTTACTAACCGCAACACTAAACAATGACTCGGTAAATCGCAGAAATTGTGTGCGAATGTGAAATTTATCGTGATTAATTCACTTGTGAATCTGTTAAAATAATGGTAAGGTTACGTTATTTATAAACACGGAATTTTGGACTTGGCGCGCTAATTAATGTGTGGTTCGTCGTAAATAAGCTTTGTCATATTTTTAGTCTACTCCACCGCCTCAGCAGAACCAGCCTCCGCGCCGTTCGTCGGGTGATAGTAAGAAAGTGACTCCACCAGCATCGAGTGTAGTAACCAGAAATGGCGCTCGCAAGGCTAAAATCCAGACCCGCGCGATGTCAGCGTGTGCTAAGGTAATCAATTAGTCATACAGTATTCGCGCCCACACATAAGTCCATAACTAACGAACTAGTTTCAAACCATTAAAGTGTAGTAATTATTCTGTTATTATTTGTATGTTTACACTAACTATGGACATTAAAGAATAATTACATATTGACATATCTAAGTAAGGAGTACTTGTCCCCATATTGATTTTGTACTGATTTATCAACGTTTAAAATATTGCTATATATACCAGCTAAATATTGATATTGGGAATCAAACCTTATACAAATGTTAATGTTGTGTACATTCTTAATCACAACACTATTAGCCCCTTGGTAGATTTGTTTATCTGATAAAGCTGTAATAAATGTTATCAATAGAACTGAAGTTTGTCTTTATATGTTATCTTATACTGTTAAATTAACTTAAGAATCAGTAGAGCAGTTGGCATCATTCCGTTTGTAATGTTGAACGGAGTAATATCTTTGTTATGTAAGTATTTTTAAATTAACTTTTACTTTGAATACTTTCAAACCTCTTTTGAATTAGTTATGTATATAGTGTCCAGGGCCCTGTTTTATGAAGCTGACATTTCGACATATATGTCAAAAAGTGAAACAATTGTCGAATTGTCGCGATTAGGGTGTTTAAAAAAGGTGACAAATATGTCAAAATTCGACAGGCATATTCTTGACATATTTGTCATTTAAAAATCGTTTACTGAAACACGACATATGTCAAAAAACCACAGTCAAATTATTACTGACAATGGTTGGTGACAATTGTCGGATTGTTGTGACAATTATGTCGACTTTTGACATGTTTGCAAATAAATATGTTTTCTGTAGCTAAATGAGGGTAAAATAGAAAACATTAACAGAGTAAAAGAATGAATCAATCACTAGTGTAGCTTCGATTGTTTGTTTTAAAATTTCGTGTAAAATGGAAATGCACAAAAAAATTACCATTTTGGGCCTTATTTTCGAAAATAGGAATATATATACTCTTTGGGAAGTTTAGTGACAAATTGACCCACGATACTAAAATAAAAAAATGGAAGGAAATAGTCGAACAAATAACAGCATTAGGTATTTTCAACAAAGACTGGTAACGGCCCTGTTTTATGAAGCTGACAATCCGACAAGTCCGACATATGTCAAAAAGTGACAATTCGACAATTTTTCTGTTTTATCAAACTTACAGGCGACAAAATTGTCATGGTGGAAAATTGACAAATATGTCGGATTGTCGCGACAATCTGACATTTTTCTGTTTTATGAAACTTTTTGAGCGACAGGTGACAGGTGACAATTTGTCGTGAAAAACTTGTCAAATCTGCTTTATAAAACAGAAAATTGTCATGACATATTGACATATTTGTAGAATTGTCCGACAATTCTGACAGGAACGTTACCCTCTGTCGCTAAATCATATTCTGAATTTTGAAGGTGTAAGAAAGTGTTTATAAAATCGAACCCGAGACCTCAGCACAGTAGTCACATACGCTATCACTGCGCTACCGAGGCACTCATAGAATATTTCATACATACCTATACAATATAATACATATCTAATTGATAACTCCTTTATTTAAAGTTGGGTAACGGTCTAAACAAATTACGAATTGATGATGTATAAACTAGTTAAAATATACTAAACCTTACCATGGTCCTTTTGCGCCAATTTTGCCATGTAGTGTCGCGAAGGTATTTCCAGTCTTTGTTGAAAATACCTAATGCTGTTATTTGTTCGACTATTTCCTTCCATTTTTTTATTTTTGTATCGTGGGTCAATTCGTCACTAAACTTCCCAAAGAGTATATTCCTATTTTCGAAAATAAGGCCCAAAATGGTAATTTTTTTATGCATTTCCATTTTACACGAAATTTTAAAACAAACAATCGCAGCTACACTAGTGATTGATTCATTCTTTTACTCTGTTAATATGTTTTCTATTTTACCCTCATTTAGCTACAGAAAACATATTTATTTGCAAACATGTCAAAAGTCGACAAAATTGTCACAACAATCCGACAATTGTCACCAACCATTGTCAGTAATAATTTGACTGTGGTTTTTTGACATATGTCGTGTTTTAGTAAACGATTTTTAAATGACAAATATGTCAAGAATATGCCTGTCGAATTTTGACATATTTGTCACTTTTTTTAAACACCCTAATCGCGACAATTCGACAATTTTGTCACTTTTTGACATATATGTCGCAATGTCAGCTTCATAAAACAGGGCCCTGGTGTATTTAGTCTGTAAAATTCTCACTTATTATTAAACAAGATTTTTTTGAATAGCTGAGTTAATTATTGTGACTCTGATTACTAATATATTCATAATCAATTTTTGATTATTTCAGTTTAAAAAAAAAGCAGTTTTAAAATCTTCAAAATGCTATTCTCTTATTCAGTAACTATTTATTTCAAGGAAGCAAAAAAAAAAACACAAGATTAAATTGCTCATATGAATAAATATTGCTTATCATGATAATATTTCAACATTAGACATCTTTAATTTAATGATAACATAATCCATACATATATTATAAAAGTGAAAGTCAGTTTATTTGTTACTCTTTTTAAACTGATTTTAAAAATTCTTTCACCAATGGAAAGCTACATTATCAGCGGACTCGCTGATAGACTACATATGCTACTTTTTACAACATTAACCAATATAAACACGGCAACAGGTAAAAGCTGCTTTTAAAAAAATGTATTATCTATTGCAGCCATCAGCATTACTTGTAGCTGCTAAAAGAAAAGCTCAACAGAAAAAGAAACAGCACATTGACACAGAGCTGAGAGATCACTACCAAATTGTAAGTTTTTAATTCATCGATTTCAGTCGCATCAATTTTTACACACGCTGATAGTTTGTTTGCCAGCTTTTAGTAAAACTGAAAAGCACAGTAGCAGGCTAACCAATCATGTGAGATAGATGTTTTGTTAGGTGTAGAGATCTTTGTTCATTAATCAGGGTATAGGGTTTGTATTAGTTGTCCTTCTCTTTGCAGTGCTGTTGTCTTGCTCTGATTGCTCCCTTAATCGGCTGAATAGGGGTGGTGACACTGCGTATTCATAATTTCTATTCAGATTATAGGGAATGTAGTCCCGTGTAGGCATTGAACCCTTAAGACAGCGTCAGTAAGCAAGGTGAATATTTGTACTGCTGGACCTCTCGTGTCGTCAGCTGTAGATAGATGGGATTATTTAAATAAAAACCGTTATCATTAATATAATAATTATACATTGTTATAAACAAACACGCTTTGATGGCAGTCCACATTACAAAGTAGTTCCACTAACTGGCGCCAGTTAGATCAGCTCTAAGATACAAAATTATTGTACTATTGGGATATTTGTTTACACTGTTAATCAGTGACAGTGTAAATAAATATTAGAGTATTAGAAAGTAAAATACTGTGACTCATCTCAAAACATGTTTGATACCGTTATCGAACGTCATCCGCCATGATGCATTACCAAGAAGGTAACACATTAAAGGAATGAAACCTCGAAACTTATAAATAGCCGCTTAGTCGCTACTGGCGCAATCTATCGTATTTGCTTTAAGTTTCAAATATTTTAATTTAAATATATCGTTTCGTATAAATTACACAGTTTAGAAGCAAGTGTTCGGGGTATTTTTTTCTTTATCTGTAGTTAAATATATCTATAATACTATACTTAAAATACACAATCCAAATCGGTAGTGTAAATAGCGATAAATTCAATAGAAAAGTATATATACATCAAAGTTTGTGTACGTACTCGTCGTTGCAAGGAGCTTTTTGGGGTGTCTGATCATATGAAATATTCATAACTAAATTTCTCTTTTAAAAAGAACTACTGGGCTTTAATTTAAAGAAATACGAAAGCGATTTTAGAGGACGCTTATTTCCACATTGAAACCGGAAAATCTTATGTAGTGCAAGTCGCATTTCGACTGTGAGTCCGACGAAACACCGTCGTGAAAAATTTAACAAAAGCGTAAAAAATAAACACGTTACTTGTGGGAGGTGTTCAGTATTTTTTAATTTTATCATATTTTTAGGTTTTTTTCATGGAAAAACCGGAACCTTTATAGGATCACTGTTGTCCGTCTGTCTGTCAAAACCCTCTATCTCAGGAAGGCGTGGAGGTTCGAGTCGAGTTGAAATTAAAACCATAAAAGCTTGAAGCTGTGAAAAAATCAAACTTCTAAATTAGCATAAAAAAACCGGCCAAATGCTAGTCGAACTCGCGCACAAAAGGTTCCGGACCATTATCTATAAAAACGGCAAGCCCCCTTAAATATTTGTTTTATTTTATTTTAATTATTTGTTTTAAAAGTGAATATATAACAAAATATTCTGTAAATATTTCAAGCTTCAACCTGTTACCGTTATCAATATCGAGCAAAAACAGGCAAAAAAATCACGCACATTGACAATGAAGCGACGGTAGCCTAGTGGTTAAGGCATTGAACTTGCGATCAAGAGGTCGTGGGTTCAAATCCTGACCAGTACACTACTGACGTGAACCCACTCCTAACACAAGCTATTTAGCTTAGCGGGAGAGGTTAAAGGGAATACTAGTAATTTTGGTTGAAGTGAGGCCATCTGTCACCCTAGCAGAAGCAGGCCGGGTTGGCGGGCGTGGCGCGTTCCTTCCTAGGGTACACCTGGTTCCCCGGCTACTGGTACCCGAGACGGCGGTCGGTTCATGCCCGACATGACCACCGGTGGGTGGTGTCCGAAGAGAATTCCGATTTTTTGACCAAAAAAAAAAATAGAAAGGGTTCTTCCCGTTGACCAAGAACTTTGGCAAGTAACATCGTCCTATACTGTACAGGGCAAAATCTGAAACTATACATTTGTAATGAAATATTTTTTTTGTCTTTATTTAAAGTCCGTAATCAGTCATCGATATAAAATTTTACTTATAAAACACATTAATATAAGTAATTATAGATTTTTTTTAAATGAATTTCGGGAAAAGCTCGGAGAAAAACTCGGACGATTCCTGAACTATTTATAAAATGTACTGCCGCCCCGTCTCCCCCTCGACTCCACCTCGCCTGTGACACGACTAGTGTGTGAGAGCCATTTAGTCCTAAAGGAAAATTTTAAGCAGCGCGCCGCTCGTGCGCCCGCGCTTAGACGCTGCCTCGACTCCAGCTCGTGTGGGCGACGGGCCTTGAAGTACCAATATATATTGGTACATACGTTATACTGACATACTTCATAATTGATTTTCCACCTTTTTGTTACGGCACCTTAAAAGGGAGAGCCCACACTATATACCATCTAGTCCCAATCTAAGCAGAGCTTGTACTATGGGTACTAGACAACTGATATAGATACATATATACTTTTTTTGTAAATACATACATGTTATACATAGAAACACCCAAACTAAATCAAACATTAAATGTTCATGCACACAAATGTTTGACTTAAGCGGGAATCGAACCCGCCACCTTTGGAATAGCAGTCAGTTACACAAACCGGTCGTAAAATTTCACTTTCTTGAACTAAGCATATGAGATAGTCCATATCTTTATTATCGGTCTCATTTTAGAACTTAAGATTTAAATAAAATATAAAATTAAAAAATACACGAAGCAAGCAAGCACCTTCATTTCACAACTCCGTCAGTAAAACAACACATCTATGGTCTGCAACGTGGGAGTGGCAGCGGTGGCGCTCTGGCGCATACATCCTCCCCCTCCCCGCGTCACCGCACCGCACGTGTAGCCGCTCTTTAACGTAATAGTCTGCAAAAGTGGGCTTTTAAACCGACTCTGTCTACCCCTTCGAGGTATAGGCGTGAGTGTATAGATGAATGGACAAGATATAAATATTTACTTACGTAATGAAACAGATGTAATATCGCGTAACGAACTATTATGTAATATTAAAAATATCTTAATTCTACAAAATGAATTACGTTATAAATAACAGGTATTTAAATACTTCTTCCTGTTTGTTGAAACAGATAATTCTAACTGCTTATGTCACAAAGAGAAACAAAGATAAGAGCTTCCTTCATAAAGAGCGTTATATTCTGCCAAAAAAAAAATAGAGATCACGGTAGTTGTATATTTTGACCTTGTTTCGTTAAAAAAATAGTTATTCAAGGTCGTTTATGTAATCTATAGGTGAAAATAAAACTGTCATTGAGGGCTATAGTATAAGAGTTATTTACATAAATAAGGAAACGTCTAAACGAAGTATTTAAAATATTTCGTCGTGTGATTCTATGTGACATTTTGGGCTTATAAGTAATGATTGGTTACGATGACGATAGTTTCTGTGAGGACAGCAATTACCGTTGTAAAGGCTTCTTAAAGTCTGTAACATATACGATAGTTAATATCATAATAAAATGATTCTATAAGTCGGTCTTTTTAACCGACTTAAAAAAGGAAGAAGTACTGAATTCGGGTGTTTTTTATGTTTGTTACCTCAGAGGTACTTCATTCATGAAACTAAATGGAATATTGTTTTCTTATTTGGTAGGGTAAACTTCCCATCTGGTCCATATTAAATTTAAAAAAAAAACTACCCCTGAAAGAGAAAATTAAGGAATAAAGAATACAGTTTTTTATACAATTCAACACGATGTAGGCGCATTGAAGTCTTATATTTTTTTGAAGTATGATGATGATGAAAGTATTATATTTTTTTAAATTTAATTATTTTATTACAACAATGTCTTTGTGGTGACGGATTAAGAATACGGAGTGTCACCTACCCTATTCATCCCGTGGGTGTCGTAAGAGCCGACTAAGCAAACTACGCAGCAGACAACAGCACTGCAACAGAAGGAAAACTTGAAACAAACCCTCTTCAGACCCATCTGGCCAGCGTGGTATAGTAGGCCAAAAACCTCCTTTCTCAGGAGAGGCCTATGTCCAGCAGTATACTATAAAAGGCTTTTTTGTGTGGCGTTCGAGTGATTACAAAAATATAGCAGTCTCTCTGTAGCGTTCGTAGTAAAGGGTTTCTGTAGTTTTTAAAAGGACAACAGCTCAAGAGTTGAACCATTGATCAGCATTACCAGCATTGGTTCTGTTATTTTTAATCTTCAATATCAAAATCCTTTGCCCGATCTATAGCTAATTACCAAAAAATGTACGTTTTGTTGACAGGCCATGGATTCTAAAACAAGAGTCAAGGGTCCCACGGGCTTAGTCACGGAGCCCCGTATGACGGAACATCGCTGTCTATGGGACGAGAACTATCCTGAATGTCCAGAGCGACTCTCTAGTGTAATTGACAGGTAAATATATATTTTCTATCGTGGGAGAGCCAGGCTCGACCTCTCAGTCCAGTAGTTACTACTTATAAACCAGAGGTCGAGGTTTTGATTCCCATCAAAGACACACACGCACGATTATTAATTTTGTCTGCATACTGTATCAATGTACTTTCCAAAATATCCAACCAACAAAACATAATCCAAACATAATCCAACAAAATATCGTCTTGTAACAGGTTTGTAGTATTTAGTAGAATAAACACAGGTTTATTAAGTCGTTTCTTTGCCCTACTTAGATTTAAGATTAGCGTATGGTCGTCCAGTTGACAGGTATATATGTAAACTGTCTTACTTCAGGGCATGATCCTCTCTCAGAAATCATCCCTCCCTCCCCAAATGGTAGACTGTTTGTGGGATCACTTTTCGCGTAATAAAAACGTAAAAGTCTCAGGAATTATCTTGTTGTAGGTGACTGACTTTACTTAAACTTTAAGTAACAATATACTTACTTGTTACTTTCACCCGGCGACCGAGGATCCAACCTTTCACTTTTCGTCCTTCTCACTTGCGGGATAGACAAATACAACAGCTCATCGCTTACTACTATCTTTACTCGATTAAAAGTCGTAAGATAACTCACTAGCATCCTCTACTATCATTAAATCTTCCATAGCTAACCCAGCGCCGGTATTTCCAACATTCCCTCTATTCAGAACAACCAATTTGGTCAGAGTATGTCCTGAGTTCTCGACTTACAGTTATTAAGTGATGTGCCGGATATCCGTATCCGCGGATATCCAAGGGAGAACAGAGATCCGTAACCGTATCCGTGACTTTTTTGGATCTTTCAATACATATTACATAGATGAAATTCTATATAGGTGATTCTGTATTCACTGTAAAACTCTTAGGTATGTGTTTGTAACACTATAAACAGCAACTTTTTTTCTGGCCAAGGTCAAAATGAAAAAAAATAGGTCCTCCATTCAAATGACCAATCAAATGTTGTTAGTTTGTATGGATAAACAATTTTTTTTCTTTCGTTTTCGGTGTTAGTCCAGAAGAAAAGTTGTTGTTTATAATGTTATATGCACTTCAAAGGTTTTCAGTAAATTTAAAATAACCCAGAATAATGGTTATTAGGTAGCTATGAAAAACTATTGAATTCTGTTCAGATTGCTTTTTATTTCTTAAAACAAATATTTGGCACCTTTGTATTGCAATCATTTATCGTACTATACTAAATCAACTAGGCAGGTCGTAGGTACTGAAAGAGCTATCTTTATAATGAAATCAATCAAACATCTTTGTATTAGCTTATTAAAATAATGAAATATTTAAATATCAACGGCAAAGCGTCAAGTGGCGACAACTATCAAGGTCACGGGCTCCGATTGAGTAAGAAACTTAAGATCCGTATCCGCGGATCTTGACACCAAATATCCGTATTCAGATCCGTATCCGCGGATATACTTTGTTAACGATCCGGCACATCACTAGTTATTATACAATCATATGATTAACGATGAATTAAAAATATATTATTCCCAGGTGCCATGAACTGAAGTTAATAGACGAATGTGTCAAGTTCCCACCGAGGGCGGCGACTAAGGAAGAGTTGTGCAGCCTACACTCGCCGTCCATTTACGATATGATGGAGAAAACACACCAAAACAATGACGTCGACTACTTGGAAGAGATCTCCTCGAAGTATGATGCCGTATACATACACCCGGTGAGTAATTGTTTTCACTGTCATACTTAATTAAGCGTGGATTCCTACTTAGTTAAATCACTGTTTTATATTTCATCATTCAATCATTCATTAGTCTTTCGTTCATACATTCATTTATCATTTATTCAGTTTGTCTGTGTGGTTCGTTCGTTTACTGACATAATAGTACATAAACTATAAAATGATATGATTTTGTTAAGGTTATTATAGTGCAACAAAAATTATGTCTCAGTATTAAAAGTCGGTTATTGTGTAAGGCTCAATGCTAAACGAAATACTACACCTATTATCTATACAATGTCTTTTTGTAATGCTAAAATAATAGTTTTTTTACACAAGGTTATTTGAATGATACCTATGTCCTAAAACCAGTCTAAGTCTCTTTGTTCCGGGTAATCTCTAAAAGGGCTATACCGATTTTGATAATATTTTACCACCAGGTAGCTGTCTATATAAGAAGTAACTTTGCTATTTTTCCTCTCAGAAAACCCTGAAATATATTGCCAGGTTCAGGCATCGAACCCGATGTCTCACGTCCGTGGGGCTTCTGGTTCGGTAAAGTCCTATGGTCGCGTACCGTACACCAGCACTAAGGCAGTCCCCTTCAAATTCCACGCGAACGAAGTCGCGGGTGCCAGCTAGTTTGTTAATAAATATACTTAGGATTTTAAAAGCATTATCAAACAAAGTTGGTTTACGTCATGAAAAAAAAAACGCCTAATGCAATGCAATTAAAAAGTTATAAAAAAGTTCCACAATCCTTCTTTGTCGTCATCAGACCTTCCGTTACCAGGGCCAGTTTGTATGGACTCGTGAAAACTAGTTATATGAGCTCAGACTCTACACTGTTCTTTTGGCTCCAGTTCAAACCAGGTCCAAAACGCTTTTTTTCAAACGGTTTTGGTGTCATTAAGTATATTACTTTTATCTGAAAATTATATTCAACTTTACAAACGGATATAACATAACTCAAGTATTTCCAGCTTCTTATTATTATATAGGGTGTAAGGGACGTCATAACGAATTCATCAATTTTTTGTGCCGGAAAATTCATTTTTTTATTTATAAGTTTCCATTTTTTGGTTAAAAATGATGAAAAATGACATTACAATGAGTAAACAGAACATTTTACCGAAAACAATTTAATAAATACCGCATACGGTCAAAAACTGCAATGTAATTAATTAAACACCCTAAACGCGCTAGGCATCCCGTTAGTGCGCGTAGACTGTTTGCACGGAATACACATGTAGTTATTACTTTAGTGCGATACCTACGGGGAATGACCTTAACCTTTGAAAGCTGATTGCATAAAATGTTTAAGTGTTCGGTGTAAATGATGGTCTGAATACACTATTTCAGTATTCGTTACGACGTCCCTTACACCCTGTATACTTATCACGCGCCTTATGTCAAATTGTATTTAAAAAAGTTTTATTAAAACCATAGTGTCAAGTACTTTCTTTCACCGGTCAGAATGAATACTTACTGAAGTCTCTAATAGTATTACTCTGTGTACTGAAGTTTTGACAATTATTTTTAGGTTATACGTTTTCTTTTATGCAGTTTTAATATACAAGCATGTATTTTGTATGGTGATAAAAGAAAGCCAATAACAGTAAACACTAAAATAAAAGTAATATTTCTTTTGAAGATAATATTAATTTCTAGCCTTTGATTGCAGCTAACATATTATTTTGATACAAACTCTAATGTGTGCTAGTATATACGATAAAAATACTAGAGACATGTTGTTTCTCTCTGCATTCTCTATCTTATATATCATGGAGAGTTCTCCGAGGATTTTTTCGGACTAATACCGACCGAACTTTTCGACATCGTTCGGCGTCGTTGGATAATTGGCACTCCACACCACTGTCTGCTTTTTAAGACACTTTTTGCATTGTATTTCCGGACCGATCTAACCAAACCTTCAAGAATAGAGCGTACTCCTTCCTGCAAGGACGGCAACACGCTTGAGTAGTGAACTCCTGAGTTGCAGGCGTAGATGGGCGGCTGTAGTCACGTTACATCAGGTGACCCGTCTGCTCATCCCCTCTTGCATAAAAACTGCTCATATTAAAATGAATGAACGAATACCATGTAAAAGTTGGAGCATTTATGTGTATATTTATGTATGTATGTAAATGTGTGTATTTTTATAGTATATTTGTTGGAGGGATGAGGAAAATGTGGCGAAGAAAGTTTTAGGTATGAGAGTTGAAGGGTACAAGAGAAGAGGCAGACCGAAGAAGAGGTGGATGGACTGCGTCAGGGAGGATATGGCTATTAAGGGAGTAAACAGTGAGATGACGCATGACAGAGTAGAATGGAAAAATCATACATACTGCGCCGACCCCAAATAAAATTGGGAAAAGGGTAGGCAGATGATGATTTGTTATTTGAAACTATCTGAAATCTGGTGAGGTAGGTGCACTACCTACACCACCCAAAGCTTGGCTGATAGAGTATGCCCAAGGCATTAAGTTGTAAATAAATAAAAGTTGGAGAGCCAAGCTTCAGCACAAATAGGACTCAGGAGTGATACAACGCCCTCTCTTAAAACTGTTGTTAAGCATATATTTCTTTGCTCTTCACCGCGTGAGTTCATGGAGGAACGACTCCCCCGAAAGTTCATATAATACAAAATACTCTTAACAAAAACAACTACAAAACACATGATAAAAGACATCATAACCTTAAGTGGTATTAGAAAATTAAGTTGTTTGTCTCAAATGTTGGTTGGGTGAGATCATTTATTACATTCGTGGGTTGATGCAGTAAATCAAACATCTATTAAGATGACGTCGTCTTCTTTCGAATTAAAGGTTCAAAGCAAGTGTAATACATAAATTAATGGTTACGATAAGTACGCTAAGCCCCGCCTATAATTATTACGCGCACAGTGAATTTCGCGCATAGGCATATTAAATTTGAAAAACTTCAACACTATACGAGTATGGAGAAGTACAAAAAAGCTAAAAAAAAATTTTTTTTATTTATTTATAACTTTTTGCACAAGTACATGCATCGGCGGACTTAATGCCTAAGGCATTCTCTGGTGTATACGTCGTAATACCACACGCAGATACAGACATATATACATATAAGTAAAAAAAAAAAAATTGCCAATACAACAAACTATTGATCTAAATGTTAAGCTATTTTGGACTTCATAAGTTTACAGAATATGCAAAATAGACTTATAGAAGTTATAGGCCACCACTCTTGACCGATTTAAGTTATATTAGTCAATGGTTAAAAACAGAACAGTTAAAACTTAATAAAATATAATATTTTAAACAAATTATAATGTTTAAAAACTTTTTTTTTCAGAGTACCCACGAGCTAGCCCTCCTAGCTGCGGGTTCTACCATAGACATAGTAGACCGTGTAGTGTCGGGCGAGATACAGAACGGCGCTGCTCTAGTGCGGCCCCCCGGACACCACGCGATGGCTAGCGAGCCCTGCGGCTACTGCTTCTATAACAACGTGGCGCTGGCCGCCAAACATGCCATAGACAAAAGAGGATTGAACAGGTTAGATGCATGTTTTATTTTTAGGGTGACTTAACTATTTTAGTCGATGTTTGAGTCTACAAACTATAGCAGTAATGATGAATATTCTTACTTACATGTTTGAATTAAACCATATGTAAATATTTACAAAAATATATTTGAAAAGCCAAAACATTTTTATTTGATATATTATGCATTTTTATTCGTTTATCAAACGCATAGCTTTAATCATCCTGCGAGCCTTAAGATTGAAATAATATAATTGTCGTATCGAAATAAGTTTTTGCATGTGTATGTTATTTAGAAGTGGATAATTTGGTATATTGGAGCTAGACTAATGATGATAAAGCTAGGCGGCTCTCTAGTGGCTACTAGAAAACCGTTCGAATTTGGGCTCAAATGATTAATCTAGGAGGCAGATAGTGTATATATCTTTACTCTGTTTATCGTTAGAGCGTTTTCTTTAGTTTTTTCTTCATATTGAAAACAGATAAATAACTCTTATTTAACTGTCTATAATATGTTCTTAAATACTTAAAATGGACGTAGTAACGATCTTAAAAAAAGGTAATTAAAGCTGAATAAACAGGATATCTGGCTCATATGATCGTTTAAGTGAAAATAACATTCTCTAGCCCGAGGATTCATTTACCATCATTCATTCATTTCACTTTATTTAAATTTTCGATACGACCATTTTTCAATTAGTAGCAGCCCGTCAAAAATCCAAAAAAATGGATTGTTTTGTTATTAAATTTGTGTTTATTATACCTTAGCTGATCTTGTAGGCTGCCACTTTGTTAATCACTTATTATCGTTAACAGGATATTGATAGTGGACTGGGATGTGCATCATGGACAAGCAACTCAACAGATGTTCTACAATGATCCTAGGTATGCGTAGAAAGTTTATATATTTAGAGTTTAAATTATAAGATTAGTTGAGATAAGTTTTTAACGTATTATTCGTATATACGTAATCTTTATTGTATGTACTCGCTAGTTAGACCTGAAAGCTTATTGCTCCTAATTGGATCCTTGTTTTTTTTTTAGTTTTCAATCTGCTTCGTAAAGTAAAAACGTACATAGGTGTGTATATATATAAATAAAGTTGGTTACTGAATGTGGTAAATATTCTATATTCTAAAAAGGAAATATTTCTTGGCTGTCTATATACTTTTGAGACTACTGCACAGATTTTAATCCGTCTATTGGAATTAGAAAACTTTTATCACATTAAAACACGTTATCTTTTTTACGGTATTTTATTTCTGTAAAGCAATCTAAACGCAGATAAAAAAAAACATCATTCAAATCATTACGTTTTGCTGTCTTGCCAAGGCTATCCAGGGGAATTTCTGTAATCCATTCCTGGGATTCCACCCCTGCACATTGGCGACAATTCTTTGGGTCTATGACGCTTAGGAAAAACCCGATCTTCACGACATACTATCGACTTTGAATGACGGAGAAACCATACTTAGTCATTTACCAACCATATAACAAAAAAAAACTGTTTCAAACTATAATAACCATATGCAACACATTCCTTTTTTTTAAATCGTTATATCATAAACAGGGTCGTCTACTTCTCAATCCACCGCTACGAGCACGGCGCTTTCTGGCCTAACCTGCGACAGTCCAACTTCAACTACATCGGGACCGGAGCAGGCAAGGGTTACAACTTCAACGTACCACTCAATAAGACGGGGATGAAAGATGGTGATTATCTGGCGATATGGCATCAGCTGTTACTGCCTATGGCTTTGGAGGTAATATTTTTTGTTTATGGTAATAAACATCTATTTAAAATATTTGTTTTTGCTGTCTTCCACATTGGTTCCACATTTTCGATTTATTTTACTATTTTTTAAATTCTAAATAGTCAGTTCTACCGTTGTTACTATTGTAGCTGTAAATAAAATATGTAATATAGTTTAGAAAAACTTGATACAAAAGCTCAAAAGTAAATCTCTTTACTGTTAATGTTATAATTATCACTGTATATATTTATTTGTACAAATTGTTTAACATTTTGATAATTTCTTCATATATTTGTCCACTACAGTACCAACCGGAACTCATCATAATATCAGCTGGATATGATGCTGCGTTCGGCTGTCCCGAGGTATATATTTATCCTACTCTAACACATGCACTTAGCGTATGTATGTCTCTTTCAGTTCTCTCCCCAACTTGTTATCGTGTCGGCCGGCTACGACTCGGCATTGGGTGATGAAAAGGTTCGATTTATGTGAAGACGTGTGTTGTCTGTGAAGTCACTCATACTGACATTACATTCCACTAAACTGACATATAAATCTTTATCACATTCCTAAAACTGACATAGTTTTATTGTGTAAGTGTGATCATTCTCTGTGTTTGATGTTTTCAAGCTATATTCGATTTAAATATTCATCGATCGAGTTATTCATATTTATTAAAGATGTACAGTTTTATCATCATCATCATCAGCCTATCGCAGTCCACTGCTGGACATAGGCCTCTCCCATTGCACGCCACTTAGATCGATTTTGGGCTTCTCGCATCCAGCTCTTGCCAGCCATCATGCGCAAATCGTCACTTCACCTGGCTTGTGGGCCTACACTACGTTTGCGTATTTCGAGGATGCCAGACTAGTATCGGACCTTTCTTTACTGAGGAGTGAAGCGACTCTTTAGAGAGCGAACTGAATTGCCAACGCTTTGATTGATTTTGTTAACATTGATCGTACTTGGATCTTGGCATACGGCCTGAGTTCCTTTTGCGTGTTTGTGTATATTTAATAAATGATTCAAGTCTTACCTAATTTTTCTCATTAATTTAATGACTTCATGGAAAGTAATGGCTATCGCTTCTGACTAAAATACTCCTTGACAAGAATAGTATCATTTATAAAGACAATCAATTCATTACAAATAATTCCCCATGTAACAAATTCCATCTACATGTTTACTATAGATTATATTACAAGTTTCCAATGCAGAAATTTCGGTTTTATATTCCCACTGGCTTCACAGACTGCTTCACAATAATCTAGACCTTTCATAACTAGACAAATATTTGTTTTCATCCTCATAACCATGCATATGATGCGATTCTATTGTCATCTTTATTGACGATTTCCTTTTAGGAAGCAATTTAGAAATCGCCTAGGGACATCTTCTTTGATATTAAACCCATAAATAATGTTAAAAAATTACCCGTTTTTGTTTTCTCAGTGTCTGGTAAAAAGAAGAAATAAATTATTATATGTAGGCACCTACTGTAAATGTTCAAGGTCGTATTCTCACTTTCTTTGGTCATATTATGCGTCGGGAAGACAAGTCTGTGGAGCGACTCGTGGTTCAGGGCAAAATAGAGGGCACGAGGGCGCGCGGTAGAGCACCAATGCGCTGGACAGACCAAATCAAAACCGCTCTAAATGGTCCACTCCGCGAATGCACGAGGCAAGCAACGGTACGAGAGGAATGGCGACAAATTGTGAAGCTTGCCACCGCTCCGGTCATGACGACCACGACCACTCTGACAAGAGTGTGACGACGGAGAAGAAGAACTGTAAATGAACCTGATAGTGAGAATAAATACAAATATTTGAAAGTGATGTTCAATAAACGATCGACTGAAAAGGATGTTACATTTGAAATAATCCTGAAAATTGTTACATTTACATGTTACATTTGAAATATCAAATGAAATTTTATCATTGCATTTTACTATGCGTAAAAGGTTCTTATAATCACGAACCTCTCCATTTCTTCTATGCTCCACCACTATAATTACGTATATAATCACCATTTCTCATGCTTATGGATAATTACAGCACGGATGGTGTAGTGGTTTAAGCAGTTATTTCGCCGCTTCCTGCTACGCTGAGTGTTGTGGGTTCGATCCCCACATGGGACCACTTTGTGTGATCCACAAATTGTTGCTCTGGGTCTGGTTGTTCTTTCTGTCCATTTCATAAATGTTCTTGTAAAGAGACCCGCGACACAGGATATCTTCCAAAATGTGAATAAAAGACCAACAAAATCCGGATTTAGGACTGGATTATATGTACAGGGTGAAATGGAACTGACACCGGCGTGCTACGGCCACCTCCTTCACATGTTAATGTCAGTGTGTCCGCGCATTTGCGTGGTGCTGGAAGGAGGCTACTGCCTGCAGTCTCTCGCAGAGGGCGCTGCTATCACTCTGCGCACGCTACTGGGCCATCCGCCGCCGCAGCTTGAGAATGTCACTGAGCCTAGCGACTCGTAAGTCAATCATTTTTATTTGTATTCTTTTCTTAATATTAGCCCAATAGTGGTATATTTTGGACTAGCGATTGCCGAGTGGTCGAAGTAAAAAATATACGTTTTATAATATACATTCATTTGTAGAGAATATCTAATCTATTAAGTATTTTGTGAATTATGATTTACTTCAGTTTTATGGATTTTGCTGGAAAATATTCATGGTTTTAGTCCATGTTTCCAGAACCTTATGGTAAATGTAGTAAAATAGAAAGCATATTAATATTTATTACATTATATCATTGATTTAATCACTTCTCAACAGAATTCGGGAATCGATCCTAAGCTGCATATACGCACAGAAGCCATACTGGAACTGCTACACGTTCCAAACAACATACACGTCTTCTGGTCCTCCCAACGTGTGCGACGAACACAAGATCAAACTCACGATCAACATCAAATGGGAGGGTGATGAGACCAGGCCGGACAGATTCCTCACAAGAGACTGTTATCCACTACAGGATGATGGGACGAAGAAACGAATAGCCGAAAGGCTAAATCATTTGAGATTGGGTGAGTGTAATAAAATTTATAATAATAATATTAAGTAAAACCACCAAATTTTGTAAATACACTTTGTCAGAATTATTATCTTTATCAGTTATGTTTAATATAGAAAATAAGTACTTGAGGGATATAAACAATACTTAAACGTGAACGGCACCACCGGGGTAACAGCTTACATTAGCTTACAGCTTACTTACCGGCTGTTGGTGTGACGACGCGTCGCCACGCGTCATCAAAAGTTTAAACGGGAGCGGATAGGTCAGTGTTTTGGTAGCTAAGATCCGCTCCTGTATGTGTTTAATCTATCCTTACAAACCAGCACTTATCCTGATAGATGGAAACACTCTAGAGCAACGCCCGTGCCAAGAAGTACTTCAACAAATGAGATCAATAACTTCAGACATATTGCAGTATTGTCTATTTTTGGAAAATTATTTGAAACTATTCTCAATTGTTGCATTTTTAAACAAATCAGAACCCGGTTAGATGACTCACAGCACGGATTCCGTCCGTCGCGTTCTACTCTAACAAATCATATAAAATTTGTTGACTATGTAACTACTAGGATGAGAGCGGGTTGTCAAATTGATGCATGCTGCATCAATTTGACAACTGACAACAAACAAATTTTGATTTCTCTAAGGCATTCGATCTTGTGGATAATGATATTCTGTTAGCTAAGTTTTCAGCCTTTGGATTCAGCCTAAGGCTTTTGGTTTTCATGGCTAACTACTTAAGAGATCGTAAACAGTATGTAAAAGTGGGCAACTATAGTTCACATGAGTACTATACTCGATCAGGTGTAAGTCAAGGTAGTACTTTAGGACCTACCCAGTTTCTTGTAATGATAAACGATCTTCCAAGCGTTCTCTCTAGAGCTCAATGTTTGATGTTCGCCGATGAACTAAAATTATTTTTATCTGTCGCCGATACTGCAGATTGTGTTGAACTACAATCTGACATAAACGCAGTCTACGAATGGAGTGTAAGAAATAAATTGTCCTTTAATACATCAAAATGTAAAACGATAACTTTCACTCGTTCTCGCACCCCAGTATCGGTGACGTATGCGCTAGCTGGCACACCTCTCGAGCGTGTCAGCTTAATACGAGACTTGGGGTTAACTCTTGATCAAAAGCTAAACTTCCGCGACCATATAAGGCAAATATGTAAAGACGCTAATAAAGCCCTGGGGTTCATTATTAGGACTTGTTCTCAATTTAGCAACACACAGCCTATTAAATTGCTCTATAATGCCTACGTACGTAGTAGACTGGGATATAATTCAATAGTGTGGAGCCCGCAAGAAAAAATATATACCCTTTTCATTGAAAAAATACAGCGTAAATTTGCCCGGTACCTGTACAAGCGGGAGTATGGTTATTACTCTTTCTTGTTTCCTTCTATGTTTGTATCAGGCATGGTGGGCCTTGATACACTTGAGCTTAGGCGAAACTTTAACCATATTGTGCACTATTTGTTGCCAATTCATGATAGGGTAGACAATCCATCAGTGCGTGAATGCATTAATTTGTATGTACCAAATAATTACTTGCGCGGTTGTCGTCGCCATCACCGACTCCTGACTTATCCTACAACGTGGCGTCTCCCACAAGCTGTTAGTAGCCCCACGGGAAAAGCTATCCAACTAATTAATGTTTTTTTGCAAAATAATGTAGATGCAGACATATTATTTGACAGCTTACCCAAATTAATGCAAAATGTAATGATCTTTTTAAATACTCAAAAATAACTGTTACCTATAATGTACTCTGTATAGCTATTAATATTTATTGACATCTTGTAAATTTTTATGACATCTTATTGCTTTAATTCTTTATTTCATGACATTTTACTATTTCTGTGTGATTGTATGAATTATTAATTATTTGTAATTTATATAAATAATTTAATGTATTGTTTTGTATAATGATCTGTGGTATGTATATCTGATCCAATGTAGTATAGCATATAAGCGTTTTGGTTGTAAGACTGTGAGCTTGTAATGTTACTTAAATAAAATAAATAAATAAATAAAGGATATTTACAAAAATAACTTTAAATAGACACAATGAAACTATTTTTTTGTACAAACTTAAAAAAATATATAGAATTATAGTGTGATATGGTATCATAAGAAATTGTCCTTGTCATTTTAATGCCTAATGATCGGCTCTTTTGCTTCTATTTGTTTTAAAGAACTTGTTTTTTTCTGTTGCCGAAGACATTAATATGAACCAACATCAAAAGTAATGTAAAAAAGTTATTTATTTCCTTTCATGATACATATTTTGCTTACAGTGACGGATTTATCGATACCTCTACACGCAGTGGGTTATGTCTACGATCAAGCTATGTTGAAACACAAAAACATATGTGAACCGTAAGTACAAATAATTCGTTTTGAAATGTAGTATTTTAAGTTAATTTACTATTTTTTATGGTATAGGGCGAACAAGTTGAATGGTCACCTGATGGTAAGTGACTATCGCTATTAATAGACACCTGCAACTAACGTCAAAAGTGTCCTTGGTGCCATGTGCTCCTGTCCAAAAGTCCCTCAAACTTTTCCCTCTCCCTCTCAAATCCCCTCCTCTATCCATGTCTAATGACCTGGGGGGTGCCTCCCGCTTGCAAGACAACATCCACCCTTCGACATTCTGGCCAATGGTCTATGACCAAATTCGCTCCGTCGGTCGGAAAGTTGAAGAGGCCGCGCCGGATTAAGAGCTCAGAATGCTACGGCGGAACGCGCATACGCAGATAGCGCCTGCGTGGCAAGCACGACTCGAAATCCAGGCCTGTGAAATCCAACCTGCCGAGCTTCGAAGCGCGTGTAGGGAAGAACTACTGTGTCACCTACCGATTGACTCAGATGCTCACCGTTTACGGTTGCTTCGGTGAGTAACTGAATTGAATCGTGACGGGAGGTCACGGTACAATGTCACCACTGTGGGTCGGAAAGAGACTCCGCCCAGCACACGCTGGAAGACTGCCTTCCGAGCGTCGAGTCCTGGTCAGACAGGTTGGACGAAACTTGTCACCGCCAGCATTAATCGCGGCAATGCTGGTTCTCCCACGGTGAAGTAATTAACATAGAACGTACGTTGTCAGTGACCACGTGGAGTGCCCGGAGCGCATCCTGCGCATCCACGAGCGGCACCGCGAGTTCAGCCTGCTGTCGCGCCTGCACCAGCTCGCGCCGCGCCGCGCCACCGACGAAGAGATCCTCGCCGTGCACACGCGCGCGCACCTCAACAGGTACCTGTCCTAAACTGGTCACAATAAAATTCTGAAGAACAACAGTAATAAAATCTACAACATTTTAACTCTGTCTGGGGTCGATTTCTATGTTTGCAATAAATGATTTCACCTAAATTATTTAAAGTAATATCTTAAAGTACAGTGTTAGCTATCCTTCACTATCAATTATGTTTTTTATTTATAATATTAGTAAATAATTTGACAATAGTTGGTATGACGTCACGCCCTAGTATTTCATACAAAAATGTACCCTCTTTTGGAGTTAAAAGCACATCGATTTGACTTGATAGTCATTAATATGTGAATTACTTAAAGAAACCACTCCAATTATTTTTTAATATCGATTTTATAATATGTTAACATTTGCTAATGTTTTTAACCCTACGATCTTTGAACCGATTGTTTTAAATTTTGTTCTAGGCTAAAAGAGCTGGCCTTGACAAAGCTAAGAGATTTGAACAGTCAAAAGAATTCATACGATTCAGTTTATTTCCACCCAGATTCTTTAGAAAGTGCCAGTATAGCGTCAGGATGTGTACTACAGGTAATTTGTTCCTACTTGGGAACAGTTTTATTATTAAAGTTCAATTTTAATCTCATCTTGATACCTTTTGTTTCGATCAGTGTTAAAAAGATTCGTAAAATAAAATTGAGAACACAAAAACTTCAATGATTTAAAGAAATTACATATTTATATGTGTATTATATTGCGTATATTTCTTGTATCGTTAAATATTGTATTGAGGCTTTAAAATATTTTGATGATTTAAAAAATGAGAATTAAGGTTATATGGTAGCGCAGCGGTTACACATTCAATAGATTTAAATCTCTTTCAGTGTTCCATTGTTTATTAATGCAATGCAATTACAATATGTTAGTATTAGTTAACAACGCCGTATATTTCAGAATATAAAAACTCAATGTTTATTTTAAACCTACTTTTTATTATATCAACATTCTGTAATGTCGTAATGAACAAATATCGTATTGGCAGATGATAGACGCGGTGTTGTCGCGTGAGTGCGGGTCGGGCGTGTGCGTGGTGCGGCCGCCGGGCCACCACGCGGACGAGGAGGTGCCGAGCGGGTTCTGCCTGCTCAACAACGCGGGCATCGCGGCGCGCTACGCGCTCGGCGCGCACGCTCTGCGCCGCGTGCTCGTGCTCGACTGGGACGTGCACCACGGGAACGGCACGCAGAGGATCTCCTACGACGATAACAGGGTCAGCTCATCTCACTGCCAATACGTTTATACTCACCATTGGTAATAGTCGGTAAAATATAAAAAAAAATTGTAACCGTACAACTGAATACTTACCGTTTGTCTTCCTGAAATGGGCGACAACACAGTTACATGACTATATACATACATTTTACTGTGCATTTTGTTATATTTTATTTCAAATGTAAAATTTTATTATTATATATATATTATATCTCACAAACAATAATATTTATTATTGCGATATTTTGTCGCGAGCACTCCTAAGGGGATACGCACACCTTGTACGGCCTTTTGGGATGACCAAGGGCTGACTAATGTAATTCACACTTTTCCTCAATCCTCGTAACGTAGTAATAAACCTATTTCTTTTGAGTCCACTACAAGCAGAAAAGTATAATATTCAGCTGAACGCCGCCTAAAGTATTCTAGCTGTATTTATACATGATATTATAAATTGTGAAAACAAAAAAGTTATCCTATGTGTAAATCACTGAATTTATTTCGTTCATATTTTTTAAAATTGTCTCAAAATAGCAAATACTAAATGTATTAGGAAAATTATTGATTAATTTGGAATCACTGTATATAGATAATTATTTATTTATTTTTCAAAATATGCAGATCCTATACATGTCTATCCACCGGTACGACAACGGCTCGTTCTTCCCCAACTCCAAGGACGCCGACTACACAGCAGTCGGCCGCGGCAAAGGAGAGGGGTTCAACCTTAACATACCATGGAATAAGGTACATTTTTGAACATCGAAAACCATACATAATTATCAAATTTTCCATCCTAAAGCTTGTACCAATTATGTGAGTACCACCATATTATAGTTATCATCATCATCATCATATATCATCACTATATTTTACATACGTTTGCCTACCCTTTGAAAATAAACACGTATGTATTACATGCTATTAAATTATATTATATTTATGGATTTTTTCCGTTACTAGGTTAGCATTCCAAATGATGCTTAGATATCATATTTCAGAAATATAAGAATACTAGCTGACCCGGCAAACGTTGTATTGCAAAACAAAAAAAAATTAGGGATGGTTCACCATTACCATTTAGGGGTATGCAAAATAGATGTTGGCCGATTCTCAGACCTACCCGATGTGCACACAAAATTTCATGAGAATCGGTCAAGCCGTTTTGGAGGAGTACGGGAACGAACATTGTGACACGAGAATTTTATAAATAAGATAGTACCTTGTTTTATAAATTAGTGTGTGACTTTAACTGATAATTGGGCAATGTATTTGCGGTCCTTTCACTTAGTATATCATCATAATGTTTCAGCGAGGCATGGGCGATGCGGAGTACCTGGCAGCGTTCACGCAAGTGATAATGCCAGTAGCATACGAGTACAACCCCGAACTTGTCATCGTGTCCGCCGGGTTCGATGCCTGCGTCGGAGACCCGCTTGGAGGTAACATTTCGGATATCATTTTGTGCATCCAACCATATGACGACTGCACGGAGGGCGTAGTGGTTTAAGCGGTCGCCACGCCGCTTCCTATGACGCCGAGTATTGTGGGTTCAAACCCCACATGGGACAACACTTTGTGTGATCCACAAATTGTTGTTCCGAGTCCAGACTCACTTTGTGTGTACTTTGTGTCCGTTCCATGTATGTTTGTAAAGTCCCCCGCGACACAGGATTTATTCCTAGTGCGGGAGTTGTCTTTTAAAAAAATAATAATAACTCGTCACCAAATACACGTATTTAGTGACGAGTTATATGCTTTGACGTGTTATATTATATTCGTTTGTATCAGAATATGTATCTTTAATTAATTTTATAGAATGAGAATTTTGTTTTCATGATAAATTTATGTCACAAAATATTTTTTTCGCAGGTTGTAAAGTGACACCCGAATGTTACGGACGAATGACTCATCTTCTCCGAGGTTTAGCAGGCGGTCGAGTCATCTTGTGTCTCGAAGGCGGTTACAACATCACAAGCATATCCTACGCAATGACTATGTGCACTAAAGCATTACTCGGCGATCCTATAGTCCACCATTACGACCCCAAAACTGTCTGCCATTGGTCAGCTATCGACAGCATACATGATGTTATCAGAGTTCACAGCAAATACTGGAAAAGTCTCAAATTTCAAATGGCATTGCCCTCCGAACAAGTGTTAGAACCTCCACTACCATCGAGAGGGTTAATAATAGAAAATGACAGCGAAATATCGTTAACGAGTACGTTCGATGAATCAAATAAATCTATCGATTCAAAGGGCTCGAGTCAACTAGAAACATCACTGGAAGTAAATATGTCAAATTTGAGTATCGATAAAAAGTGTTCAGATGGTATTCACTGCGGTACTGATGACGAAGATGAAAAGCCTGGCGCTTCAAAAGATTGTAAAGGAAAAGCTGAAGGCAGTAGTGCTGATAAAAATGGAGCTAAACAATTAGTTGAGCAAGCGGGTCCAAGTTGTCCACCGAAAGCAACCTTAGTCGATTATTTAGCCGATAATATGCGAGCAATAGTCGATGGTGAAATGTTTGCGGTGATACCTTTGAAATGGTGTCCGCATTTAGATTCGCTTTTCACGATACCAGACGATGTAAAGTTTGAACAAGGCGTTAAGTGTGTTGACTGCGATCACACTGAAGAGAATTGGGTGTGTTTACATTGTTATGTGGTAAGTCTTTGTTTTTCTAGAATACTAGTTTTAGTGTATCCCAAACTAGCTGACCCGCGCAACTTCGTCTGCGTGTCTCAATAGTAATAAATTTTCTCCGTTTTTGAAACATTCTTCATTGGTGCTCCGCTCCTATTGATCTTAGCGTGATGATATATAGCCTATAGCCTGCCTGATAAATGGACTATCTAACACTGAAAGTTTTTTTTTAATCGGACCAGTAGTTCCTGAGATTAGCGCGTTCAAACAAACAAACAAACTCTTCAGCTTTATAATATTAGTATAGATGACAGAGAGGTTGTACTAAAGATAATTAGATGCTAAAAAGTCCGATACCGCTGTATTGGTGACTCCAATGACAGGATGGACTGCAGTCTCAGTCCCATTTCCTATCCAAGACTTCTAGGCCTATTCATTTTCCTTACTCGAATTCGACTTCTTCCTTTGCCCGTCTTAAAACTTACTACGATGATGGTGAAGACTTAGATACTAAAATGCCTGAATGAATTTCAATTTATTATTTAATTTGTTACTAAGACTGATTACTCAGCCGTTTATTAAATACATTTATACCTACATAATCTTACACTTTAGTATGTATATGAAATTATAAAGTCATTTATTATTTTGTACTAAGGTAAATAATTAATCTATTAAACAAGTTTGTTTATGATATTCCAGACGGCATGCGCCCGCAGTATCAACGGTCACATGCAGGCACATCACGCAGCTACGGGCCACGCGCTAGTGCTGTCCTTAGTCGATTTATCGGTGTGGTGCAATATCTGTGACGCGTATGTCGATAACGCTCTTCTCTATGACGCCAAGAATAACGCACATAAACACAAATTCGGCGAAGAAATGCCGTGGTGTTACAAGACTGATATACAAATGCAATAATTGTAGGCGACTGTTTAGGGAGACAGTAAGTTGTAGGAGGTAAAGATGAATACAGGAAAATATGTTGTTGGACATAAAGAAATATAATTATATTGTCAAAGTTGACATAAAAAAAATGTGGACAGATTTATGGAGTTTCAGAAAACACAGACTGCGAGATACTTTTACCTGGACTTGATATAAAGTACCTTTTGTACCTTAAAATAAACGGTATTATTCTTCAATTAAAATTAGATCATAGCTGTAATGATATTTTTCGGCAAATAGTTGTTAGTTAAATGAAGCAGTGCTCGAATTTTTTATAGTTAAAAAACAACATTTTGAGATTTAAGTGCTAAATAACTGCTGTTAGTGTGGTTTGGAGATTATTTATTCAGCAACCAAAACCTTTTTATTTCTCATGTTCGAGTATTTTTGTGGTTTAAAGAAAGGAAGAAAATTGAGAAGCAGCTGAATCATTCTGTGACACAATAGTATCAATTGCGCTGTGTTGACCGAATCAGAATGATTCCACAGTCGTGGTTTTTTAGTTAAGAACGTGGCATTCTAATATTTTTAACAATTATTTTACTAACATAGGTATATAATTCATAAAAAAATAGTTTAGTCTACTAGAACACTACTAGTGTGTACTAAATTGTGTTAAACATTCCAGCGTGTACTAAACATATAACCCTTGTATTCTTTTGTTTTTAAATTCTAGAATAAGTACAGAAAGCAATGATTAGTGAATACCGTCAATGCTGTACATTAAAAAATTCGATTCAACTACAATATCAATGTGATTTGTTTCACATCACTATCCGATATCATTTGGAATCAATTGCAATACATAGGTGAATTAACATTGAGTTGTTTGTCTTGTAACTGCAGAAATTTTACTTTGCTGTGCTCGATTCTTTAGAAAAAAAATGTGTAGAAATCGAATAATTATAATTATAGATACTATAGAGCGTCTCTATTCTAGGTTTAACACTAATCTACTATGTAAATGTATATAAATACATATGAGACGTAGTATCTATGTTGAAAACTAAACAAAAAACTTAATTTAAATCCCACGAAGTACAATTTATTGGCCATTATGTTGTGCGTGCAAATTAGCACTTGTATATTTATGTAAATAACAATTATTTATACTTATGTACAATTTTTTTATTCGTAATTAAAAGACCGTGTATCAGTTTACTTGGTCTGTTTTTATTTGCTTCTCGGTAGATATATCTTTGAGATTTCTTGATGCGTAACGTTGCAAATTAGGAATAAATAATATCATTAATTGCGATATTTTATATTGAAATTGACATTTTCATGAATATGGGAGTTGATCAATATTAAAAATAAATATAGACGAATTGATAACCTGTAAAAATACAATGATTTCACTATTATCTCTTTAAACTTCAGTTAATTTGATTAGTTTTAGGCTATTTCATACTTTTCATTACACATTTGTTTGTACCAAACTTTTGTAAAAGATGCATATCGTTTTAAATAATTTCCTTTTTATTATCTGTTACTTATTTAATCTCTATGCTCCTTGCTCTATTTTTCAATATGTATGCAAAATTAATTGATGATTGAATGAATGGTACTGCAAGGCATTAAAATGAATTACTTTAATATATTAGATTCTGCTTATGTGTGTATATAAACAACCGCCGCTTCGCTTGCGGGATCAAAAGCGTGAGCAAAAGAGATCAAAATTAAATTAAGTGCTCTTAAATTTGTTTGAAAAAGGTTTTTTTCGTATTTAAAACAATAAAACTATGTACTCATCTCGCCTTAGTGTAATTGAAGGCTTTAATATTGTCAGGTTTTAGAATTAAACGGTGCAAAGTTATCCACAGATATATCTACCAAATAGTAGTTTTTTTACTAATAGAAATGTTTATATTTTATAAACGCTCTGCATGTTAATTAATATGTCATTCGATAGTAATGAAAGAATCTTACTATTTATTTATATAAAAAAATGTGTCATATATTGCTTAATGTTGTAACACCTATGTTGTTATTAAACCCCCTGTTATGCTAATTAAAATATAAGAATTACTACTAAATGTAAAGATTTTGTAACATTGACAAAAGTCCTATATACATATTGTAAGATACGGTTTTCGGTGGCCTAAATGCTGTTTCGTATGACGGAGCACTTTTTCCTGCATACGAAACGGCAATTTTGTATTTCCAAAGTCCTGAGAGAAACAGCTAAATTTTACCAGTTACCAGTAGGGGTGACTCTATTAAGCTCTCGAAAAGGTCGCAGCTCATACATTATCAACAGCGGGTTTGGGCTTCTGCCGCATAGAACCTTGCCATAGCCACAATTTAAAAATTAGAAGTGAAATGTAGTTAGGAATTATTGTCGATGTAATGTTTTGGTGTTGGTTATAATAAAGTTACATTTCCTATACTAGAAGACATACGCAATTTCAAGTTCGAGATTGTATCAAATTTGTAGTATTTTGACATAGAACTATTTTACAGATGAATCTCTTTATTATAATCTTCCCACTATTGGCAGTGTTTAGTGCCAAATACTATTTATTATGAATATCCACTAAAATGTTATAACAATAATAAAACCATATCATATTAATTCATAATCTTGTTTTCTTTAAGCCCTGGGTTATTTAATGTTGACTGTTATCACTGTTCAACTAGTGTGACATCTTAGCACTATCACGGGTCCAAGCTATTGACAGTATGAAATAATAATTTTACTTTTAAAACTATTAATTGAAAAAAACTTGGGCCATTTTCTGAAACTCTAGTTACACAATAAAACTAATCTTTACACAAATCAATCTGAAAAGTCCTAAGTAATCTTTTAGGTGCTGACTTGCCGCTGTTGTTTCGGTAAGTCATCGTCGTCGTCAACAGTCTATTAGTCCACTGGTGGACATAGATGTCTTCTTAGAAAGGAGGTTTTAGCCTAATATACCACGCTGGCAAGACGGGTTGGTAAAGTACGTAAGTCGTATAAGCCGGTGACTAGGTGCCAATATTGTGGAGGTTGTCGCAAGGATACTCCATTCCACGCACTGCTGGAGTGTTCAGCGAGGACGCCAAAACGCTATGAACTCCCGACGGCTATTGGCGTGGGAAACTTGTAGAGACCATGGTCCAAAGTGAGAGTGCGTGGGTTTCCGCCACTTCTTTTTGTGAGGAAGTAATGTCCGCCAACGAGGCGGATGGAAGGGAACGGGGGAAGGGCCAGTGCTCCCTCGTCCCGAAGAAGTAGCTGAGGTTGTCCGTTACCGTTTTTTTCACGGTTTAAGGGGGCAAACGAGCAGACGGGTCACCTGATGGAAAACAACTACCACCGCCCATGGACACCTGCAACTCAAAAGTTCCTCCCGCTCTTGGTAAGAGCAGCCACGGGTACCCGAACTGTTCCAAGCGCGTCTCTCTAAATTAAAAGCCTCTATACTCATTGGTGTGGCTGCCCAAAGCGATTAAGGTCTGCAGGGGTTCTCGGGGACTTCCTTCCAAAGGTATATGAAGAGTGATTTCAGTCAGTTCGATTCCGACATACCACTTTACCGTGAACCCGGTGAGGTGACGACCCGTGGGTGTTTCAACAAGAAAAATAAGTAATTATTTTAAATATCTTGTTTTATTGCCCGTTTAGCTCGGATTACGAGTTAGAGATTTTTGGGTGAAAACGCAATCCAAACTCTCACGGTTTGCCTATACCAGACAGTATGGCATAAACAACGTAAGTATGTCTCATGCTCCCCCGATTTCGCAGGGTTGCGGGCTCCCTACAGAGATGACTATTATTAATGTTGTTAATTAGTTTTTTTTTAATAAATGCGATCGGGCAGCAACATATAATGATTGGGCCGATAGATGTAGGAAAACCCGTGGCTTCTATAGAATAGGGCTTTACTGTCGATCCGCGGGGAACTTGAAATAATATGATTTGAGTCCTCCTCGGATTGGGGCGTCTGATACCGGCTATGTTTTTTTTGGTGGGGTGGTTTTTAGTGGATTAGTGGAAACACTACGTACTCCTGGCTCCTGCGCCCCCGAGAAGCCAGAGATCCAAAGCGATTTTCTACCCACAAACAAAACAAAAGGTATCTCATGCTGAGCAATAGACCCTAATTGTCGATATTCCTATGGCGCTTAAAAAATTACTTATAGATGTAAGTGCAATCTTTGATTGTTATAGTTACGAGTTTGGTTTCGTGATTAAAAATACCTCAATTTATGTACGAAATAATATAAATTATTTAAATTAAATGAATAATCAGTCAATAACTAATTCACTTGTACTTTTCGAAATTTTATTTATATGAAATTAAAAACAAAAAAATTGTTGCATTTTGGGGATTGAACCCACAAAAATCAGCGCAGTAGGAAGCGGTGAGGTGGCCGCATAAACCACTAAGCCATCCATGAAATCAAAAATGTTTACATGAATTTATAACTATAATTTGTAAACACGTTATCGCAATATTCTGTTTATACCTAAAGTCATAAGACAAGATTCTAAAGTGTTGACTAATGACTATTTATAACTTTAAACTTAATTATATTTTAAAATACCAACAAAATCAGACAAGATAGCCTTTCATAATACAAATTAAGCTAACTTTAATATTAAGACCTAGATGAAATTTTAGTATTTTTTTTTCATTACCGCGAGAAATAATATTGTTTATTTTATGGTGACCTTACTTTACACATTTTAAAGATCATTGCCATATTCTATTTTTTATTACACTACGGTAAAAATTCGTATTTGAGAAACTTTTTTATGTTTATCATTTGTCATAAACATAGCTTAAACATTTCATTATATTTTATGCATTGTAAAAAATGTGGCTTGAAATATTATTTGAATTGGCAGCACTGTTTGGTTGGTAGTCATTAGGCAATCAAAACTCAAAAATATATATATCAACGACAGAAGCAGGTGTCCGTCCCGGCAATGATTATAAATCGTTAATAACGAAATATTTAACAAAATTCGTCTTTCTTCATAGCGAATTTTACAAAATGAAGATATTTTTAAAAACTGAATTACTCAAAGCTATTTCATTTAGAAATCCTGTGAAACTACCTTTTACGTATTGGGTGTTAGTGTTTTGTAGATTTGCTTTAACGTTACTACCGCAGCGAGGCTATATTCATCCAGACGAGTTTTTTCAAAATGTTGAAGTCATTGCAGGTGAGTAAAACAATATTTTTTAATTAATTAAATTTAATCATGTTAAAGCATAAACACATACAAAATAGACACACATAAACGCAGCTAGAGTTTTAAAAAAAGCACTCCAAATTTATTAATTTTCGTCTTCTGTTTATCTAGTAAAAAATGTATTATTACTCAGATTTTGCTAGTTCCAAACTTTATATATTAAGTAACTAACTTTAGTTTACTATGTTACTTCAGAGTAACTATATGTTATATTTATCCCATAAAAATTCTTATTTTATTATTAGTATAAATAATAATTTTGAATCATACATTACCATTATAATGAGTACTTATTAAAGCCTATCTAAACAAACCTTAATTATCATAACATCATCATTTCATAACAAAATGCTGATCTCTTTCAATCATTTCTTTGAATTTGTTATCAAAAAATACACCCTTCAGAGAATGCAGAAATAATAAAGATAAAAACCATAAAGTTGAGATTATGCAGTAAATTAATCAAATTCATTTATTTTTCAGGGGATATTCTATCCATAGACGTCTCACGGACATGGGAGTTCAATCCAAAGTTCCCCATCAGAAATATCTTCATACCCAAGCTAATTCTTGGTCCACCTTTACACTTTATTCGCCTAATGAACCCTTATTCAAAGCATTATCTCAATGTAGATCTCAGAACGCCATATTATTTATTGGTTTTCCCTCGAATATTTATATGCTTACTGTCCCTAATTAATGACTATTGCCTATATAGAATTTGTGTACTCTATGGACAAAATTTCAGGAATAGACTCAAGATCTTTGCTAGCTCATATGTAGTTTTTACCTACTGCTGTAGAAGTTTCTCCAACACATTTGAAATGATATTTTTTTCTATGCTCCTTCTTTTAGTTGCTGAATGTATGATGAAATCAGACAATGTCATTTATCACAATGAGTTTTTGAAAGAGAAATATGAGCAAGCCAAAACTGCAGTTGAAAAAGTTAAACTTTTTAAACTGACTACGCATTTACCAGAACATAATTTGAATCGTGTGATTATTTTATCTACTATTGTAGTCATAGGAATCTTCAATAGACCTACTTTTGTGGGCTTTGCGTTCCCTCCGATATTTTTCTGGCTTCACAGAGGTCTAGGCTCTAAAGTCATTGGTTTTAAAGACTTCCATTATAGGATATTTATGTTTATAATCTGTGGTATACCTACCACATTTCTTCTTATTCTAATAGACTCCAGTTACTATGGATACATTACAATGGCTGATTTAGAATCAATGAAAATTTCATTGAACAATTGGGTGGTAACACCTTTGAACTTTTTGAGATACAACTCTGATATGAGGAACCTGACATCACATGGTCTACATCCACGATGGCTTCATTTAGCTGTGAATGTGCCGTTACTGTTTAATGTACTGGGAATATTGGCATTAATTACACTCTCTATCAATACATACAGGTAAGCTCTCTTTATACACATACATAAATATTTATATCTATACTAATATAATAAATGTGAAAGTGTGTCTGTCTGTCTGTTACCTCTTCACGCATAAACTTCTGAACCAATTTAAATGAAATATCGAATGAAAAGAGAATAGAGATAGTCAGAGTCCTGGGAAAGGACAAGGGGTAGTTTTTATCCCAGAAATAATACTTTAATGGGGTTGAAAAAGGAGCGTGGAAGTTTGTATGGGGAATCAAGAACCGCTATACCGATCTGAAACCTGTTTGAGTGATGAAAGCTTATCGTCCATAACAGATACTTTCAGTGGTGATTTACGCAACAAAAACAGCCATTTATTTATGTGTGTCTTTTCAATGCTCAAAGTGTCCCTAGCCACTTTACTGATTTGTAGTAGTAGGCGTTCTGTGATACCAATATTAATGCCGTTTTGATCTCTGAGACTTGGCTCAAACCAAATCTTCTCTCTACCTGGCTTTATTCTTATCGGGAATGACCGGATAGAGAAAAGGGTAGTGGCGTGGCCATTTACCTACGCAGTGATTTTTCCTATAAAATTATTTCATCTTTCGCTGCTTCTACTGAATTTCTATTTCTAGAGGTTTGTGTCAAGGGCACTAAAGCAGTACTGTGTTGTCTATTGTATTCTTTGTGTGCAGAGTATGCTCATCATGTCAACATGGGTTATTTTAATACCAATCTCCTAGATCAAAAGGCCTCTCGTGCCTGTAAGCTCCAACTCTTTCTTGAGTCGGTCAGCCTTCGCGTTTTGCCACTACATGCCACTCACTACAATAATATCGGCGAGGACACTTGGCTCGACCTAATCATTACTTCCAATCCTTCCCTTATTTCCTCTCATGGTCAACTAGACGCTCCCGGATTCTCACATCATGACCTGATTTTCCTCTTCTACGTCCTCAAACCTCCAAAACCAAAACCTAGGATTCTATACAGGCGTTGCTTTAGACTTATCGATATCGACAAAATGAGTGACGATGCGTCACGCATTGACTGGACATCCCTGATCGATTCCACTTCTATCGATGACAAGGTGCACGTATTCAATGACAAGTGACTAAATTGTACGACACCCATGCACCGGTAAAAAAAGTTATGTTTAAACGACCGCCGGCACCTTGGCTGACCAGGGGTATACAGATGGGGATGAGACGCCGAGATCTGGCTTCTGGGATTTAAAAGAGGACCGTGTCAAGGTTAACTGGCAAATGTATAAGTCTGCGAGAAATCGGTGTAACCAGATGATACGGAACGCCAAACGCCGCCATATTCTAGATAACATATCCTCTTCCTCTCCTGCCGACATCTGGAAGTTACTTGGAACTCCTGATATCGGAAGATCGCAACATGTAGACTTTCCACAGTCCCTAAGTCTCGGATTCCCTAAACCAACACTTCACCACTTCTTCCATGTTGAACAGTCAGTCTTCACATAATAATCTGAATTATATCAATAGTCTACCGCGCCCTAACTTTTCACTTTAGTCCTGTCGCAGAAGGAGAGATTAAGAAGATTATCCTGTCTATCAAATCCCAAGCGGTTGGTTGTGATGGCATTGGTCGGAGAATGATCACCACATTACTAGTCCTCCTCCTTCCCGCTATCTCCCATATTGTAAACCTCTCTCATGTATGGTACATTTCCTTCTTTGTGGCGGAGAGCATACCTAATCCGTCTCTTCCCGCTCATTTGCGTCCAATTTCTGTCCTACCCTTCCTCTCCAAAGTGCTGGAAACCTGCGTCCATAAACAGTTCTCTCGCTTCATGTATAGTAACAATTTCCAGTCAGGGTTTCGACCAGGCCATAGCACGGTTTCCGCTCTTCTTAAAGTGACTGGCACAAGGTGGGGATGGGGAATACTAAGGTTACTACCGTAGTACCGGTAGATTTTTCTAACACTTTTAATACCGTCAATCATGAGCTCCTCCTTGCTGTCCTATCCCATTTCTCGGTCTCTCAAGAAGCACTGGACTGGTTTTCCTCTTACCTTCGGGATAATCAGTCAGTCAGTATAGAAGATTCTTCCTCTGGCTGGTGTGATCTCGCTGCTGGCGTCCCTCAAGGTGGTAGTAGTAGCGTAACCGACTGCTAAACTAAAATTGTGACATAGTCTTTAAATACGTGGAGTGGGAGAGCCATGCTTCGGCACAGATGGTTTATAAGGATGAATGGGGAAAAGTTATAAATCTAATAGTACGTTCATTTAAGTACATATTACCTATTTGCCAGTTCTCAGAAAGCGTCTGCTAGTATAATTATTTCGTTTTGGAACAAAGTTCCTTACGCTCTGATGGATGGGAGCGAGACTGAAAAATAACATGAATGAGACTTTTTTCACTTACACTTCAGTTGGCGCGTCGACGCTCACATATGAAGAAGTCAAAGCGAAAGAACTTCATTCCGACCTGGGGTCCATAGACCTCCATCATAGTCCATTTCTGAAATAAAACAAGTACATTTTCTTTACAGATTCATTCGTGGCCAGTATAGCAAGCTACCGAGAATCCAAAGCATCACAGGTCTAATGCTTTTCTCTCTAGTCACACCGATTATATTACTATCTCTGTTCCCGCACCAAGAAGCCCGCTTTATCATACCCGTTCTCATTCCTTTAATATATCTATACGCTAACCATCTACATGTCAACGAAACTGACGGACTAAGAACCAGAAGATTAAAAACTACTCTACAAATTACTTGGTATGTGCTTAACGCACTTCTAACAATATTCTTTGGGTTCATCCATCAAGGAGGCGTTTATCCCTTCGCCAATAGTCTGTATCGTGAAATAAAGAATAATTACGGAGTCCACACTCACGTAATAACTACACATAGTTATAGTATACCAACATTTTTACTTCAGTTAGAGAGTACCACCAAGGTATGGACAGATAGAGGTACGGGCCATAAGTACAGACTAGCTCCATCGACGTTCATTCTCAAGTATGGCTCATTGCCAATGGATGACTTACTATTCAAAGTTGACGAAGTTCTGACCAACGCTGAGATGTTATTGCACGATTATAAAAAGAAATATAGGTTTTATGTTGCGTCTCCTTGCTCTTTAGAGCAACAGCTAAGGTCAGCAGCTCGAAAGTACCAATACTTCCAGCTTGTCGAAGAATTCTCATACTACCCTCACTTTTGTACGGAAGCATTTCCAAAGTTCCCTTCGAGTCACGACCAGTTTTGTGTCCAAAATAATGACTTACGAACAAACGAATCTCGCGTTGTAGATCTGAATTTGTTACAAAGAATCTCATGTTTTTTGCATAGGTTTTGTTTACGAATATATCTCGTTAAACCTGTAGCGAAATATCTCACTTAAATTTATATACATAACGTAGATAATAGTAAAGTTTACAAATATAATAAGCAATGCCTAATTTCAATAGAAATGAGGTTGCATACCGCCTAATTATAATTTTTGTAAGTAATGCTCAATTTAAGTTTAACGAAAATATTTAAAAAATTAAAAAGACATATACAGTACTATTTTATGTAAAACTGATAAAATAGTAAGTAGTCTACCCCATCACCGCTATACTGTTATGCAATGTTTTTTTTGTTTTTTTTTATGAGTACCTAATGAGATTTTAATTTCAATTAGTAATTTAAGAGAAATTTTGTAGCCATAAATTGACAAAAAAATGTACATTTTAATGTACTTAAACTTTTAATTTCATGTCATAAATGTTTTAATATTTATATATGATATACTTTTACCCTTATTTTTTACGAAGGGCATTTTATTTAACTAAATCAAATTATTATTATATTTATTAACACATAAGTTTTAATTCTTAACGGTTTTATCACAGATTGAATATCAACAATTATCAATATTAATTATTATTTATATTTCTTTGTGTTTTTATATGATGTACGGAATGAAATATCAAGCCATATAGCTTATAGCACTGAGCACTTGTATGAGTTCTTTGTGTTCTTTAGTTTATAAGATCGTGACTTTAAGTACGCAGTACCTATGTTGTCTGCTGTTAAGAAAAGGTTTCTTACCTGCTAGATCTTATGCTAGGTGTTTTTAATCTCATTTGCATTTTTATAATATTTAGCGGAGAATACATAAATGAACATTAGATTATGGACTGCTGTGTGCTATAAAATAATAAAAGCATCCTTTTTTTTCTCATCATCTTAACGTTACCATTTTTGTAGTCCTAACAGCCAATGTTAAGAACCAAGTGTTTATTGTTCGGACTCCATTAATTAGGTTAGGTGTAGAACTACCTTTTTTTCTTCTTTTAATTTTGGTGTCTAGAAGTGTTAAAACACAAATAGGCGATAAATTTAAAGGGTCAGTCACATGGTTGCCCGCTTTCAATGAACCTTTGAAAATAGAGTTTAAGCGTTGGCAATTCAAATTGTTAGGAGACCTTTGGACTTTGTAAATTCGGACTTTCGCTAATATTGTACTCACCTACCAATTTATTAATTTATGTTCAATTATACATTAAGCATATTAATTTATGGGCATTAGAATTTTTTGTGAGTTCAATAAACAATGGCAAAGAAATAAACAAGGATGCCCAGTACAAACGTAGGTCAACACGAAAATGATAAAATAACATTGTATTAAATTTCTGAGATCAGGAGATTTAAAATAAAAACAGTTTTTGTTTTATTAGTCTTTGAATTCTCCTTCTGTACCTATTTTTTTTTTCCTGTGCGGAAATCCCCTCTGATACCATCCACCGGTGGTTATGTCGGACGACCAAAACCCGCACGCCATCTCGGGTACCAGTTGCCGGGGAACCAGTACACCTGGAAGGAAATCACTGATACCCCGACGTACCTCGGGCTATCTACGTCGTGTAAATGACCCCCTCCTGTGTGGGAACCCTTTTATCCTTTGTGCTCCCGAAAGGGCGCTTGCTCCAAAGCGTGTCTCGCCACCACCCCAGCCTGCTTCTGCTAGGGTGATAGATGGCTTCAGTTACCAACCCCATTCCTGCGCTTATGGAGGACGGAGGTCATTCTGTGACCTCCGGCGCCTGAGTAGTCTGCGGTACTTGGCCCTTTGCGGGGCCTGGCGGGCCGAGAGAGTTGTAAGCCTCTCCCGGTCCCGCTCCGAAGCAAGATTTTCTTCATTACGTCATTGTTTTGGGCAAGTTATGTGGGAAAGAACAGTGGAGCTTGCTGTATGAAAGTTTGTATAAAAAAACGGTATCAACTGAAATCGGTTACAGTTGAATGCTGTTATGAAACTGCGCTAAAAAGATGACCGTGGCAAGTTTTAGAGACGAGTTAACTGGCCAAAGCTGATACCAGAAAAGCTGCAGACCAGAGATGACACCATGGGGAAGGTTTAATTTGTAAAATTAAAAAGAAACGGAACGGGTGAAGTATCTGTTGTTGGGGAATCAAAAACTCGTAGATAGGTTTGTTGAAAATAAGGACAAACTTAAATAAATCTAGTTAGTAATAATGAATTACACCACTTTACATTTTATTTCGTTCTATTAGGCCCAATGTTGACAAGGAGACATTTGATATCTTAAAGAAGAAAAAGAAATCCACATTTTATATTGAAGCATGTACGTGTTCTAAAAAAGGATAACATGAATAAAATCAAAAATAGATTTTATTTCTTTTTATTGTTTTGCTAGTTATTTTAATGTGGCCTACAAATTAAAGATCGTGAGAACTGATAACTTTAATATTTGCAACACTGAAACGTAACACTGTCAAAACAAACTGAATGAAAAGTGCTTTCCTTTCAAATTGAATACTATAATTTTCTTATAAATAAAATGGAATATTCTGTAAAGGAAATTGTTAAATCTCAAATTCAAATGTCACTTAAAGTTTTAAGGATGTATGACTGGTTGTTAGATTTTTATGTTTTGGTAAGTTTAAACATAATTATTTCTTTGCTGGCATGATCAAGAGTTGCCGTTGTATATCTTTTCAATAATTAAATTCTAGGATTTCTTCTTCGATAACCACTGGGAAAAGCTACCGAAGTCGTGGCGCGACAGTTTTAAAAATATAGATATACAACATTTGGGAGAAATACTATCGAACAAACCACCAAAACAGCTGTTGCCGTTATCATTCCTTGCTTTAATCAAATCTGTACAAGCTCTCAGCGTTCCGAGACAAAATATTTCCAGTAATACAAAACAAAGTGGAGGAAACTTAGATACATGTAAATATCACCCAAGATTAAAGAATCTCTTTCTCAAACATGTCAAACTTAAGAAGAGACACGAAATAAGCTTGATGGCGGATGTCGTTGTCAATACAGCAGTACAAACAGGTTGTAATGCAGTTGTAGACTTTGGCTCTGGTCTAGGCCACTTATTGCGAGTGTTAGCATATAGAGAAGATTTATTTGCTGCTGGCATTGAGTGCCAGAGTCAACTGACACAGGAGGCTAGGTCGGTATTTGGTATGTATTAAACTTAATTGTTTTAATACAGTATATGTATATTTCTAACTAGCTTCTGCTGATAATTCATCCCATTTGGCAGGTTTGGTTTAATTTGCCACCTTCAGGGGTTTCCTGTTTTAAATTTCAATTTGTCAGAACTGAAAGTAAACCCTCCAAATTCAAATTATATATTTGTAGCAAAAATAGGGTGGTACATGTTGTGGTATTAAAGGTTTAATATAGTGCGAACAGGCCCATTTAGTCATGAAGATAGCATGCAAATTTAACATGTATTTTTTAAAACTTATGTATTAGATATATTATTATCATCATCATTATTCATCAGTTTTTGTGTATTGATTATAATTTAACTTTTATTAATTATACCTACTACTCTCCACCATTCAAAAAGTCTTTGACCGAATAAAATGTATTTGTAATTAACCAATCTTTCAGGGCAAAACAAAATTCAAATGTGTTCACAAATGTCAGAGTTCTGAGGCAACAAAGATAAATAAAAATTGAAAAAAATTAATAACCCCTTGTTTTTTGCCGTAGCTTAAGAAAGAAAATAATCTGCAATAATGATGAAGAACTCCTTGTGAGGACTTGAAATGATATGAATCTCAATTTCTATGCAACACCACTTAGTCTACAGCTTAAACAATAGTGTATTATGTAAACACTACTTTTCTTTCCTGTGTAATCTATATATACCTACCATACTAGCTTTTTCCTGTGGCCTCGCCCTTGTGTATATCGGGAATTGTGGCAAAAAGCCTATGTCCTTGCCCACAACTTGAACCATTTCCACACCAAATTTCATCTAAATAGGTTCAGCTGTTATTGATTCCCATAAAAACTTCAATCAAACAATCCTATGTCCTTTCCCAGGGCTATCTCTATACCAAACTTAATCTAAATCGGTCCAGCTGTTTAAGCGACAGCAGTAACAGACAGACACACTTTTGCATCTATAATATTAGTATGGATTCATTGTAAGTCTTGGTTTATTTTCAGAAAACTAGACTTGGAATTGGAATACACAGTCGCAAAACATCTTTCATCTGAAGCTGTATCAAAACTGAAGCAGCCTTTACATTTCAATGTCACATTATCCAGCCACCATCAATTACGGGAACTAGCTCTACCAGACAGCATGTCTACCTATGGCTTAATAGGCTTACATCCCTGTGGGAACTTAGGTCCTTTGCTGTTGAAACATTTTGTTGAGTCAGACCATGTCAATTTTATATGTGTGGTAGGCTGTTGTTATATGAAACTGACTGATGAAGGGTATCCTATGAGTGTCTATGCTCAGAGTCTGGATAGTAAACTCTCTTTTGCTAGTAGGGAGATAGCTTGCCACGCTATTGAGGTGTACTGTGAGAGATTGAGAGAAGGAAATTATAAGGATTTAAAGGTGAGTGCTAAGAAGCTAAATATTTATTTGTTTTAGATTAAATAATAACTTATTACATTATTAAAATAGAATAAAAACTGTTAGGTGTAAGCATATTTGTTGTAGATGTATGTTTTAATTAACATGCATAGTTAGGAGAAATTCGTCTAGTTTCAGAGCAAACTTTTTGCACAAGTGCACTGTGCAACATGTTAAAATGAAAGTCACTCCTTGATAAAGGTTTGGTTTTGAAACTAGTTGTGTATTCTTGTAACTATTTTGTTGGGTCAGACCAAATGTTTCTTCCTTGTGAGTATTCAATCGAAGCAAATTATAGACCATGTTGTTGCAAGGGTCGTAGAGTGGTCTTCCACACTACAACCTTTGAGGATGTAGCAATGATCATTAACACAGTTTTCACATCACCAGAAACTACAGACCATAGCTAATTTATATATAAAACCTTTTTTTATAGATTCATGCTTACAGGGCAGCTTTAGAAAGGATTCTGGTTGAACTAGACCCTAAACTACGTCATGCGCCTGTTAGGAGCATCAAGCATTCTGACGCCATGACTTTTGAAGAGTAAGTTAGACATAGAAAATATAATATGAGCAATAACAAACTCTTATTAAAAAATCCTAATATTAAAAGTACAAAAAAACTTAAAAACAAACTTTAAATATGTGATTCAAGATGTCGTTTAGTGACACCAACTTTTAAATGCTACTAAGTTAGCAAACAAGCATATAAATGTGTTTACTACCATAATGTTTACTGTAGTTAAGAGGGGTTAACACTACTATTGCTGTGCTATCACCTGTCCTTATCATTTAGCAATTAACTAAGAAGAATAAGTGCTAAAAATATAATTGATGTAAGTTTTTCTGAGTGGGAGGCAAACTTGCAACTTCTGGCTCAACAATTAGGATGTCTCACTACTAGACATGGCAATTATTGCTACTTTAAAATTATATTCTTTTGATGAAATGATTGGTTTTAGTTACAGCGATTTTACATGTGATTGTTATTTTGTCATAGATAAAGATAAATGGCATTAAAATCAATCAAAATTCTTTTTATGGAAGACTAGCTAACTCGCGCAACTTCGTCTGCGTCGTAAAAGGAATAAATTTTCCCCGTTCTTCCAACATTCTTCATTCTCTTAGCGTGATGATATATAGCCTATAGCCTTCCTCGATAAATGGGCTATCTAACATTAAAAGATTTTTTCCAATCGGACCAGTAGTTCCTGAGATTCGTTCAAACAAATAATATTAATATTAATATAGCTTCAGCTTCTTAATATTAATATAGATTACGACCTTTTTTTAGATTTAGACCATTTGCGAGTCTTGCGCTAGCGTAATAATAATAATTAGGTTACAGTGGTTTTATAAATCATTCACAGGTCTGTTGATATGATGTATAAATCATATGATTTATCACATGTGATTTAATTCCATCCCTAGTAACCAATAAACTGACAGGTCCAGATCAATTTACCATGTGTTTCTGTACCTCACCTCATTGATAGTGATAAAATGATATTAGATAGTACAATATTAAAAAAATGTTGTTCTAAGTAATTCTTAATGTTTCAGATACTGTGCCTTAGCTGTAGAACGGTTGAACCTAGATCTACCGAAGTCACCAGATGTCTGGTCCCGCGGCAACAGCGACCTGGAACAATGGCGCAGAGTTGTGGTCGTGTACACGTTACGGCTCATGCTCGCGCCCCTCGTAGAAACAGTTGTGCTTCTTGATAGAATGTTATATGTTATCGAGAGAGGTAAGAAAATCCAGCTTGTATGTATGATAAATGATATTTATTTCTGTAAGTAAATCTTTTCAGATATTTTTACAAATCGGAATTTACAGCTAGAAGACGCCGGCATTTTCTAAGACTCACTCTGGGATGAAACGAAATGCATAGTATTGTATGCATTCTTAGTGTATTTTAGGAAAAAAAAACATAAAAAGAAAATTCCTGAGGTTATGGCTAATAGAAGCTTATAATGTAAATAGCAATAAACAAGTTAATGTGTAGGTTTGAGGTTACAGAGGAACAGCGAAACTATACTCTAGTTCGTCAATTAACGTTTTTTCACTTTACCATAGAGAAACATTGCTCCAAAAAGGTTGCAACACCGGCTCATTTAAAAGAAAAACAAACTTTCCCAAAATTAAAGGCTCTAGTTATTATCATTAAGTCTTCTGAAGTTTTCTGATTAAATACCACAACTGTGATAGGGTTTTGTTGTGTTCTCAATAAATATTTTTATTATAACTTTTAATACTATATTTGGTTGACTATCGAATGAAAAACGAGTTGTTATAATTTATTTTATTTTAGAGACAAAAATACACTTACTTGATTTCCTTTACACTTCATACAAATGAATATTTATTTACAGTCATACAATTTCATAAAGTAATAAAAACAAAAAGTATTTAATTTATCGAACAAGTTATATTTAATCTGAGATTCAATAACATAATTCTAAGTACTTTCTTTTTATATTTGCAAGCTTTTGTTGAAAAGACCGAGAAGTGTTAAATTTTCATTACATAAATTGTACATGTTATGTTCGAACTCAAATAAATTATTCTGACTGCAGGGATGGCGTAGTGCTCTAACTGATCAATTAGTTGCTTCCTACCTGAGTGTCGTGGGTTCCATAACCACATACAACAATTTGTGTGATACACAAATTGTTGATCTGAATCTGGGTATTCTTTATGTCCGTTTCATAAATGTGTGTAAAATCCAGCGTGATACATAATATATTCCTAGTTCGGAAGTTGTCTTTTAAACAAAAAATCTATGTTATCAAAGTGGATCAGCCCGCCTACCTTGCCCGGGCGGTGAATCCTCCCTTTGTTTCGGAGGGACATAAAACCGGTCTCCGCAGGCGTACGTGACTCTGAAGTGATTGAAAGTAGCCTTCATGTGACTGAAGTTTAAAAGTATTTTCTGGTATTTTAGCAACTCGGCAGACTTAGGTGCACCTTACTAGATTTGGCAGAACTAACCCATAATTTAGACGACCCGTGTGTCTCTCGACTATTTCTGGATTTCTTTAAACCACATAATATATGATAAAGTTTTCCTATAAACCCTAGCAAGGAAATGGAAAAGACAGATGGACGGGGATGCGGAATATTCCAGTGATTTGCAGTGTGCGACATAAATGTACTTCTCTGAACCTAATTATTCTTGGCAGGTCAAAAAAACGAATATTTTATAATTATTTGGATCTCGGTCAATTATTTCGACTTAAATTAATATTTGGCACTTCACTATAGTTGTTTGTAAATCGTTTGGGCCCTGAAAGATGGATTAGACACACATACATTTTACGACTTGTTGCTGACCCGGCCTTTATCTATCTGGCGTAATGTAAGCCAGGCGCTATGGAAGTGCGGTTAGTGAGAATATTCTCCACAAAATTATTAAATAAAACAAATTATCCGACTAGTTAGGAATGCATTATTTGCAAAAAAATGCTTTATTACTTTACAAGTTTTTTGAGTTCATTGAAAAAATAATTACTAAATAAGTAATATTAAGAAAGCATTAAGACATACCTACCAAACAATGATAAAATTTACTTACATTATTACGACATCAAAACATTTAAAAATAGATTGATTTACCTTAAAAATATATTTCGTAATAAACTTACATTAGTACTTAAAAGTCTACAGGACTTTAGGTTAGTCCGCTGTTTAAGTCGTAAAATATGCATAATAATAAAATTGATAAATGAAGAATTTTCGAACTCTAGTCTTCTAAAATTAAATGAGGAAATGATCCAAATCAAAAATTGCCCAAAATTGAAATAAAAAATGATGTGTATTTATAATCTGTTTTAAAGATACGCATTATTATAATGACTAGAAATACTTTTTACATCACAACTACGATTAGATAGATCACCTGATGGTAAGTCACTACCGGCGCCCATGAACACCTACAAATGAAGAGTGGCAACTCTGAGATCTATGCTAGAAGTAGAATGTTTTCGCCAACCTCACTTACTCGATGAAATGCAACCAAAGAAACACCGATTTTCTGTGAGGCCTTTTCCGGATTAGTTCTCCCACGGTTATGTAAATTAATTTATTCTTAATATGAATATAAACTGATATAATTGACATTGTCAATTATATCAGTTTATAGATTTAATCGTTTCTGCATTGATGATTTTGACTTTTTTGTGTTTTTACAGGACTTACCTGCGAGATTCGGCCTGTGTTCGACCCGAAATTGTCACCGAGAAATCATATTATAATAGGCAGAAGATGATTCTTACATAAACATAACATTTGTTACGCTAATTGAGACGCCTTATGTTACCTTTAATCTAATTAAATAATTTCATGAAATGTGTCTTTTATATGGCCTTTAGATATGGCTTACCCTAAAGGACTAATCTATAAAAATAAAAAACAATTGTGCAATTTATGAGTGAGTGAGACAGAAAACAGTGTGGAGATCTCCAAACATAGTGACACAATTGATAGTTACATTCAAAAAAATGTTTTGGTTGTCATGTTAACAAAATCGAAAACATTTCTTTTTTGATTTTATTTTCATCATTAGATCACACATGGGTCACTAGTTAAAAAAAACTATTAAATTATCATTTGTATCCTCAGGTACTTGGCTCAGAGCATATACATTAGACTCTGTAAATATAATTATTTAACTTAACAATAAAATCATTCTTATGATAACACAAATGTAGCAATATACACACACTTGCATAATTATAATAAAAATAATTAATATAAACAATCTGACTGCATTCTTCGAACAAATATAATATTGTTGTTGATATTTTTAAATATTCATGTGATAATATGTTGTGTATACTAGATTAAATTGTTAAATACCTAAAATTCCTGTTAATGTTGCCTGGAAGAGATCGCCGATTGTTACGTCTACATATTTGTAACTCATCTTTGGTTATGTGTTCAGAGCATACAATAAAGATATAAATAAATAAATTGTACTTAATTTTTTAAATATTCAAGTGAAGCAGATAGTTAATTTACAATATATATGTATATTTTAATACACATCTATGCTCACACACGTCACACGAGTCTTATGATTTAAATAATAAGTACCTTTTGATAAGTTCAGTGTTAAGATCCTTGAAGTTAGTTAAAATATGTCTAATACTTACATAGGGTTGGTAAAAAGGTGCTTTTTAAAACGCTTGGTGTTTTTACAGATGAATTTTTTTCTAAGCTATCTTATATGTGTAAGAAATATTAACAATCTGTGCATATTCCTTTGGTTTTATATAATAACTATCATAGTCCAGGCCCCTGTATTCTGTTGTAAAAAACAGAATGGTTAACGCGGGGTATATCTACTTAGATGGGTGAGTTAACAATGTTACGTCATACAAGCTGATTTTGTCATCAGATATATGTGTCGTTTGTATATTTATACTATTTAACAATTTAGTTTTATTATAGAGACATAAAAAACAGGTTATTGTATTTTCAATTTCTCTTATTTTTTTCTCTTTTTGAAAAAACGCTTTAAACAAATATGAAACGACAGCTGGTGAGCGACACCCTTCAGTTATATGTAGTTTTTATTTTAAATTAATTTCATAATTTAAAAAGATGACTATGATACAAACTGGTAGGTACTTAAAGATTGTAATAGAACTCTTTTCATTTCTATACATTATTCTAACGCGAGTTTTATACTCTTATGATAATTCAATATCAGTATAGGAATTTATATATATACAGATTAATAAAGGGATATATATAATCGAGGGAATAGTACCCAAATTGTATTGCAGTATGAAAATCATTATTTTCACAAATCTAACAGTATTTTCAACTAACAAAGCAAAAAAAAACATTTGTTATTGGGACCACTTTCTATACTTTGACTGGACATATTATATGGTACTTTTATCATTTAATAAACCTACCAATTCATGCTTACCTTCAATCTATCAGATAGAAATGCCATCGGTACGTGGTACCTTGATATATTTACATGTAACACTCGTGGGTACATCATGCGTTGGCTGGTGACGTATGTGGCAACATTGGCGCCGGTTCCTCGTCGGAGTCGTCCGAGTGCACGCGAGTGAATCTCCGTCTCTCCAACAATCGCCGCAGTTTGAACTCGCCGTGGCCGTACTCCCAACGACGTCGGGTCGCGACTTTACGACCTAGCAGTGTTAGTAAGGGACATTGTTAACGTATGGAAGGATTTGGAAAAGAATCGTCATTTTACAGACTTAATTGTTTTATTTACTTAACGACGAATGATTTCGTGGGCTAGGTTAATGTTCCAGTTTGTTTTCAAAACCATAAACTTAATAGATGCAACGTAAAGGGTATAGGGTAATCGATCCAATCGTTGGCATTCATCCAATTATTGGCACTTATGCATTTAAACTATTATATGTCCCCAGCGCCACTAGATGTATCCCTAGTCCGGCAGTTGTCTTTTTAAATAATAATAAAGGTTTTTTACATATAAACGAATAAAAACAAAAATGAAAACCAAAGGTAAGGGTAAAACCAAAAGAAAAGAGAATGAAATATAAAACAGGCCTTAAAAGTCAAATCTGGTTTGAGCAAGAAACAAGCAGCAAAAGCGTTTCAAGTACCAAATCCATACAATTTAGGTTAAATAACCCTGATAAAATAAATATTTCAAAAAATGATGGCAATTGAAGTGAAAATACCTAGGTACCATAGAAAATGCATCCAAACTGCTTCAGATTCTTTGGTTTTTGGAAGTGAAACTTCTTTAGAATCGTTGCGATTTGAAACTCGATGAAACAAAATTGCGTCACGATAAAGAAACAAACACATAAATGTATAGGATTAAGTCGGCGAGAGAATGAGATAGAATACATTACACATTATTTTTAATATAATATTTTGACAGTGTGAATATTTTTATCTTTTTATTTAATACTAGCTGGTACCCGCGACTCCGTTCGCGTGGAATTTGAAAAACGCTGCCTTAGTGGGTTTGATTTCCAGGCCGGGCAAAATTATATAAGGGTTTTCTGAGATAAAAGAAAAAAATTTTTTTCGGAAGTTTCACTTCTGCCGTGTGTGAATTGCACACACACACTTTATTTCCGCTTCTTGAATATTTACAGAACAGACTATACAGAATATTTACAGAATTAGGCAAACAGACTACACGTAAATGATAATCATTTGTAATTAGAAGTCTAAAATAAATTAGTGTGAAAGTGAATGCAAAATATTGAAAAAAGGTGCATGCAAAGGTACATCAAATAAAAATTCAAAAAGCTGCTTCCAATAAATATGTATTTTAACAAACGAATACATTTGTATTGCACATCACGTTTCTTACGATCACTCAATTTGAAAGCGCAACCAAAATTTAAAAAATAACTTTAGACTGAAAATGGAATAATAAATAAAATTTCATTTGAGCGCGAAATGTCTGGCATTTTGAGGCACAGACATCATTCCGTTTTCAGCCTAACATAACTATTTATGTTGAATAGTCAAAAAATACTTGTACAATAAATGCTCTTATAATACCCAAAAATGCAGTGTGTTCGTCAATTAAGTAGTTTTAGATTTGGCCATATATCACATGTAGAAATGTTTTAGTAATAAATACAATAGTACTTATTAAAACTAATCACCGGGTCATTGGATACATGTACGATCATATGTATTTAGTCCCGGGTATAAAATGGGACTTATTTAGTGACTTGTACTACTTAATTATTTTGAACTACACTTGTGTAGGCAGTCACTTATAAATGCCAATAATAGGAATAAAAATAAATAAGGTTACTAACATAATAAATTAACTACTTGGAATTTAATATTTAAGATCAATGAAAACAGATCACAAAAAATCTATAATATAATATAAGTTACAGCCATTAATTAGTTATATTATGAAATACTTTATATTTAGTTGTTTTATTACACAATCAGATTATAAAGCAATGTATCTTTTTAACTTGTGATTATATTTGTATAGTATATTTGAACTAAAAATATTAAAATTAACTAAAAATAATTATTCTTTAACGCTGCAATAAAACAATGCAAAAATTATAACAATAAATAATCAGTATTTGTGATTTCATACACTAGGAAATAGATTCGGACAGGCTTCACAATGTCTTCGTAGAAACTTAGAATTATAAATATACACGTAAAATTAAATTCAAAATACCAGTAAGTAAACTTAAAAAGTTGTGCAGTAAATAAAAATTAAATATGATTCAAATAATTCGATAACGTTAAGGTCATAGAAATAATTAATAAGTTATACTAATCTCAAAAACTTTAAAATTTTAAACCAAATCTTTGTTTTCTTTTCATCAGTTCGATAGGTAGTCAATCATATGATACCGAATAAGTTGCCAGTTCGATTAGAAATATATATGATGTTATAGTTTTATAGATAGCTATAAGTAATAATAATAATAACCTCACACATGTCACACACGGCTGTCTGATCCCAAACTAGGCAGAGCCTGTACTATGGTAACCAGACTGCTGATAAACATACTTAATAAGTAATGGATTTCAAATTATGTGTAAGGCTAATTTAGAAATAGTTATATTTCTATTTATAAAATATCTAGAATAAACAGAAAACAATATTTACATGCAGTATTTGCTTAATACGTAATACTGCATGTACGGTATTATGATGTCGAATAAGAGTAATAAATATTGTAAATGAATTTAAATAATATTTAATATATAATCTATATATTTTTTACGAACTCTGGCATAAAACATTACAGTTTAAGCGACTGTTAAAAAGAAAATAAATGAGTGGTCAGAGTAAGATTAAAATGCATAAATAAGTACACCAAGAATTCTGATCTATATGCACTCAACTATACCTAAATATTAAATAGCAAATACAAAAAAAATCTCAACTGTGTAAATACCTGCAAATTATAGTAATTCGTCTACTCTTAAAAAATAAGATCGTATTTCCTTTAATAGTCTCTTCATTTATAAAACTTATACGTTATGTATCAACAAAAATTAATGTTATGCCTCCAAAGTTTTAAAGCATCATAATTATTCAATACTCCATTGCTTACGTAACAAGTAATAGAAAGTGAGTCAATTTTTATTTCGATGACATTAATTCAATTCGTTGTTTTTGTCTATGGCCTATTTTTCGTTGATGTTTGATGTTTGGCTCGGTTACCGTTTGATTGTAATTTAAATAACATTGATTATTTTGCTATGTATCTATTGATTAAATAATAACTGTATCTATGATGACAGGATAGTAAGAAGACCGGTTCGCAATAAAGAGGGCATACTTTACAAGAGGCACTCTCTATCTCGTTTTAAGAAACTGAGACCTTCGTAAAATTAGTGGGTACTTTAGGAGGTGGGTGTTCGGTTCTGTAAGGTCCTCGTGTGTGTTCTATGCACGTGTAGGGGTGCCTAAGGCACGAGCGGCTCGGCCTCGAGGCCCTTACCGGTGTTCCGTGCGCGGAGCAGCGCGAGCGCGGCGAGCGCCAGCAGAGCTGCGGCGGCGGCGCCCCCCGCGCCCCCCGCCGCGCCGCTCCACCACTCCCACGCGCCGCCGCCACCCGCACCCGCAGCGCCGCCTACCACTTCTGTGTGATACGACAGAATACAAACATATTTAACTGTTTACTTCATAATTATATTTCATTTTACAATTTAGTTCCGACTTTCGATCTCACAACTGTCATAAAAAGTGTTTTTGTAGTAAAGTAAAAGTATTACTAAGACTAACAGATTACTGTTCCAATTTTTACAATACGATATAATCACATTACAGTTAACGTTGGACGTTTAATATTGTCCTACGAAAATACCTTTTATGACAGATCGAAAGTTGATCAAACTGAATTGAGACCGAACTTTTATTACGAGAATTGACCTTCCGTTCATCAGGTGGATGTCGTAAGAGTCGACTAAATTACGCAGGACAACAGCACTGCAAAGAGAAGAAAAACTTACCACAAACCCTATACCGACCCTTCTGGCCAGCATCGTATAGTAGTCTAAAACCTCCTTTCTAAGGAGAGGCCTGTTTCTGGCAGTGGACTATTAAAGGCTGTTGATATAACCGGTCACTTGATGGTAAATACCCGTCCTGGACACCTACACTCAAAAAGACACAAGTGCATCCTTTCCCTTCCAGAATTAGATGAGGGAGGTTTAGCCGCCGGTAACCTCACCCAGTGAAAAGCAATTAAAAAAAAGATTAACTCAGTATAAGCTTGTAAACCGTACAAGTAGGTGACTGTTTAGTTTCTCAATGGTGCTAAGTCTGTTGTTCGAAAAATCTCTAAACTCAACTAAAAATAACTAAAAATTTGTTTAGTCCTGTCAAATAACGTTTGGTATTACTTGACAGGACTAAACTAATTTTTAGTGATTTTTAGTTCAGTTTGGAGAGTTTTCGTGTAAGATGGTTATACTTAAAATATGTAATGTTTAAATTATGATTGGTTAAATTAACATTAAAAGATTGTAACAGAGCCACGTTATCATATTGCACTTATAATTAAACAAAATAAATGTACTTTGGTATCGAAAAAGTTGTAAATAAAATCTTAAATTTAAGAATATAAACTAGAAAAGACGAAATACAATACATGCAAGTTGCATATCTTATGTTTGCTAAAATTTCGCTGATTTCCACTTTTCGTGGTCGTCTCTACACACGATATTACGACACATAAGTACTCAGTATAACATAAGATACAACATAACATGCTAACTCACACGCACACACAAAAATTACATATAATAATTTTTTTATGCACTGATATCATAAATTAATTTTCAAGTGTTATACTGCGAAAGAAATATAAAATAGCCATTCTGAAATCAGGGATGTGTGTAACAATATTTGTTTTAACCAATCAGCGCTCACGGTGCCAGAGCCGGACAAATGGTAGATGAGATGTCAGATCACAGATGTTACACGCCATATACGACGTATGTAAGGGTCGCACGTGTCTTTGTTATACATTTACCGGGTGTTAGAAAAGTACCAGAACAGCAGAATAATTCGCTAGGGATGCATTTTGCAATACGTTATGCAATACTTACGTTAAACACAAAAGTTACAAAATTTGACCTTGATCGCAACCTTGAAGGTTATCTCAAGGGTCAAGGGCAACTTTTAAATGGGATTGCATATTTTCGAGCCCGAAATTGAAAAGAAAGGATGAATTTACAATCGGATATCCAATGGATAGCCAGAGAAAATTCCTGGAACTTTTGTGTTTAATGTATTCTCGAAAAATGCATTCCTAGCAAATTATTCTGCTGTTGCGGTACTTTTCTAACACCCGGTATACACACTAGCTATACCCACTAAAGGATTACAAATACTAGCAGTACAACAAAAATGAAAATAAAAAGCACATGGACACACCTACTCACCGACAGTCGCGGTTGGCTTCACATGCGTCTTCTCAATACTCAAACTCTCATTTCTTAAGGTCTCGTCCATAAATTTGTGAACTTTAAATGGACTCAGTTCAGCCACGTATACGCTCACTCCATCTGGGGTCACTACGATGTCGTGGGGGTTCCGTAGGCCATCGTCGGGAGAGAAAGTCTGTATTAAGCGACCTGATTCAAAATCTATGACGTATCCACGCACTGGAACTGCGCCGGTTGGTCCATTCACCACGTAGAGGCGTCCACCTGGATAAAAATATATTTGAAGAAATAATTTTATTTATATTATCATCATTATCAAACACATGTACAAAGCAACCAATGGTGAATGTTTCAGAGAGAAACCTCCTTAGATATAATACGTGCGTTGGCATTGGGTCCTTAATCCAGCCGCCCAACGAGATCCTTTAAATGTGTTGTTGTCGAGGCTGTTAGCAATCAACTCATGGGCCAATATAACTATCAGGATAATGGTTGCCGAATCTGCAATCTCGTGGGCCAATTCTAAGTACTTTATTTCTTATTCAGCCTGAGCTTCTCGTCATGGTGATGTATAATCATTGCTATACGCTCTAATCGGTTAATGATCACTATAAGGGTTATTATTATATATACCTAGTTCAGTTTTGTTTGTTCGTCAGCTCGTATTAATAATTACAATAACATTTCACACACTGCCGTCTGATCCAAAACCAGGCAGAGCCTGAGTTATGGGAATCAGACTGCTGATAAACATACTTATATATTTCTAAATACATACATATTATAGATAAATTACACCCAGACACAGAACGATTGATCGTACTCATCACACATTCATTTGTTCTTTGTACGTCCTTTGTTTTAACAGAACCACTAGATCCACAGGTCAGTCAATAATGCTAGTACAGGAGCAGTAATAATTTAACATTTACACTATGTTTACATATAGCTTACGTTTCCACATAACTTCTCCTAACACTTATTACTTACCGTGTACAGGAGCATACGCGACACTAAATATTCTTCCACCGATGAGCCAGTTGCTATAACTGCTGACATACGAGCCGTTGTCATGTCTGAAACACGCCACGCGTCCTCTTTCCCGGTCCGCCACGCAGACCAAACCGCGGTCTTCAGCTAGAGTTAGTGCGTGAGGCACGTTGAACCTGAAGTTTGTGGAGCCGTGACCTGGACAGGTAAGGGAGACGATGGGTTGGGTGTGATAGGCAGTGCGAGAGTGACGTATGTGGGTAGTACCCAGCGGACGACGTTGGCTGATATAACCAAACCATTCTTTCTTATGTCGAAATTGCGTCACGCAGCACGTGTATAGGTAAGTATTATTGTAGGTTTAGCAATCTATCAAGTCAATGAGTGCTTTATTGAGTACTATCAAATAAATGATTATCGTATACATTACTTAGACATTAATTATTTTAGTTGACAAAAATGTATGGATGCTATTGTGGTAGAGTGCTAACTTAGCACCTGCAACAGTGAATAAAATTGTAGATTTGATCAATATAAGTACAGGACAAATATTTGAGTATTGAAAAATAGTTTCGCAATAATTTTGCTTTAAATTGTGTCTGTTTATACATTGTTCAAAACTAAACAGCAAACAGTGGGAGAAATTGCTAAGAATGTTCCATTATAGTTAAACATTTCGTATTGTTTATTAATTTTACAAAAAATAGAATCTATTAACTGAGTTCCTTTATAACATACGGTCAAAACCAATTGTTACATCGGTCTCACGAAGTTTCAACATCACGGTTTTATTTAAATTTGGGCTACGTACCTAGCTCAATCTATACTAATATTATAAAGCTGAAGAGTTTGTTTGTTTGTTTGAACGCGCTAATTTCAGGAACTACTGGTCCGATTTGAAAAATTTTGTCAGTGTTAGATAGCCCATTTATCGAGGAAGGCTATAGGCTGTATATCATCACGCTAAGATCAATAGGAGCGGAGTACCAATGAAGAATGTTTCAAAAACGGAGAAAATTTATTACTATTGAGAGACGCAGACGAAGTTGCGCGAGTCAGCTAGTTTTAAATAAAATCATTATTAAGTACATACCTTCTTTCGATGGATCCGTGTAGGCTGAACAGATATAATATTACGAATATAAAGAGAAGGAACAAAAGCAACTTTCAAATTTCATTTATATTTTTTAACTCTTATGGACACTAAATTTTATAAAGATTTGTTTTAGATTAGTCAAAATACATACATTTTTGAATCAACTAAGTATTAAGAAGGGTCCATTCAAAAGAGCTATGTGTCTAAACACATCAATAAAAGGAAAGAGACCAGATATAATTTTTTACTTACTAGTCCCCCACTGTAATATAATGTTGCCATCTTTAGAGAATTTGACTATTCTGTGATTGCAATACCCATCTGCAACGAAAAAGTCTCCATTGGGCAACACTGCCACTGCGCTCGGCTTGCAGAAGTGCGTATCGTCCTCACCAGGAATGAATCTACAACAAACAAACCAATGTAGTCTTTGACAATCTGGTGAAATGCTAAAGTAATAGTTTTTATTGTAAATTGAATTATAGTTAAAGATATGAACACAGATCAAAGAGTTTAGGCACCATTTTGTTGGGTTATTTGTTTGGACTACTGAACCTTAAAATGGTCCCTAAAACTCTTTAATACCTGTATTTCTCCGTCCATCCTCTTAGCTGAGAGACTAAGTATTAAAAGTCCTAGGTTGTAAGTGAAGTGTGTTTCTAAAATAATGATAAAACATCCAGGAAAATTACTAGACTAATTCATCATCATCATCAGCCTATCGCAGTCCACTGCTGGACATAGGCCTCTCCCATTGCACGCCACTTAGATCGATTTTGGGCTTCTCGCATCCAGCTCCTGCCAGAAATCTTGCGCAAATCGTCACTCCACCTGGCCTGTGGGCGTCCTACACTACGTTTGCCGAGACGCGGTCTCCACTCAAAAACTCGTTTTCCCCAACGGTTGTCGGTTCTGCGGCTAGTATGGCCCACTGCCACTTCAGCTTGCTGATCCTGACTAATTGACTTTGATTAATTTTCCTGCACTATTATTACTTTTTTAAATACAATAACACCTCAGAAGAACAATAACTAATGTTAGAATATTGGAATGACAGTTGTAAATTTCTGCTCGGGGACACTGTGGGATTTTAGTTGGCTTGATTCTGACATATTATTTCACTGTGAGCCCCGGTGAGGTGATGACCCTTGAGAATTTCCATATAATAAAAAAAGGATTGCATGTTTCAGGAAAGCCAGGAATCATATTCTTAATCTATAAAGATTATGAAATCTGATTTTATATCTGCTAATTAGATAGAAACATGTTCATTAACTTACTTGGAACCTAAAACTAATGCTGGTTTTTCTCTGTTATTGAGTGAAAACTTGAGCACTTGATGCATGGCCACATCTGTCACCCAAACATTGTCTTCTTTGTCCACCGTTATACCGTGAGGCATGAAGAACCTTAAAATAAATTATGATTTAATTTTTAGTATAAATTCAGGTATGTTATCTCCTTCTGTACTTAGAAAAAACTCTTAAAAGTCTAGTTACGCCTGCTTTATTGCTTTGTGTTATTTAACCATTAAAGTATATATTTAAGAGGATAAGTTTTGCCAAGTAGACTACTTCGACGAAGACGATCCTGAAATGTGTTTATTGTGTGTAAGTTTACAATTGCAGGAGTAAATATTACAGCAGTAGTCATATGTTTACATATCATGCAGATGTGTCAAGACTACTATTATGACAGAATATTGTAAGCAAAGCTAACTCCCATTTCATTATGTGAATGACTGAAAAATGTAAACAGGAGATTCTGACATGATACTGTAATATACGTAATTGGTACATGTATATAATATGTACTAGTAGTCATTACTAGGATAGCTTACATAATTACGGAGCATAAAACCATAACTTATTTTCCAAATGCAACTTAAGAAAATTAAAACTGATAAATAAATACATACTACATGAAGGATAAACTTTTGTAAATTTATTTTTTTAAATAAAATGTGTCTTTTTTAGGCCATTTATTATAAGTATGTATGTTATTATACTTTCTAAACGTTAAATCTTTATCTAAACTTAATCAAATTTCCTTTTTGTATGATGGGGACAACGAAAACTAATTTCAAGGAATGTAAAAATAAAACATAAATCTTAAATATTAGAAAATTCTATTAACATCACTTTCTGTTGCAAACAATGCATTATTTAGGGATCACACAGTTGGCAATAGATGTAACAACAATATCACCAAACAAGTCTTTTGTTGAGAATTATACAAAATGCCATTTTGTAAAATATTGAAACAGACTTTGTATCAACATAGTCATTGGCCAAGACTGGCCTTTTGGTGAAGTGATTAGTGACCATGACTGTTAAGCCGGAAGTTGTGGGTTTGATTCCCACCCAGGACGATTAACTGTGTAATGAGCACAACCATTTGTTCTGTGTATAGGTGTAATTTATCTATATTATGTATCTATTTCCGGCGGGGACGGTTGATTGCGGCCTGCATCCAACGGAAATCATTGGGAGAGGCCTATGTCCAGCAGTGGACAAGCATAGGCTGAGGTATATATATGTATCTATTTAGAATGATCAGACTGCCGTGTGTGACATGTGTGAAGTTATTATTATTATTATAGTAAAAATAAATGATTTGTTAATAGTAAACAACTGTTATTTTAAAAATAATAATACTTACAGATCTTGTCCCCATTCGTCCACTACTTCTCCAGTATCGTTTAACACAAGAATAGTGGGCTCCTTAATAGCTGGAGTCCCTATAAAGTTATATACATTTCGCTCGTTGAATGTTGTCTCATCCCACACATTATTGACTCTATGGAATACAAGTAGTCTTCCATCATTGTCTAGGGCCAATCCTGATACTTGACCCAGCTTTGTGTTTGGATTGGGCCAATTGCTAACCCATTCTGGTGCTAAATGCGAAATTTAAAAAAATATTAAGATTAGATTTCAAATATGCATTTCTAAATACTCATATCCAGAAAAGAAAGCTTTTTAGATATCATTATATGCATATTAACCACACCAAGAAAGTAAAAACATAATTTTATACGTGTTATTAAATCCAAATATGAAAATGCATGTAATTTTTTTTTTAAATGAATGTTTGGATTTATGTTTGCATTTATTTTTTGTACAACATCACAAATAACTAAATATTAATTTAACTTGGATATTTAAATAGTTTCAATATTTTACCAACCATTATTCAATTTTTGTATAGCAGCTTTTATTACTTCACGTTGTTGGACTTGTTGTTGATTCTCATAGTAATTTGTAGGAATAAATCCTTCGCCAAACTGTATACAATAAATAAAACTTAAAAATACTGTTCCTTAAGTAAACATTTTTTTTATAAAAATTATTTCATTATTAACACATACCAATCGTCCGCAAATAGAATCTCTAATACATAATATAATTACTAATATGATACTAAGCAGGCTTATCTTCATTTTTGTTTTTAAAACAATGTATAAAGTTTATGTTGCTATTGATCAGAAAGATTTTTATCAAATCAACAAGTACACTAAGCTTATCAATTATCACGAATGACGTCTCGTCTGGCTGATGACGTATACCAACATCGATGTGATTTAGGCGACTACATCATAATCGTACTAAACACAAGAACTTTATTTTAGTTAAAAAAACCATAATTATTAGAAATTTGTTGTTTTAAGATATCTCAAAAACTATGATTAACATTTTAAAATACTTATATAGTATAGTATAGAGTAAAAAAATGAATTTCGGATTGGTGAGTATTCGATGATTTTAACAAATGTGAACAGAAAGGATGTACTGAAGTGTGTATTTATTTATATCCATCTTCCTTACCCTAGCAGTTATTTTACCTTACTTTATAGCAACTCACACTTAATAGAACTGTCTCTCCAATGTATCTACTTGTTTATTTATTCTTTAACTATCTATTTTTATTTCTTTCATTCTTTTTAGTATTCTTTATCTATCTTTTACAGTTTGAACATGGCTGATGGATGTTGTCACATAAAATCGACTAAAACATATATTTTTCTTTCCATGAGCCATGTTCGGACTGTTTACACCTAAAATTCTTTGCAATTCTTTTCTATCTGTTTTTTCGGGCATAACTCCGTCAATACTCGTATTTACACATTTTTTTGGCTCGAAAGACACCGGAACTGTTCAAAAAATTACAGCAGATCAACCGCGATTGCTGCTAGGTTAACTTTTTTTTGAAGGTTTTATATTATTGGCATCCTTATTTATAATTTTAATATTTTAGGGGCCTGTTGATCTTGTGTTTAGTGATCTGACCGCTAAGCCGATCTAGATTTGAATCCTGGGTGGGAATCGAACTAACCTCTCAGAGGTCGTGGGTTTAATTCCCATTCGAGCTCGAGAGGTCGTTGGTTCGATTTACAAATAATTGTGTGATGAACACGTGTGATCATTTTTGTTTCTGAGTATAATTTATTTATAATACGTATGTGTTTAGATTATAATAATTATACTAGAGTATTTTTTTTAAAAGCAGTTTGGTTACCACACTATACACAAGCTCTGCCTAGTTTGGGATGAGTGGGCCGCGTGTTAGATATTATTATACTTCTTTCGTTACTTTATTAATATATTCTGGGGGTGAAAAGGTAAAATAAAAGGTATGAATGCTTTACACTAAGAAGTTTAATAACTCACACGCACAATAAAGTGCCATTACACCAAACGAACATAAAGCATGGAAACATTTCCATGCATAAGTAATCCCATACTAGAGAGGGATCACAGGGGTATGTGCCGGTGCGCTAGTCTCACTTCCCGTGAGCGCCTTTGATTGGCGCCAACATAAAATCTTTATCTCCTAAATTATATTTTACACGTTAGACAAGAACAGCTGCGCCTGCTCTTGCGTTTTTCTCATTTTCTTCAATGCTTTTGAGGACATGTTCTCTTTCCTGAACATTGAGGCGATGAAAGAGTGCAGTTTCCTCACCAAATCGATTCGTGTTTTTTTGAGGGCGGCACCTATTGGGCGCGTACTCAATAGTCTCTTATGATAAAAAGCCATCTTCTGCATCATGTGGGGGTTATTATTTTGGCCAAGCTTCTCCTCCCTACCTACTTGCTTTTCCACATTGCCCCCGTTTTGTAATGGTTGTGTTGGAATGCTGTTCACTTTTTTTTGTAGTCTGTTCACTTTAGGCTTAAGTTTTAAAGTTTTCTTTTTTTTCTTTTTCAAGAGTGCAGTCTGATTCGAGATGTGATACTTTTTGAGTAGATCAATATAGTCATTTCTAGGGCATGCGGTAAATATAAACTTATAATGCTCTCCAATTTCCTTCCGGAGTTCGGTAGGTATGTTTTTTTGTCTAGAGTTCATCAGTTTTTCTTGAAAAGAATATAGTTCCGTTAAATGTTCAGAACCGTCGGCAAGACCGGCTTGCCCGAGCAGTACCATGTTGAGCCTCTTGAGCATTTGGTTTATATGTACCCTGTTGTTGGTCAGCTGTTTAGGGTTAACCACTTTCTGCTTGAGCAGATTTTGCTGTCGGTTTTGTAAATATTTTAACTCCTTATATAATGCACTAGGGTCTCCTAAATCTTCCTTTAAAGATTCCAGTGCTTTACTCAATTGACGTAAAAGATTGTTTCGGTTCTTAGGTATTACACTCGCATACTGGTCCAGTTTAGCATCTTGGACTTCTTTTTCAGTACTTGGTTTTATAGTTTCAGCACTTGGTGGAGGTTTGAACCAGTCCCTCAGTTGTGATTGGAAGGCGTCCTGATCGGCAGTCTTTCCCTTAATACTCAAAAATGAAATTATGTCCGTATTTTCTACATCAACATTGTACCTCTCGGACATATTTTTCAACCATTCTTTACCTTCCTCAGTTTTTAGTTTGTCTATAATCTCGTTAGTCACGTAAATTCTGGCGGAAGTGACGACTTCGCTAGTATCAGATACCTCATTGTCTTGAATAATATTGCCTTTCTTGTCATGATTGGCTGAGAAGAGTGGAATGAAATTGAGTGCTTTTTCTACAGTTCCCTGAGTTTTAGCACTCTCGTTAGGTGTCTTGCTCTGATCCTTCTTAGTTTCGTCATCTTTGCTTGTAGAGGTCTTACTTTGTGGTGTATTGACAGGACTTTTGGTGTTGCGAAGATCATTTTCCTCACAGGGGGACATGGTGATTCTCTTTTTATTCATATGTGTTTCGTGTGTGGTTGGGGATTTAGACTGACGCTTGTTGCGATCTTGCCTATGCGGAGTTGTTGGTGGTATGGTGTGGAGATCTTGAGATGAATTCTTATTTTGCTTCTTCTGGTTTGTATTAGGGGTATTCGGTGTTGGGGGATACAGCGGGCGATATATGCAGACGTAAGGGGAGTTGACAGCGAAGCCGGCGAACGGCAGCGTGACGCGGCAGGTGTGGACCAGATGCCCGCGTCGCGTACAACCGCTGCAGTACAGTTGGTAGTGCTTCTTAGGCTGGCCGCATCTTTCGAGAGGCGTGTTGTTGTCAATCTGTAACAGTGACATTTTGTTGTTACTTACTGCACTGCACTAACAATGTTGTATGAATTATCTAGATACACTTGTCTTTTAAAACTTATTAAGCTTTTGTTACCATATAAACATAATGAAATAATTATTTTCTAACAAATCAAATGTAAACTATTTAAAGTATTCTACTAATAATTTATATTTTATTTCTGATTTTTGTATTACAAAAAGCATATTCATACAAAAGCAGATTAAGGCGCAGAAGTGATAACTACACTGTCGCTAGAGTAGATTTTGTCAATAACCTCAGCTCAATAAGTTGGGAAGGCTATTTAACCATATGGTACTATGTATGTACTTTTTGCATCGTCTGGTTGAGTTATTAGGGAAGTATTGAAAATTACAAACACACTAACTGGAGTTATAGTTAGAATGTCGAATGAGAGATGGTAATAGTAAGCTCACCGTATTGTGGTATCTGCGCCAAAGGTCGGGGCAGTGCGAGGCGGGGTGTCCGTTCTGTCCGCACTCGGAGCACGTGAGCTGACCCCAGTTGCAGCAGTTTCGGCACATCGTTGAGTACATCTGGTTCGGCGAGCCGCACTAAAAATAATAACAACATTTTTGAGCTTTACGTGTAAAAATAAATCAATAAAATCAAATTTAATTATTAAACTCGAGGTCAAAGATTTAAAAATTATAGTTAATTTGAACACACTAATAATATCAATATATTTCAATATTACCGATATCAATAGTGGTTAATATTTTTTTTTTTAAATTGAAAAGACAACTCCTGCATTAGGAATATATCGTGTTGCACGGGGGATTTTACAAACATGCATGAAACGGACACAAAGAACACCCACAACACAACAATTTGTGGATCAGAGAAAGTGTCGTCCCATGTGGGGATCGAACCCACAACACTCAGTGTAGTAGTAAGTGGCGTGGCGACCGCTTAAACCACTACGCCATCCGTGCAGTCGACATAGACGGTAGATAGATTCAAAGCAGAAAAATCATCATCATCAACAGCCTTCAATTTAAGTCCAATGCTGGACATAGGCCTCTCCTAAGATAGGAGGTTTTGGCCTTATACCGCGCTGGCCAGACGGGTTGGTATATTGTTTGTTACAAGATTTCCTTTTCTTTGCAGTGATGTTGTCCTGTGTAGTTAGTTCCCTTAGTCGGCTCTTACACAGAAAAACAGTCTCTTAAGCAAAAAAATAATCTTTGAAAAATAACAAATTGCTGAATTTTAAAACGATTTCCCATCTATCCGTATAATATCGATATCCGTATTAATACATACATTGACACAGATTTTGCTAGGACAGCGCGGCTCTAGATGTCCAGTAAGACCGCACATATAGCAAACGGGTGGCTTCATACGGCAAGTGTCATCGCGGTGCCCCGGCCGGTTGCAATAATTGCAGCTGTAATAAAAATACATGTTATTTATAAAGAATGTTTAAATTGAAAGAAAATAGTGGCAGACTTTACAGTAAAAAGTAAAGTAATCATGGAGACTGTCAAGGCATGCCTTAGGCCATGTCAGAGGCCTGGGTTACACAAAATTTAGGGCCTTCTTATCACCATCATCATCAACAACCTATAATAGTCCACTGCTGGAAATCGAACCCACGACCTCTGGTTTAGCAGTCAGGATCACTAACCACTAGAAACACAACGCTAAACATTTACATACTGGGTGTAAATGTTTAGCGTAATGGGTCCGTTGAGGGCCCATATGAGTATGTAAATGTTTTGCAATCAAACCATACAGACAACTCCTTAGTTTGGCAAGGAGGTATATTTCCCATGCATTAACACTCTACTGGCAATTTTTTTATGAGACAGACTAGATGAATGTAATTACAGATCAATTTCATTGAAATAAACCTTATATTGTCGGCCATGATCACCTAACAAATAAATTCCATCCAGAAGGTCATCGACTGAGTTGTATTCTGTTAGTTTTTAGTCTACTATTTTGCTTTAACCTCTATTAACATGAATAAAGACACATTGCTTAAATTCTCACTGCAAATATGTGGGGCTAGCCAACTCTGACTTAACATATATAGGCTTCGAATACTAAATGTAATTATCTATAAGTACATTTAAATTACAATAAAGTGAATTTTTGGGTCTCAATTTTGTTTAAGTAATAAATAAAATAGTAATAAATTAAATGAGTAGTGTAATGACATGAACAACATTTTTCATTACAGTAATTTCTCAAAAGTTTGTACAAACTAAATATTTTCCTTAGGAATTATACACATTACTCTGTATTTGGTAAAAATTTTATCTATAAAAAAATGAACATCATAAATTTTAAGAATGAACATTCAATACTTACATCACTTTCCTCTTGGTCAGCGATGGCATCCTATCCTTGGGATCAATTACCCATAAATTTTTATCACCTAGAAGAAAAACAACATCACATTATTCTTAATTACTAAAAGCTACATTAATAAATGACATTTAAAAGCTAAAATTCTTTCATTAAAATAATATAAGTTTTTAATTGTACATAATGTGTGGAATATTAAACATAATTATGAAAATTAGTTAATGAAATCTATGTTAATAGCTTCAACTGTATTCATTAATAGTCATTAAGATTTCTCTCTAACTATAACAATAAGTAATTTATTTTAGTTTCATATTAGTCGGCTATAGTAAAATGTTACCCTGCTGCAGACTTGGTTGTAAGTCATTGATGTGGAATAACAATAGTGCAATGTCTCTCCCACCTATGGATAGGTTAAGGCTCTTATGAGATAGCAACAGGATGATGATGGAATTACTGTATCATCATCATCATCATCAACAGCTTCTAATGCCGCTGGACACAGGCCTCTCCTTAGAAAAGAGGTTTTGACCTACTATACCAAGGCCACCAAACCAAACCTCCTTTCTAAGGAGAGGCCTATGTCCAGCAGTGGACTAGTATAGGCTGTGATGTGATGTGATGATACCAAGGCCAGATGGGTTGGAATAGGGTTTGTTTCAAATTTTTCTTCTCTTTGCAGTGCTGTTGTCGGGATGAATAGGGGTGGTGACACTCTCTACTCTTAATCTGTCACCACACGGAATTACTATATATGTATTGGCATTTCTGACATATTGATACTACAAGGCATAGTTCTTTACTAAATAAGGAATTAAATATAGGCTACCTCATTTTGGTTGGGTGCTTTTTTAAAAACTATGGGTATAATGACTTCTGCCACACTAATTACTACCTTTTCTATAAGAAAAAACCTCACTCCTGTTCATAATAAGTTATTATTTGTACTAAGTGTACATGTGTTTAAAATCGTATGTATTAATTTACTAAATCCTACTTAGGAAAAGAAGAGTATGTCTGCTATAGATTAAGGTTATCATTTACCTTAAAAAATGGGTTTAAAGTAAATATGATATGATATCCGTGTAATGACGGATTAAGAATACGGAATGTCGCCACCCCTATTGATCATGTGGGTGTCGTAGGAGCAGACTAAGGGAACAAACTATGCAGGTCAATAGCACTGTAAAGAACTTGACACAAATCCTGTACCAACCCCTCTGGCCAGCGTGGTATAGTAGGCCAAAACTTTCTTTCCTATGTCCAGCAGTGGACTATTAAAGGCTGTTGATGATGGTAGTACATATAACCTATTCAATTCTTGTTAATTTTATTCTTATCTTCATTAAAAAAATTACTACCTAACATTGCCTTCATTCATATAAACAAACAGATAGAAATAAATTCAGGATGAGATTCTATTACACAATGCAGTGTGACTTCTATGTAATGTATGTTATATTTGCATAATAAATGTTTTATTGATTTTTCTACAAGTTTAAGAAGTATTTTACTGTTTTTTTTAAAATACTTCTATTTCATACATCCAAAAAATGATTTTAAAAGTCACTTACGGGACATGTTCTTCTGTATTTCCCTGTGATTAAAATTTTCACCACCCCAGCTCTCATTGTAGAATTTCTCCATCTCCGCCCGAAGAGTTGTTAGTGAGTATTTGCGTCTTTTGCATCCCTTATCTTTATCCTTCAAATTATAAAAATCTAGATCTTCATTTAGTATTGATGGAATTTTTGTTGAACCAAACTTGGAAACATTATTGTCAGACATGCTTAGATTCTCATACTCTTCAGTGGTATTAAATCCAGACACATTACCCATAACAATGTTCTCAGTAATGTCCGAATCATTAATTTTATCTACAGTGATGTCTGTGTCATTGTCAGTTAGATCCACAATAGAGATTGTTTCAAATGATGCATTTGTAATAGTGGTATCATCATTCTTTTTTGTTGTTTCAGTAATTTCTTCATTGTCTACCTCTGGTGACAAGCTACTATCTGAAGTAGTACCATCATTATGTTTCGATTGTTTGGGAATCTCTTTAGCACATTCTGATAGATTTGAATCGGATTCGTAAACATCCGTATTCGGTAGACTTTTCTCGGTAACTATGTATGAATTCCTGTTTTTATTTGTCTCTATAGACTGATTGCTGTCAGAGTCATAAATATCAGCATTCGGGATACTCTTCTCGGTGACTGCATACAATTTGGTTTTCTGTTTTTTATTTTTAGCTTTACTTTTTGGTGTAGCAAAACATTCATCATTAGGCGTAGCTTTAGCCTGCATCACTGTGGCAACGGGTGTAGAAGTCACAGCTTCTTTAGTTTTCTTCTTTTTCTTTTTTTTTGATGGAGTACTTTGAACCAGTAGGTCAGATCCGTGAAGACTAAAATCAAAGCTGGGATTGTCCTGATGTCGGGAGGATATGTTTAATGCTATGCAATCACCACGAATAAATTCATCGGAAACTGACGAGACAGCTGATGGAGCTGGACTTGCTGAAACATCTCGCTCACCACTGCATACCGCTTTGCTGTCAGGGTTAGAGTGGTGTTTTGTTGGAGAATTTGGATCGATAATGGTGAGTTCATCTTCGTCTGAGCTTTCTATAGTAATAGTCGGTTTAGGTGGTAGCGCTACTTCAATAACTTCATCCTCATCACTAGACTCAAGCAAAACTTGGTCTTCATAGTCATCTTCTATTATTTCGATGGTTCGCTTAATGTTCTGTGATACTGGTGACTGGAATATTGATAGATCAACTAGGGGTGAAGATTTTGGCGACTCACATTTCTCTTCTTTGGGTTTAGGTGTTTGGTTTGTTTGATTCAGATCCGATTTATTGTTGTTAAGCGATGCGTTCAAAGGTTCTTTGGGTGTGTTCACCTTCAGCGATGCGTTCAAAGGTTCTTTTGGTGTGTTCACCTTCTGATATAGAGTGGTCGGTTCGCTGGTTCGCCAGTAGCGTCGCACCGTGCTCTTAGGGGCGTTCTCTACAATTTGCGATGCATCGTGGTGATTTTGGTTTGATGTAGAATTTCCCTCCGACTCGTCCACATGATGTAGCATAGCATACAGCCTTTCCTCCAAATCATGCTCGTTAAGTTCCTAAAAGTAACAAATTGCAAAATTACCACACAATAACTTCACTGTATTGTGACACAACAAAAATATGGTAGCATTGGTAACCTAACAACTTACCTCCTCCATGTTTCAGCAACGAATTTAAACTAAACAAAACTTCACACGAAATTAACATAATCGTAAATGGTATTTGGAATAACTGTTAAAGTGGTGATAGCATTACAAGTAAATAAAAAGTAAATTTTGTTGCTACGGACACGTCCGACACTCCATTGCGAAAGTTGACAGCTTCACAACCAACCACAGCTTCTTGCAGTTTGCACGAACTCAGGGTTGCTAGATTATATTAGATATCTGTAAATGTGTTGAAAAGATTTAGTTTGTAGTGTAAAAGTGCTTAACATTAGACTAGAAATTTTAACGCAAAATCGATCGAGTAAATTTCAAAAAATGAACAAATGACAAGTTAATATTTTTATATAATAATTAATATGATTTATATACATTAATATTTAATATCAAACAAGTAAAAAAAAAAAAGAGCAGACCAGAGTATAAATGGCATTAGACAAAATCGATTAATGGTAGTATGATAAAACAAATAAAAAATATGTTTTATTTGCCGTTCTATTTTTTTTATCAACGTTTAATATGACGTTCGGGTTATTTTTACTCTTCACGAATTCATCATCATCATCATCATCATCATCATCAGCCTATCGCAGTCCACTGCTGGACATAGGCCTCTCCCATTGCACGCCACTTAGATCGATTTTAGGCAATCTATCTATTATCTTGAGTATATATTTATATCTTAGTTTTTTTCTTCATGAATTGATACGTGTTATCTAATCTTATGCAAATATTTTGCAAATGTGATGCCATAGATGAAATAGGTTCCCTAATCGAGATAAGACTATGAGCATCGTTCCATCGAAATTTTGGAGGATAGTGGCAAGGAAAACCATCTCTTTGTATGACAAGTGTCCGTAAAAACGCATCCAATAAGGGTGACAGATTGATATTGGGTTAAATAATAATTAGACACTGTGCACTAGACTGCAAAAATAGTAAATGAGTTTTACAGACAATAAATAAACGTGTAATACTTTCAGACCATAAAATATTATAATATTCTATGTACAACAGCTATGTTTATATCTTAGTTTTTTAGGGACCTCTATTTTCAGTATACAGTTGGACTCTTTTTCAACTTTCCCCCAAATGAGATGGTTCTCATAATCGAAATGTCTGGTGTGGTGAGTGGTGATATAGTCTACGGCAGAAACTTATCAACCATAAAATTGAGGTATAATATTCGTTTTAAAATACCTCGTTAGTTCTGGAATACCTACTATAAACTTTGCGTATGTAGTGAAAAGTGTACTTTAAGATTTATCGTTACGTTTAATTACTAAGCCTTACGAAATTATTAGGTATCGAACTACTCTACTCAAAGATATATCTATGACTACTCGTTTTCGAATTTGAAGTCATTGATAATGACTTAGGTGTAGTAAAAGAAAGTGTAACAAATTAGTCAAATAGTTTACTAATTTTAACATATGAATTATCATTTAGACATACGTATTTATTGATATTTATATTAGAATAACCATATATATGTGATATATTTATAATCATCCACACCGTATCCGGTGCTGGGTTCCTCCTTTGATGGACTCTGATATGACTTGCAAATCCGAACTTCGTTTTAAAAGTCCGGTTGCATAGCGCACAGTAGAGCTGGCTGTCCGAGTTTAATGTGTAGTTGTACGAGGTCCTGGGTCTAGTTTAGAGCGTTTGACGCTATGTGACTTTCAAACGAGGGGTTTCGAATTTTTCGATACTCGTGTTAACAGTTCTCCGTCATTCGAGTCTGAGATCAGCACGATCCTCCCAGCGATCCGTTGGTATGCCACAGGCGAGAAGGTTACGCTTGAGAACGTCTTTGTACCGGATTTACTGACCGCCTTGTCTGCGCTTTCCGCATGTTAGCTCAGAGTAGAAGATTGCTTTTGGCAACCTGCTATCGTTTAAATGCGTGAAAATGGCCGGTCCTCTCAACTGCTATTTTTGTGATTTCTACTGAGTAATCTTCCTAAACCTTCCTAATCCGTGTGGTGATGGATTAAGTATACGGAGTGTCACCACTCTTCATCCCGTGTGTGTCGTAAGAGCCGACTAAGAGAGTAAACTACGTAGGACAACAGCACTGCAAGGAGAAGGAAAACTTAAAAATAAACTCTATACCAAGCGGGCTAAACCTCCTTTCTAAGGAGAAGCGTATGTCCAGCAGAGAACTGTTAGAGGCTCTTGATGATCCATGATGATGATTGAGGAGTGGTGCCTAAAAAGTTAAAATGAAAATTAGAGTCTTATACATATTAGAGAGTATGTAAAAGTATATATATGAGAGTGGAGTACCTATTTATAATATCAGGGCGGGTAGGGTCTGGCACTGAGCTCTTTTCGGCCCAAACCATCACCTTGATCGGGATCGGACAAATGCGATGATGATTCGTTGCTATTAGGAAATCTTACTTTAGCACATGTTTGATGATGCCCCATCTTAGCGACAGTATAGTAATCATTAGGCATTGTTTCAACGAGGTCCCCACCGCCCCTCTATTGTTGGCAAACATGCATTTCTTCGATGGATGTTCAACGGCCTGCTGTTAAAATTTGGGCAGCGTGACCTAATGTCATGGGGAGCAGGCCTGGGCTCGGAGGCAACCCTTGACGGAATATATATTTAATATTAATAGTAGTCTATGGACACTGTCACTGGCCTGTTGGTCTAGTGGTTAGTGACTGTGACTGCTATACCAAAGGTCGTATGTTCGATTCCCACCCAGGACAAATAATTGTGTGATGAGCACGGTCATTTGTTCGGTCTTTGTGTACATTATCTTTATATTTAGAAATATGTAAGTATGTTTATCAGCAGTCTGGTTACCATAGTACAGGCTCTGCCTAGTTTGGGATAGTACAGGCGCCCGAGTGAGAGTTATGTAAAAATATTATTACATGCAACCTTTTAGAAATATGTTTAATTTGAGAGTTCTTGAGAATCTTTAAATAATCGGTGCTGAATAATTAGGCTCGTATAGTTCAATCAATATCCAACTCGCTTTCATCATCATCATCATCAACAGCATTTAATAGACCCCTGCTGGAACTCTCCTTAGAAAGGAGGTTTTGACCAGAGGTTTTGTCAGACGGCTTGATATAGGGTTTGTTTCAAGTTTTCCTTCTCTGCGGTTCTCTCGTTTTAGTGTAACTGAACGCAGCTGACCCGGCACAGCTTATATTTATAAAGACCTTTTTAAATTATTAGCATTTGAATACTCAGCGAGAAAGACTTGCCAGTAAATATAACAGAATATGAAATGTTTATTTGACACCAAAGAATACATTTACTAGAAAAGATACTATAAACAAAAAGAAAATAAATCCTTTAAAAAAAAAGTTGAACCGACATCAAACAATACTGACAAAGAGCACTAAGACTTAAAAAATTATTACAAAGTAAAAAAAGAGTAAAAAAACTATAATAAGTACCCTCAATATCACAGGTAACATTATAATAGTAATAGTCCTTTCGAGTCTGTTTGAAGTCGGTGCCAAGCCAAATAGGTGCTTGATCGGCTTTGTAAAATGGACAAACAGACTAGAAGGGACTATTGCTATTATAATTATAATGATACCTGTTGTATTGAGGGTACTTGTTATAGTTGTTTTATTTAGATTTGTAATTATTTTTAAATTTCTTTGTCAGTATTGTTTGAAGTCGGTTCAACCTTGTTTTAAAGGACATTTTACCATTTTTAGTGTAAGATACGTGTTATGAGTAGATAAGTACGATATTTAAAACACTGCGAACCGCAATGTATAGTACTAAACTCTAGTATGTTAGATTATATTAAATATAATTTAATAAGTCCGTTACTTTATTTAGATAAGGAAGTAAGATGTTACATTTGAACCCGAAAATATTTTACTTTTGAATGGAACTAAAGGGAAAATATACCCTTACAAATAAAAATACATACAACAAAAAAATAATTATAATCGGTTTACAAATGAAAGAGCTTTGAGGTAAACCTCCTCAACCATGAAAATAATTGCGTAACAAATTTTGTTTTGTTTGAAAGTTTTGTAATCTCATATATTCTCTTTTGTGCAAATATCTTTGTAACCCAACACCAACACCTAACAAATATCTTGAAAGAATAAAACAAGGTCAATACATGATTAGCTTTTTTAAAGAGTTATCCTCCAACTCCTAAAGGTCAAGGACCCTTCCATCATCAGCTTAGCAACATGACATAATGACTACCAAACGCAAAAATCTATATAACTAGATAAACAAGCTAAAACATGTTGTCGAGCCTGTAAAATTTGAGGGTTTCCTTCTATTTCTCTAGGATCCCAACATCAGATCCTAATTAGGTGGTAATGGTACCACCTTGGAAGCATACCCTTTCAATTACAAAATTAATTTTGAAAATCGGTCCACAATTGACGGAGATATCGCGTAAAAAATATACAAAAAAAAAAACAATAGGTACAGACGAATTGATAACCTCCTTCCTTGTGTTTTTTTGAAGTCGATTAAAAATATAGACCTACCTACCATACTTACAGTTTTATCAAGATTTTTCTTCCTTCTTCTTTCTTCTTCATTCTTAAGTAGATAAAGAAAGTGAAATATTATGTGGTCATTAAGATGTCGGGATAAAAATAATACCAAATGAAACAGTATAAAAATATATGTCACCGATTTATTTCCTATGTAAAATATACTCTGGTACCACTTAATATCCTTACAGTATACATTTTTTTAAATGAGCTGTCACCTAGCTAATTTAAATGAACAGTGCAGAAGAGGTAGAAAGAAGATCACGTTAGTATCTTTAGCCATCTGCCGAGACACTCTCCTAGTTGGCGAGCAGCATTTCTGAAAGTAATTGTATAATTAATTGGATGAAACTTTTTATATCATAGGTACATAGTACGATATTGATATGACACCTTCCGCTCGTATGTAACAAAATAAGGAATATTCGAAGATGGGATATATTGGCAACATCATAATATTGGTTATAGAGGGTTCGTTCGATAATGAAACCGTCTCAAAAAAGTTCTTCAATAGTTTATTTAACTTTAAACCATGATATTTGAAAACTTATCTAATTTTAGCTACCTTTGACTTTTGACAAAATGTAATTTAAAAAATATTGAATCAACAAAAGAAAAAAGGGATCGAAAATTGGAAACGTTTTGATAAATATGTGTGATTTCTATTTATACGAGTATATAAAATTTGAGTTGTGCGATACGAGCCTACAAGAATACCGTTAGCAAATGTTGACCAAACAACAAAGCAAAGTATGTAATTAATACCTGCCCTTGGAAACAAGATCGTTTTCGCTTCAAGTTATTTACTAAGTACTACTTGAAGGTATAAGAATTCTCAATTTTTTATAACCTGGCAGACTTTCCAGAAATTCTTTGAATGTGCCCAACTTTTCTTAGTTCAATATCCTTATAAAAACTACAAAAGTAATGATGTCATGACTGCGAAAGTTGAATATTTATTTTAATTTATTTTATGTATTGTCTTATAATTTTACACTCATCGTCAGGGGTTCCATATAGGATATAGGAAACTTTTTATTTAAAGCCTAAATTTCTTATAAATTAACAACGTGACGACTACAGCAGAATATAGTTAAATATTGTATTACTTAGCAATTTTTTTCTTAGTTTCTTTCATATGTTGGTTAATAGTATGTTAAAAAGTTTTAAAAAGTGATTTAAACATACACAGAAGCGCCAAAGACATGGACAAGACAGAAAGGGTGTCAATGAAGCTTATTAGGACACGGTAGAGGGGAAGTGTTTACTTCTGGGATAGGGCCTGATTAGGCATGGTGTCAATTCGGGGAGGACCTGAAATCGCATGGTCCATGTTTTTCTAGAGTAGGACACATGAGGCCGGCCATCGGGGTGGTTTTTAGTGGAATCACCACATACTCCTGGCTCCTGAGTCCCCGAGGCGCAGCAGATCCAAAGGGATTTTTAAGCTTAAAAAAAAAGGACACTGACGGTGACTTCCCAGCTGATTGATTGCTAATCTGTAATTGGTTTAAATGGAATGAATAAGTTGATTTTGGAATAAGTTACCTGACAGAGAATCCATAGACTGATGGTCCGTGAGCGCAGGCGAAAAGCGCGGCCACTGTTTCCTTCGCGGCACCCGTCCGCCTGCCCACCCAAAGCGCCTTGCAGTTATGTCTGCACATTTTTTTTTTATTTTAGTCTTTCGCCTTAATAACTAGATTGTAGATTAATAATTTAATTCTTTGTTGCTTTGTAAAATTATTTAATAGGTAGGTATATACATATTTAACATATTAATGGAACTGAATGGATATAAAAAAATCAATATAATTTCATTTTTAAGATGCGGACTATTTACAAGCACGTGTTAAAAACTTCTACGCATAGTCGCCTACTGGAAGCGTTCCCAGAAGGTTGCCTGCCAAAATAGAAGCACATTTCTATCAATAAAATATTAATATTTAGTCCAATCGATAGAGATACCAAAACCTTATTTTTTGATGGGAATAAGTACTTAATAATTATAGCAAAAAGCCGCAGGGGCTTACAATAGAATCACACATGTACACATAACATATGTACAGCCAAGACCATTGCGAGTTTCATTGTATTTTAATATTTTCGTTTTATTTTTTAGAAACAAAGTAATTACACATTTTTTCTTACAGGGAACCCTACTACTTTTTTTTATCATTATCAGTTATTTGCCCTGTGACTTATTTTCTTTATAGCCGGCTTCCTTGGGAATGTAATCTTTTTTTCAGATTTAACAAAGAAAGAAGGTCGATTGGTATAAGATAAAAAGAGATAGGGAGTTCGGGCAAGGGTTAAACGGGATCGAGATCGTCTACCTGTATGTCCGTCCTGTGATTGGAGAGAACACTAGGACAGGGATATCAATAATCGTGGTGATTATTCTAGATCTGCTGTTAATTCAGTAAATTCATGGTGGTGTTTTTTTTTCTTAGGGGGGCAAATGAGCACCGGTCTGATGATAGGTGACAACCGACGTCCATGGACCTGCCACTTAACAATCACAAATCTGATGTCGCTCTTTGTGTCCCCTCCCTCAGAATCAGGTTGACGGGAAACCCCCCTGGTTTGGGCTCTGGTAACGACGTCACTCAGTGAAAATCAAGTTTTCTGTGAGGCTTTTGAATCACTCCGGTCGAGTCGGTCCACTTGTGCCGAAGTATGGCTCTCATGGTGTGGTAGGAATATGGTTAGAAGTCACAGTAAAAGTATTGTAATTACAGTTCAGCGACGTGATGTAAACTGGCCCGGAGTACAGTGTCGAAGGCTGCGCCCGCGTCGCTAAAAGCGCCCTGGGAACCAGAACTATCGCGAGCGCACGCCCACGCGATGTATCCTCCAGGATGGAGGCGGAACGATACTGATTCTAAGAACTGGAACATTAAATATTTTTATTTGAACACACTTCCGTTTTTACAATATAATCAATGATTTGTGCAGACACAGGCCGAGCCTGGGGGTTAGTTTCATCCAATAAACAAAATAAAATAAAATAAAACTAGCTTATGCACACGGCTCCGCCCGCGTGTATGTCGGTTATTGCGGTAATGATAATGTAGTTTTCTATTGGTGAAAGAATTTTTTAAATTAGTTCAGTGGTTTAGGCGTAAAAGCGTAACAAAAAAACAAACTCAGTTTTAAATATATAACTACAGTTGTTTGAATTTTAAGACGGTTTGGAATCCTCCAAGAAAGTACTCAAATGTAATTATTCAAGCATATATTATGATTGATAAGACATTCAGCTTCGAGATTAGCTGGACATCTGGTTATTAGTTTCACATCGATTATGAAAACACAGGGTACATTAATAAAATAAGGGTAGTTTTCTCATAATATAATATTCTTATAACACATTGATATACCTATTTTCATCTCTTTTAAGGTACAGTTTCTAGAACACTGGTAAATAGAATTATTCATCTGTAGTCGGATCGATAGGAGAAAGTACCAAATTGGAGGACGTGGGACGAGGGAACCTTGGGATCTATCGAAGTCTGACTGATCTCTCATTAAGATCATTTTCATAATAAAGGGCAGATGCCTTTTTATTTAGGGAATTATTAGCAGTGTGATATTGATACTCTGCTGCTAAATAATATTGAATGCTGTTCCGACACATTTAATATGTGTCGGAACAGTCAGATATGTGAATTGCAGATGCTAATTACGTAGATATTAACGTGTGTGCAACGTGAATCATGATTTACAATCAGCGTTCTTGGAGAAAATCAATATTCACAGTTCGCTTACCCTTAAATTCTGGTAAATGTCTTCAGTAACTAGACTAGCCATTCCGTCCAGGCCTTCTGTTTTAGGTTCTGCGCCGATCACCACGATTGCATCAACTTTGTTACTTCTCATACAACTCGAAGTTCTAGTACTTGCATTGTCCGTGACGTCGCTGATTTGCTCCACCGTCTCCACAAAGCAACCACGCGCCTCTAGCCTGCTCTTCAGTTCTCTTCCTAATAAGTTAGTTGTGTTTGTAACCTGTAATGACCTTTGCTAAATATGTGGAATACACCACTCTAAGGTGATATTGTGTACGAAATTACAGTAAGACTATAACATTAATAATTAAAATTCTCTTTGTGAAGGTTCCGTACGGTAATTAGGCTTTTAATTATTTGAGCAACTGTTGTAACGATGTTAAATAAACCACAGTATTTTTGAGTATAATGAGAGAAGCAGAAGACTTACATAAAATAAGTAGGAGTCTTAAAGATACAGGAGTCGAAATCCAATAAACGAAAACTGATTTTGTCAAAGAGGTCAAAAAATCGACCCCCATTGATTAACACAAGAAATTATTGAGGACCACTTAACATTTATCAGTTAACAAAAAAGTAATCTCTTGTCATTTTTTAAAGCACTTAAAGAGAAACTAGGGAAAAGGGAAATCATAAAATCGATATTGCATCATCGTCTATGCGGATATTGATTATTTACGGGCGTTCTATAATATGTCTTTACTAATAGCGAATTCGGGGAAACCCTACTCAATTAAAGTGCATTTTCTATAGTCTAATTGTATACATACCAATACGTTCCTAATGTTTCGCCTGGTCCGATTCTGGCAAACTATCTTATTTCTCACAGTGTATGCTAATAGTGCCGAAGTGGCCAGCAATAGAGAACCGCCTTCCAAGGTTGCGAGGAGACGCCACGCGAGAGCCGCACTGCCTTCTACTGCCTGTGACATGTCTTCTGGAAACAGTAGATAGATTATTTATCAATTTACAACCTAATACACATGTTGTACAAGAGCGTACTTAATGCCATGGTACATTTTCTACGAGTCAACCTTCAGGTCATGTAGAAATATGATGCAGAAGGTACAAAAAATAATAATCATATTAGACAGAGTTCATGAAAATTTGACTTTTAGCTAAAAGATAATATTAGATATCATTAATATACATATTTACAGGGTAATCCATAAGTATACACAATAGATACACAATATATAAACACACATATACATAAATTTAATATAATATAAAAATACTAATTAAATTCTACTATAGTTTGCCTGAGGCTTGTAAATTCAGTAAACACTGTACAGTGTAATCAGAAACTATATAGTTTTTGTGTTTTTATTTTCGTCAATCATCATCAGCCCATCGCTGTCGAATGCTAGACATAAGTCTCCCCCATTGCACGCCACGCCACGCCACGATTTTGGGCTTCTCGCACCCAGCTCTATTTTTATTTTTGTGATATTTAAAAAGGACTGCTCTAGAACTAGAGAAATGAAAGTGTGTTACGGTGGACTTCACAAACGAGCCATTCTTATTCTATATTAGGAATGACACGGTACAAATGAATGTAAGTCACGCAAAAATATTTCCTATGTGGTGAAGCAACTCACAACTTTTGTACCTAGAAATCTCAATAATTATTCTTAATTTACTGTGCTATTATTAACTGTGCTATTATTCATGTATATTTTTAGATTCAGATTTCGGAACTTAGGGCTTAGGTAATCAGATTGTTTTCTTTATTTTAGTTGTAATATTTCGATTATTGTAGTTTCTTACATATTATAAATAGTTCAGGAATAGAGTCTCGCAGTTTTCGCCGAGCTTTTCCCAATTCAGTGTCCAAAATCTAAAATTATTTATATTTATGCGTTTTTTAAGTGAAATGGTAACTCGATGATTGATTACGTTTTTAAATAAAGACTATATTTTTTATGATTTAATTACAAATGTATAGTTTTCAGATTTTTCCCTATACTTTGTAGTATAAGACGATGTTACTTGCCAAATTGCCTAGTTCTAGGTCAAGGGTACCCTGCGTACCCTATGAAATTAGGTTCCCTTGAGAGTGTCGAAATATGTGCTTTTGATGCATAAACGGCCGTATCTTTTTTACGTAACGTAGAAGTTTAATTGGTTCAAAACTTTAAGGGATTGTAGACCTGAGTTTATAGTTTTAATTTCAACTCGATACCTTCACGTGTCCCGACAAAAGGGCCCTGACAGACATCCAGGGGGTTCCGTTTTTTCCATTACAGTTACGGAATCTTAAAACCCACCTCGTTATGCATAAAAGCAACAGAAAGCAGAAACTGCATTACCTTTTCTCTTTGAAATGAAACAAAAGGTTTGATACGTTTTTCGTGTTTCTGTTTTAGAAATAACGGGGAAGTGGACAATTTGTCAGGGTGTAGTGAACTGTAGTGGTCAGAAATAGATAGAACTGAACACCCCTAGATCGGCTTTTATAAATCTAGAGTTAACAGATTTTTTGATTTGATTGAATTAATTGCTTATCCAATATTAGGTATTCTTATACTTGACAACACCTCTAACGTAATCCCAAGTTCAATAGTGTGACCCTGATCCGCGGATGGTTACATAAGTTATAAATGCTTTGCAATTATATATTTGTCTTTTTCAAGTAGGTTTGCGTTGTTTCCGTATTTATGTAAAAAAACTGTATTTTATACAAACCAACAAATTGACTCTATGACGTAGAAAGACTATTATTAGACATGAAATGTATTTGCAATATCTTGAACGAAATAATCACAAAGCATGACGTAATGGTTGAGCGTAGGTTCACATACATATGTACTTGAGTGTCGATTCTGGGGATATCACTTTTGTGACGAGAAGGTAAGAAAATTGACTTAGTTATTGCTTAGTTTTTAGTTGTCTATTTAAATTTTAAATAAAGAATGTCAAGTACCGCACTGTCTGAAGCAAAAAAAGGAAAAAATGAGTTTTTTTTATAATTATGTAGTTACGTAGTTGAAACGCCGTTTTAGACCATGCCGGGGCCCCTAGGTATACAAAAATATAGGGCCCTGTTGGACAGCTCAACAAAATGAATGAATAAATATTGTTAGCTATTTATTTTTTGTCGAACTATGTCGATCTAGGTATAGTAGGCCAAGACCTCCTTTCTAAGGAGAGGCTTAGGTATGTCCAGCAGTGGACTATTAAAGGCTGTTGATGTGATGTGATATCGATCTAAAATATAAAAAAATGTATATTGTAAGTGAAAATATTCCTCTATGTATTCGCTTTTCGGAGCCCCCATGACGATGGGGGCCCTGGGCCCTGGTTGAAACTATTACAATAATAAATAGTCACACTATTCAGAATGATAAAAATAAAACCACCACTTTTATTGACATACAAAAAAGTAAAAAAACTCGTTAATGTCTTTATAATAGTGACTGCCTTCAACAGTATCAATGACAAAATCTCCTTATTTCACATAAATAACACTTTAAACTAAGTCATTTCAGACCAAATACAGTTTTCTTACAAATCATCTTACCTCTAGACATAATTACTCACTTGAAGATTTAAGGAAGGTAGAACGTTATAACTTATAACTAGTCAACTAATTAGCTGATAGTATTTCGAAAATAATCTTGTAGTCCTCAAATATAAGACATAATTACAAAATACAAGAAATTTATGCATACTCAGTACCTACCTATCTACTTTTATAAAAAAAACCTCGGAGTTCGGCGAGTTTACATCAAACTCTTCACAAGATTTACATTGTAATATCGTTGAGTATTTATTTATAAGTAGTTTTTTGTAGGCTTTATTCAAGTTTCGTGCTAGGAATACTTCAAATGTTACAGTTCTTTTCAGACATTTAAAACGACAGACACACAAAATAGCTAGACTCGGAGTAGCTAACTATTTTTGGGTTACACAAATATTGGGACCATGCGTGCAAGTTTTAGGGGTTCGACCCCTAAACTAACCGAAAACTAACCGCAGAGGAGCTCAAGCATATAATTCGCTTCTAATGAGTTTTTAAGGCAATCCTGGGCATCATTGCCAAGTGATGGTGAACTTTAGATCAGTTTACCATAGTAGTCGGAATACCAGAGACTACCCCCTCCCACCACCAGTAGGGGAAGAGGGAACTGAAAGGGCGGCTCTTAAGTTGTAGGTGTCCATGGGCAGTGGTAGTAATTTACCATCAGGGTACCCGTCTGCTCTTTTACAGGGGGACAATAAAAAATACAATGTTTTAAGGTAACAGTACAGATGTACTGTTAACCATTGAAGAGACTTTTCTCTTGTTTGGAGCTAATTGTTTACGCAGAATCATCAACTAATCACGGTGAAGTTTAGAACTGACTAAAATAGTTCTATAAACATAATTTCCAACACATCCGTGTGGTGACGGATTATGAATACTGAATGTCACCACCCCTATTCATTAGTCGACTAAGGAAGCAAACTAATCGTGTACCTACACTCGAGGGTAATGCCGGATCACATACCTAAAAATCTGGGCAATTAATAATTGTGTTCTCGAAATTATATATATACCCCTTAATTGAAAGTAACAAGTAATTTATAAATACATATATTTCTAATTATTTAATTAATCTCTAAGTGGTTTCGGGCATATCTTAAGCAAGAGTGAGGGGCGATTGCAGGTCTTAATGGTTTTAAATCAGCTTAATTAGTTAGTTGCAGTGAGAAAGCATTTTGTTAAGTTAGAAGACTCGAGCTTACAAGCAACAGCCAGTTTCAGTTATAGGTATAGCGGTTTTATAGGTAGGCAGTAACTCAAGAAGGTCAGGACCTGCTTGAGTTACTGCCTAAACTCCCCAATTCATCCGCATAGACAATATCTCTTTTTTAAATTCAGTCCCTACCCTACTTATCTAATTTTATTTTCATATACCATCTCCCATTTTTTTTAATATAACTCCTGCAGTACACGATTAATGGTAAGAGCCTTGGGGTCAACTACGTAAGAAGGACTAACGTCCACATAATGTCACCTCTTAGGGAATAAAGCGGAGGTAGCCTAGTGGTTAAGGCATTGGACTTGCGATCAAGAGGTCTTGGGTTCGAATCCTGACCAGCACACTACCGACGTAAACCCACTCCTAACACAAGCAATTTAGTTTAGCGGGTGGGGTTAACGGAAATACTAGTATTTTCGATTGCTAGTAGACCTTTTAAAAACAAAAGGCGTGTGTGTATGTATGATTGTATGTGTTGATCAAGTATCGACGTTTTTATTAAATTATTTCACTCGGCTAGCATTATTAGTTTCCAAGATTTTGAGGTATCTTAATGTGACCTGCACATCGCTCTCGAGTATACTGATACTGGTTATTATGGCAACAATATAGATAAAATCTACAAGATAAGAAATACACTCTAGCGGTAACATTTAAAATAAGTAAGTTACGTGAACTGCTCGCTGCTGTAATTGACGAACATGTTGGAGGTGAACTTATATAAAACTTGATTTTTTATATTACTAACTTTGTCTGAATTTTTCTTTGAAGCTTAGCTACTATTAGTCGTAGCGTGATGTTATGGCTCAATAATTGGGCTATCCAACACTAAGAGATTATATAAATTCGGCCCAATAGTTCCTGAGATTAGCGCGTTTAACAAATCAAACAAACTGTTCAGCTTCATAATGTTGGTATAGATTTGTTTAATGTAATGTACTTACATAAACTAACTATGTACATATATTTTGCTAAGAGCGTCGCATCAACTCGACATAAAGGTGATATTCTGTCACTGTGACATCATAGTGCTAAAATAATTTTATAAAAAAAAGGATGCAAGTATTCTATCAGTCAATGAGGGTTTTCTGAAATGTTCCACGTGAGATGGCAGCACTGTAACGTCAGGTCCAACCACCTGTCAAAACACACACGATTTGTAATTTTCGATCATTTTTTTGGTTTACTC